AGCATTGTGTGAAGTAATTTTATTACCGCACAAATAAAAACATTAATTAATCATTTAAACAATACATAGACGCAATAAATCATTAATTTATTATAAGTATTAAAAATGGACAATTTTATTTTATTTTTAATATTCTTCAATATTATAAACATACATGCTTGTGATAATAATTTATTCTTAGTTTCGTTTTCTTTGCACGTGTAGTTTTATGTTGGACTTAACAACAAACTTTCAAATGTATTTCTATAATGGTATTACTCTGTGATAATGAGGTGCACATTGGCAAAAACCCAACCCTTAACTCCTTTATCATTTACAGCTGCTATGTGAATTTATCAACAGTCAAAATAAAAACCCGGTTTAATACTCGACACAAAAACGCTATATAAATTATAAATTGTTAGCTATTTTTTATTTGTGATTGTAAATTTTTGGTTAAAAGACTAGATAATTTTTTATTTTTTCTGGTGTGTTTCTCAACTCGTTAAAAAATTTGAAAGTGAATATTAATTTAGCTTATACGCTCGTTCAAATAAAGCCAAATTGTAACTGCAGTTTTTTTAACATACAACTACAACTCTAGTGTTCACATCTTCTCTTATTTTTATTTTTTTCTAAACAATTCTGGTGGATGCGCCGGGTCACAAACTTATATTTTAGTTTATGTATACAAAAATTTCAAAAAATATTATTACATAGAACAGTTTTCAAAATCTGGCATTGATTTTTGTAACTTAATCGGTAGTAGATAGTCTATATCTTCTACATGTAAGCATCCTTTATTTACCTTTGCCTTCAGCTAGAGGCTGCGTTCTGCTTTCTAACTCCTGTTTGCCAGTGATGTATTTAATACAGATACCTGAATAGAGACGTTTGATTACACTAGATTGACGACGGCAACATTTGACTACATAGAAAGCCAGTGGAAATTGTGTTTTGAGGTATCTTCTCTTTTATGTTTGGCTCTTGTGTTTTCTACACATCAAAATCTATGTCTATTTAATTATTATTATTAAACAAGGCATTTTTTTGAAATCTAATAAAATATATATTACATTGTATAACATGTAATTTGCAGTGCTTCCCGCAATGTGTAATTTCTTCAATAAATTCCCAAGCAATAAAAATAAATCTGATATCAGCAACATATAAAATAACCATTTTCATTAGTGCAAAAGAGTAAAACCTATCGGAAAACCTATACAAATGTGCAATTTTTTACTTAGAAACAGTAACTGAAAAATCCTAACAATGTTTGCTGACTGGGAATACAAAAAAATTACTAGCTCCTGGATTAAAACAAAATACAAATAAAATTTGAAGCCAAATATTACTACATATAATGGAATAGTAAACCTAAATCAAATTCATAGCATTAACGTGCATGTTAATAATACACGTAATTGCTTTAAGAGTTATTAAATTATAATTTTACATTATCAATTATTACAGATCATTTACTGATTAATACTATGTATGTAGATTCTTGTGTTTCCATTAAAATGCACCAGCGTATTAATATTTTGGTCGATAATTTATGTATACATATTTTGCAATGTCAAAGCTTCTTTTAGTTAAAAATTCGTTTTATATGTTGCACAATTCAAAAGAAAGTATTATTAACTTTCATAAATAATATCAACAGAGTAATAATAAAAGTAAAGTTGCGCAAATCTCAAAAGAACTTAACAATTTTAGAATATTATTAAAAATCTTAAGTAAATTAAATTAAATATTAATTGACTTCTTTCCACCAGCTGTCTTAAAACCTATAATTAATTTTTCTTTCCAAAAACGTGTAATAAAGTAATGATATTTTCAAATATTAATAATACATATATCGTTCTAAATAAAATATGAGTGCACTTGGTTTAATACATAATTTATTCGCATGACAACTACTATTCACATAGTCTTCAAAGTAACACAAAGTTATACAAAACCACTTTATCCAACCACCAAAGATTAAAGAACACTTAGAGTCACTTTATGAATGACTATAAAATACTTTCCCGTAACTTATTTTATACATATAGACTACGAGTACTTCGTTCCATTAAAATGCTTTTCATGTTCAACTTGTGACGACATTTTAAACAAATTTCCTGTTAATGAATTTTTGGTTATAAAACTACTCTCAGTTTTAAAAAAAAGAAATAAAAAAAAAGAAAAACAAAAAAGATGTCATCAAACGTAGGAATATTAGTTCTTTTTTCAGCGCTATAGTCAAAACTTTTGTTTTATTTACGATAAGAATTACCGAGGTTATAAATTTGCATTCAGCGTTTAAAATACGAAATTTGCTGAAACAACCCAATACCTGACTGGAATATCACCAATGAGAAATGGGATATTGTCAGCAATTTTAAATTTCTTTCTCCTGTCCCCTCAAAAATAAAAACAGTATGCTACCACTAAAAAAATACACCCGCTGATGCAATATTTGCATATTCTAATTTAGTGCACGGAAAACTTGTTGCACTTGAATTTCTTTATAATTAAAATATTGTTTTCCATTTAACTGTCGAAGTGTCGAACCAAAAGTCAAAAAAAAAAATAAGAACGAAGACGGAAACCTTTGAAATAACAAAAGTTGGCGTGTATGTATAGTACCTTCAAAATTATATTCAAGTCTTATTTACAATTTTCATGAATTTTTGCTTAATGCATACATTTACGATGTAAATCCGTTAAAATATGTACTTACTTTAAAACTTTTGACAAGTCTGTAAAACGTAAATAAGGCAAAAGTAATTTTATGCAAATTGTTGAGTAATAAGATGATGACATCAACAACGCATTACGAGTCAAAGGCGTTGTTATAAAGAAAAACATCAAAAATATTGTACCAAAACAAAATAAAAAATTGTCGAGTTTAAAATAAGCATATTCATTATTATAATAAATGACATAGATAAAAAATTGTTGGCGGAAAGGCTTTAACAATAAGTTAATAACTTTTTTAACCAGATGCAACGTTGCATAGTCGATGTCAGAAGAATACTTTAAAAATATAGTAAAAAATTAAAATGTAAATATAACATTTTTTCACATCTCAAAATTTGATTGGTGATCCTCGTATTTTCGAAGCTTAGCAAAGAATTTTAATTAACAGTCTGCTTCGAGTATAATTGGATACGAGAGTACGGCGCTTTTGCACTGCATTTTTTAAAAGCAATGTCAAAGCTTCTTTTAGTTAAAAATTCGTTTTATATGTTACAGCTTTCGTCTAATAAAAAATTTTTGTAATTTCAATTTTTAAAGCTAGAAATTGTTTTATGATTAATTTTTCCTTCAATCCAAGTATTAAGTAAATTTGTAAACTTGTAAAAGCGGCACTAAAAGCATTACATTCCAGAGGTGTGGTTTTAGCAAGCGACGTGAAATTAATAACATCACAAATACTAATAAGCAGAATTACTTTCTTAAAAACAATGTTTATAAAGATATAAATTCAATTTATTTTAATCAACCTTACTCTTAGAAAACTAGTGAAGCATAATATTATTATAATAAATGAAAAGCAAACGAGAGTAATGATCAGAGTAACAAGTACTGTGTTTTGCAGATATATAAACAAAAGTTATGTAGACACGTACTAATTCAGCTGCAAGCTTTTTTAAACAAACTTCATAGTTTGGCGTGGATGAGTAAAATATCTTTTTTTACTTTTTAGTTTTTAAATTTCTAAATACATATGTAGATTCTTAAATTTATTAAAATATACACATTTTAGTGGTAATATAAAAATAAATATAAAATAATCAATGTATTCAAAGTTTATTTAAAAGACACTACAAGTTTGAGTTGTTGAAACTTTATATATTCGTATTTCATCGATAATATTATAATTTAGAACACAATTTTTATTGAGTGCTGCTAAGTTAATTTCTGTCCTGCTTTGCTTTATTTGCAAATATTTTAGTGCCTTCTGAGTCATGATATTATGTATCAAATGGACATCAGATCAATAAAATGATATGAAAAGAAAAATGTACAAAAATTTTTGAAAATGCTTTGGGTAGTAAGAAAATATCTTCAAAAGAGAAAAACTTCTTATAGTACATTTGATGATCGACAAAATAAATATTATGCATATAGGAATAAAAGCAGCACTCTTGACTTGATAAAAGGTTTATAAAACATCTAAAATCTATTAAATAAATAATAATTAATAATTTGAACTATAACATGAGAAAATTTTATCACCTTTGTAAATGTATACTCAACTTTTATAAAATCATTTACATGTTACTCGTTACTCATATCCATTTGAAGCAAAGGTTTAATTTTAATTTATGATCTTATAAATAAGTTTATTACATTAAACATCAGTAAACTCTTAAAACTCAAAACATTATTCTAATTTTCTATAAATATAAGTATAAAGAAAAGCATTGAATATAAACCTTTTTCAATATATTAGTAAATCACAGTTTGTATTCCTGTCCAAAATTTCACAATAATTTAAATACAACGTAAACTGAAATGAAATAACAAAAAAAGCTCTTTCAAAACTCATTTAAATTTAAATCATTCAGGACACGTTCGTGCAATATTTCCTGGATTACTCAATTAAAACTGAACATTTGTATTATCAATAACTTGTAAATAATAATAAAGTAAATAATGATTAATGTGATAAATCAATAATTCTTCAAATACTTTATTCTTTTTAGCTACAGCCTATTGAAACAAAACTAATACATTTATCATTTCATCATCATACTTCATACAATGATAGAAACAAAATTAAAATATTTAATCAAATCTTGAAAGAAGGTTCAGCTTTTAGATTCTTAATTGAAATGAAAGCAAATCATAAATGAACGCCAATTTCATGCCCTCCAATTGAAAAGTGAAAAAAAGCCTCCAGTAATTACAAAAATAAGAATCCAGACCGTGGTAGGCACATCGTTTGAAAAAGTGTGTAAACACTCGAGCTTCGAGCTTTCGAGCAACGAAAGCTGTTTATAAAGCTTTCAATTTCACTGCATTACCTTGGAAAGCGGCCTCGAACTGTATTTTGTTGGGGTCGTCGGCGTCGTGTCCGCCACAATCTGAAAAGTAGAGGGCTGCCAGCCCCAAAAGGACGCCCCAAAACACCTCCATGGCTAGTGGCTCTTCATCGCGTCAGTCATCACACACATGCCACCCCGGAGACCAGTAAACCACTTACAATCACATTACACAACATGCCACTAATTAACTAGTTATTATTCATGAACATTTAACGTCAAACTGTTGCATGCCGTGTGCGGACGCCACTGGATTCACCCCCCCGGATATGTCTTATGATAATTTTAATTGACGTCGTGGTCTGAGCTTAAGTCTTCGACTAGTTGCTAGTCGACGTTAAATAATCATGCTTGCGCGCACTACACGACCCTATAATTGACTATGGCGGGTGAAATACTATACCACGTTCAATACTCCGGCGGGGAAACGATCGAAGTGACGCTAGCGCCCTGAGCGGAGAGCTTTGAAGCTCAAGAGACGAAAACGGCGGCGACGACGCCTGCAGAGAGCTTTCGCCGTAAGCAGGAAGGGAGAAGAAATAATCAACACGACAACCCAGGACATCTACGAGAGGTTTTTGTATCTAAATGGCTTGTAAAATAGTTTTCTTTTTCTACGTTATTGCTATTTTCCACCGAGTTCCACCATTCTTTATTCTACTAATTTAAATGAGCTGTGTTTCACACTTTTTAAATCATAATTGTTATAGTTTGGCCTAATAAAAGTTACATGTTTTATTTTTTAAATAATTTTTAAGACATACTTATATTTTGCAAAAACATTTTAAATAAACTGACTCATATATTTTTTTTGAAAAAAATGGCTTACTTTATGTGCAATTTTTTTTTAAACTGTTAAAAACCACTGCTACACTGCAATAATTGTAGTTTGAAAGTTTAATTATTATAGCAATTAATTTGGGCCTCATGTAAACAGTTTTGCTTCTAATTGTATTATGTAAAATAAAAATTAATTTTCAAAGTAATTATTTATGTTTATGATTGTAGATAAAATATCATAATTGTCTCATACATAATAGTGAAAATTCATTCTGATGATTATACACATTTCGCTTGTGTATAGATTTCATCCTTGTGAATTCTTTGTTGTTTAATATATCTACTATTAAAACTTGTTTTATTAAATAATGTTTAATATGTCGGTATTTTCTATCTTAAAACAAAAAAGCAAATAAAAAGTGACGTAATGACTAAGTAGTATGAGTAGGTAATTTTTTTCTTTCCAAAATTGAAACTAGAACGTTAGAAAGAAAAATAAATAAGTCAGGAAAATGTTTAATAGCTTTATTTACAAATATATTTATATTTGAATCTAATTCAGGTTTTCACTGACAATTAAAAAATATCTAGCTAACAAATAATAATTAAAACAGTAATCATAAACATAAATTATTACAAAATACCTAGTTACATAAAAGTGCGTGATTGTCAAATGAAGGTAACCTGTTTACATAATATTTCAAAATTTAGTTATCAATGTAAAAGCAGTTAGTAAATTGGTGAACACCTCATTTTTTTAAATTGTAGCGTTTAATACGGAATGGTCACTTTTTTATTCATTAATACAATCTAAGCCTATTAAGTACACAGCTTTTATCGCATACTGTAAAACATTCACAATATAAAATAATCAGTCATTAACATAATGCATAATGCCATTTTTGGTTCTTGGTAATGTCTTGAAACTTTTATTTGGCATTCATCATCGAGTTCCGTAAATTATTCCATGATTCTTCAATGGGTGCTAGAGCTGTTATAACAATTAAGGCAACAACGATAGCTAGCACTATTACAATGTAAATGGCTAAAATAAATTTTCGGAAACCAGAGTACTAAAAAAAATGCAAATAAAGATTTCTGATAAGACAAATGTTGGATTTTTACCGGGGCATCGCCGGTTCTATCTGCATACGCCGAACTTCTTCCAGAACCACCCAAATCCTTCATCGGAAATGAAGTTACTCGCCTTTCGAATGATTTTTCGGATATACACCCTACCACCTATACAAAAACAATTAATAGATCAAGTAATTTTTTCAAGTTTTAATACTTACCGATAAAACTAAATGAATTATGACATGGAATGCAACATACGCCACCAAAATCCAATCCACAAAGTCCGGCAATTCGGCTTTTGTTAATTTAACAGCAAAGAAAATTGTAACAACTGTAACAATAAAATGTTAGTAACTAAAATACGAACCAACAAAATAAAAACATACTGCCGACAATATGTGCTACATTGCCTCCCAACCAATGGATCCAATTAAAAATAGACCTTTTTGGAGTACCAGGATGTGGCCTAAAGTACGCCCCTATCGGTTGAATAAAGCAAATAATCGTTGTAACAGTCCCCAAAATTGCATGCGGATTTTTCTCAGCCGACCATGCTCTCAGTTCAACGAAAATCAAAACAAATCCGGTCACAGTTAAGGCCCAAGTAAGTACCATAAACATTCTATGCCACTGCAAAACAACCAGTTATTTTTTGTGGTATTTTATTTTCAGAAATCTCACAGCAAACCAAAGGTCTTTTCCACACAAGCTGCTACCAACCCACGTATTTCGGTAATATCGTGCTAAAAGTATTCCCACTGAAACAGTACCGATCCAAGCCGCCAACATAAAAGAACCATGAAGTCTGATCAGAAGTTTTGAAGCTGCGGCAAGTGCTGATACGTCCGAAAGTGACTGCTTGTTACCACTAGCCAAAAATGCGAGATCGTGAAATGCCACAGACGTTGCTACAAATTAAAAATGTTAAATTTAGACTCTAGATTTCAAAAATTGACTTACGACTGATTTGCGAACCAGAAGCTACCAGTATGTGGTACTTTTCATTAGCTAGATCAAAAATTTTTCCTTTCACTTTCGTTCTCTCATCTCTCATTACTTTGCAGTATAAAACATCATTAATTATACTTGCATTCATCAATCTTATGCCGAGTTGTGGCTAAAAATCGAGGTTAAACTTGACTTTAATAGCAGTACAAGTAGTTACATTGTTGAGTCTTGCTGAACCGTAATTTGGAGGCCCACTAGTCCACGACATGAAAGCTGCAACGTTACTACCTCTTTTTGCGCATTCAATAACCGAATCGTCTCCCATTTTATCATCATCGGAAAGTCCTACACCTACCCATCCTGCATTTCCAGTCGCTTTCATCTCAAATTCAAACTTATCACCACTTACAGTAACAGCAACAACAGCTTTACAATTCTTTGAATTGAGACAATTAGCAGGTGCTCCAAAGCACAATTTAGTAACACCGCAACCTTCATAGAAGGGATCAAACACAGTCTCAACTTCTCTTATTTCTGGAGAAAAACTGGGAGGTGTGGACGATGGTCTCCGACTTGGTATGTTCGAAATCGGGTCGTCTGTAAATCTTCTGCTTAATTGCAAAGGCCGGGATTCTACACCCACCCAAAAGGTTTGATAATTTTGTGCAAAAGTGGAACTACAATTTTTGATTTGTTGTAACACGAAGAAGCCATATTTTGAGACTTACTTAAAAATTACTGGTCCTTCATATCCCTGTGGCGGATGCCACTCAACCTCGATCATCGCCTTGTTATTGGCATCATTGTGGGTGAGAGTATCCCCAGATTGCGCGCAGTCAATCGTATGGCTCTCGTTTCCTCTGGGTTGAAACACACCGAGAAGCTCTCGATTGGGCGTTCTGGCTTGAAGCATGAAACCTTGGAATGGAATTCCTAGGTCAGATATAAGCGTAACGAGAACGCCGCCATTCTGGCGACGCATATAGATTGAATATGGAGAAATGTCCTGTTGAGGAGGAATGCCTCCCCCGTGGAACGGCTTCATCGTCTGACACACTTTGGTTGGGGCACCTTGGGGAAGCGCATTGATGGAGTTGAGAGAAAGGAGGAAGAGAAGAATGCCGATCATGGTCTGCAATAAAAAATAATTAAATATAAAAAACGGAAATTTGCAAAATCACGCTAGCAAGTGGACTAGTCTAAATAGTTTAAACATTCTTATAAATAAAAATGACCTTCATATGGTTTTAACTGATGATTCACTCGCTATGAATGGTACGAAAAAACCAAGGGAAATACGCGACCATGAAAACGCGAAGTGTTTTAAAAGTAAAATGTAACTTCTTATTTTGATACAATTCATGAATGTTAATAAGTTTTTTGACATGTATATGTTTGTGCAACGCTTGAGTCTTATACATATTATAATAGAATAAGGTATCATAAAACATTTTTATAGTTGTGGAATGTTTTTCAAAAAGACAACAGAATAAAACAGTTTTTATGTTGCTTACAAGTATTGTTCTTTATATGTATAAAAAACATGTATTGTGGATAAATCAAGATATAATATTTTGTCATGTAATAATAACTTCTACTTTTCAGTTATTGTAAAGCAAAATAAAAAACCTTCACTAAGTAGTAACTTTTTTACTATATCTGACGTGACACTTGTTTTATCTAAGAATTTTCCTGTAGAAAGTACTCTAGTGAGACGGTGATTTTTACAGTTACTCTTCTTATTAATTTTATTAGATTTATTAGTATAGTAACGAAAAGAATATAAAAAACAAATAATCTAACCGCTTAAATTGTTAAACCAAATACTTGTACAAGAAAATAATCGATTTTATTCAAATAATTGAAAATATTGTGCAACTAAATAATTAATTCGTTCAGCTTCATTAGCAGTTAGCTTCAATCAAACTTACTTTAATTAGAGAAAGAGTTAATTATTACCATATAATTGGACGGATTACTTTCTTGTTGTTACCTCAATCCACTTTTAATACAAGTAATTGTAAATCTATATTATTGTGGCCCCATTTTTTTGTCTAAAAATGCCATTTTGTGGTTAACCAATTTACAGACATTTTTGATAGCCTTATTTTTTGCGTTAAAAATTTTCATTTTAACAAGTCAATAAGTTATTATCGTTTCACAATACAAATTATAGGTGTACATGACGCCTTTTTGTAGGTCACATTACATAAATGATGAATTTCTAATTTACCATTTGTTTACATAAGAGGTTATATACTATTCGGCATTGCCTATAGATTTTGATAATGTGGTAATTACTAATTATAACTATAGAATATAGATTTATGAAAATGATTATCGCACATAAAGATAAATAAAAAAGACAAAAAGTGACAATGTAAGTACACCCGTACATCGAAAAAATTATTAAAATAAAAGTAGGCAACAAACCTACATGTACATAATTACATATACAGGGTGTCAATTTTAAAACTTGCAATCGCCAATATCTCTAGAACTAAAAAAGTTATTGAGAATCACTCAAAACCCTTTCGGTAGATTTTAGGGGGAATCAAAATGGCATGGTAAGTGACGCTTCTCCACCCACCCTTCAAGCCACAGCCACCTTAAGTTGAAAATTTTAAATGGCACGACCCTACTTGCGATACATCGTTGGAAAGCCCATAACAAGCGCTTTTCAAAAATGTCATACAACAGCCTATTTGGTAAAGTTATTTTTTCAATTATTCAAAAACGAAGACGTTAAATTTTCATTTTTTTTTTACTATATCCAAGGGTGGGTGGAGGTGTGTCACTTATCATGTCATTTTAATTCCCCCTAGGAACCACCAAAACGGTTTTAAGTGATTATTAATAACTTTTTCAGTTGAGAGAAATTGCCGATTGCAAGTTTTAAAATTGACACAGTGTATACTTTAGTTAAAATCATCTTTTTTGTACGTTAAAATATTAAATACGTAAAAAGATTGGTATGATTGAAACATTATGAGAAAAAACTTAACTTCCCGATTTAACTGTGTTAATCGTATGTTAATTATTCTTCTAATTTTGATTAATAAAATCATTTATTTTTCTGAAAACTGTGTTAACTCATTGACGACACGAATACAATGCTTATACAGCTGTTCTAAAAATAAGTGCAATAATAGGAAACTCCTTTATTAATTTAGTAAAAAAAAGGAACAACCAATATTTACATGAATAAGCAAATCAATAAAGTTCTTTGAAGAATAAGAATACGTTGTCAAAAGAGCAGTCACCTATTGCGTATTTGCGTTTGTAATATTGGTTTGAAGCGATAACAAGTTTCCCTTGACAACTACACAGTATTTAAATAATTACTAAACATCAAAATGTACGAAAACACAAAATTTTTAAGTGCAACCATAAAATACTTGTTCATAAAACATGCAAAGGCTACATTAGGTAGTTGCTAATTTAGTGCTGTTAGACAATACTTAAAAATGACTTGTATCTTTAATAGGTTGGATGATCTAACATATAATGCGTTGTGTATCTAGCATTAAAAAGTGCAGTTACTTTAATAAACATTCCGCAACAATAATTAAAGAAACAAACCTCACGTGCGTTAGACGTAAAATGCACGGTGGAATAAAAATTAAACTGGCGTCACTGACCAGCAAAGACCGGTAGCTGATTTATAAATTCAGGTCAAGTAAGAAGCTCAATACTATACGAAATATATAGAAACAGTCTTTTACTTTCAAAACAATCGAAAAATATGAGTGTTATTGTAGTAGTTGAAATATGATTGAATTGTCAATTGACACGAGCTTTATCAATAGCCGAGAATTTGTTTCCACCTTTCTGAATTTAAATTACAATCTACGTTTAGTAATGTCAATAGTGAAAGTTAACGGGGTGAAAAGAAGGAGGTAATAGACCATTATAATGCCAGGCCATAACATTAGCAGATGATCAATACTATCAATCCATCGCTTTATAGAGAACAAACTTCGGGAAAACCTAATTTAAGAAATTAAGTATGAGGTAAAAATATAATTAAAAGTTTGTGAATCAGTACTATTAATTATTGTTTTTATTTATTTATGACATTTTATGTTTATTTACAAAACGCATTTATTTCAATTATTTCCCATGACTGGATTGTTACTAATGAAGCCAAGGCAAGTTATCAATATTTTAAGACATAATGAAAAAACAATTAGAAGTTAAAAGTACAGTGGTGTGTAACCTTCATGCATACATGACGACAGAAATTCTTTTTACCTAATTTTCTTAACAAGCGTGTCCCCATACAATTACTTAACTATTGAAAAACCTAATATAAAATTATAGTATTTGATATTTGAAAGGTGTGTTTTAAATAGATAACTCTAACTACTTATTAATAATGTAATAAAGTCGCTTTTAACTGGAGTATGCGGTTTAATGGTTATTACACGACTTTTAATACACCTTAAAATTTTAAATAACTCAGATTCCTAAACCTCTTACGGTATCAGTATTTGCAGTATGTGTTGTGTTACTTCACAGATTATCTAGAGAAAGTTAAAGTTTTGCTTCTTATACAATTTGGTCGACAGGCGTGGATCGTTATGCTAGAATTAATCGATTATATTTTATAATTATGACTTGAACAGTTGTAACGACTGTTGACAACAGCCTCAATAACACTGCTATCAGTAAATTGACAATCTGGAAGCACTAAAAATAAGTATTTCCACCTATACATACGAGTATCTTTCTTATTAATAAAATTTTATTTTACAAAAATTAATTTATTACTACTAACATTAATAATTCAATGTGGTAAAGTGATAGAATAAAATTAAATTAAAATCATTGAACCTAAAACAAATTCTACATAAATCGCAGCAAATTAAATATTATAAAAGTCACCTGCTTCAAATCTTTCTAGACAGTCAAGATTATGGTAAATCAAAATAAGATCATATATTTATTTCTTTAATATTCATTTAATAAGTTAATTAACTTCTTTGGGATGTTGAATGTTTCTGTTCTTTTAAATAATAATACTTAGACTATTTAATGCTTTCATAAGTTTAGGCAAATGTTAAATTTAATTTTGTCAAGCATAATTTGGCAGTAATAAGAATTTAAAACAAGCTCTACATAATATACTTAAGTTCAAAATTAGTTGTAGAAAATGCTCATAAAATTATCAACTCATTCAAGAAATAAAAATAAATAAAACCATTAACTTTTTGATAGAGAACAATGTTACATTTTAGTTTGTTTATCAATTATTTCTTTTTGTAAATACTGCAATAGGTCAGGAAAAACGAATTAAAATCACTAAACTGATATTCTTTAAGATTTTTTTAACATTATTTGTCTTATTTCATGTCACACCTTATTAATTATTTTGTATTTTGTGTTTATTTTTTTTATGTTTATTTCACATTATTAGTACAAAAAGCCTATATGTGTTTTATATATTTTTACCTCAATTAAACCAGATTTTTATAGCTTTTGTTGCTTTTCGTTTAGGTATTTCTTTTCATTTTGTTGCAACCTTGATTCTATTGTTATCAAAATTAATAAAAAACACATTTACTATCTATAGTCACATATTTGAACTTGCATTCACTTTTTTAACAAAATACTATACATTTTAATGTTATTATTACTAACTGTGTTAATATAAATAAATACATAAATTACGGACAATAGACATCTGTACCGTTCTATAAATCATAGATACTTTTTTTTACTATTTTGAAATATATAAAAATTTTGAAAACGTTAATTTGATTTCAATTAGAAGTTCATAATCCATTCAGTATTTACATAAGTTGAAATTATAAAGCCACATTCTCTTTAATTTCACACTATCTCTTATTTTTATTATAAACAGATGCATGTTGAATTAAATTAAGACCACCGAAAAATTCCAACAATAGCCACTTACTCTTCATCAAATCAGTTGATGTAGGTTGAAGATAATAGTTAAATCCTCACCTTGTTTACTTTAATCCAGCCGCACAAACTTTTAAGATTTCTCTTCAAACACCAAACCGATCACCTAATTTTCACTCTCTCGTGCAGAAAAATATTAAATCACACAATACACTTCATTTCCACGAACATAATAAGCAAGTATTGTCAATTTCTCACTCACAATTGTATTAGAAAGGATGCTTCAACAGGTCGAAAAGAAGTACACACTACGTGGTACCCAAGTCAAATTCTTGAATGTAGTGAATGCTAGCGTACACAAGAGCCTCCCATTGGCCGCAAGGTCGACAGGTGTGACGTCAGAGCAGTACCAGTGAAGGTATGGTCATATACCAGAAGAGAGGAAGTCACCAAATTTTACGTTTCTACTTCCGACTGATTAGAAGCCTGCGATAACGAAAGTTAAATAACAGGATGTTGTATTGTTTTTTCTTTAATATCGAAATACTCACACATTTTCGACATTGGGCAAGAATGTAAACATAAGTTCGAGGTATTGCACAAACGTTTATTTTACCTTTTAGTACAAGAAAATGAACACGAAACAATAAGGGAAATAATTAGAAAATTAAGCAGGTACTACATCTTAACAAGTAGTATTTATTTTATTCTTTGTGATGTTGCTTTTCTTTATTTTCTTCTTCTTTCTCCTTCGACACGTCTTCTTGTTCAATTTTAATTTTGCCATTAGTCCTGGTACTAATATCAATAAAGATATTCATTTTTCTCAATGGTAGATGGTTGTTGGGTGCTATCATTAAGAGATTGTTTCCATTCCTATCACAAAGAGGAAGCGGTTGAGATGGTAAACTGCTTCTTCGGAGACGAGCCCTCATGCGTAACGACTGTTGCCCGGAAATAGAAGACGGATGACGGCTAATAAAGAGAGAGTCCTCACATTTCACCTGGATGGGACCTTCATGGCTTTGTTGCCATTCCAAAACATTACTCAACAATCTTATATACCTAAATGTTACAAAATAATTAATCAAATTAATTTCGCAAACTTTATAAGCACCTAATTGCCATGCGTAAAATTTCGTTCTTGGACAACTTTTTATCGGGCGGATGGGTTGGGACAAGTTTTCGTAATTCAGCAAACGCTCCACTTACGTTTTGTTGTCTCCAACGTTCTCTGCTGTTTGTGAAGATTTTTTTGACCACTCCCCTAGTTGGGATTTCCACCGGAGTCTACAATTATTATTATAGTGTTCCACTTTTTGTTGTTTTTCGGCCCACCTGGAGAATGTGATGTGGCGGAAATGCCCGCTGCTTCTCATCATCGCTATCAATAACTGAAAACTCATCGGAAAAATCATCCTCGTCGGAAAGCGAGTCCGGATCTGGGTTTTGCTGGGGCCGCCTCACTATCGGTGACGACGAAGTGCTATAGTCCGTGTTGTCCCCATCTGCGGCCCATTCCATATCAGTTATCATAGGCTAAGAGTTGCATTGTCGTAAGAAAATTTCCTAGGAGGTCACCGAAACCGCATTACTCACCATTACACAGTTTCACATTTGCACTTGACCACAAATCACGATACAGTTTTCTGAATTAATTGTTGAAAAGACAACAGCTAATTATCTTGGAAGTTGGAACGGAAATGATCAAAGCTACAATGTTGAATATCGGCCACATATCCTGTTGCGAGAGTGTTATCTCCCTCAGTAGCCACCCCCGCCTGGACCAATGACTTCGGCAAATATGCGGGATAGGCGGGAAGTTGGCTAGAGCTCCACCCCGATAATGCGTAAGGGTGACAAGTATATTTTTGTGGACAATAAAAAATTACAACGCCAGGAAACAAATTGTGGTTTTATTTATCTTGTGATTTGTAAAGTAGCGATTATTTTGAATCATAATAATCCACATATCAAAATAAATAAAACAAGTCCTTGTTTTAATCCGTTAAAAAATTTCATAGTCATGCTAATTTTGCAGGGCAAAGTGTTAAAAAACACTGCTTTGTAATAATTTATATGTACATAGATAGTTGATTTAAAGTTCTTGTATTAGTTTCATACAAGACTAGTCAATTATATTGCTTATGAAACTTGTAATTTATTTACACCGACGCACCAAATTAATTTCACTGCTTCAAGTGACTAAATCATTAAAGGTAATACATAAAATAAAAAAAATAAAAAAGTGTGTTTTTCTTAAATTTAAACGCAGATAAATACTTCAACTGAGTCACAAGTTCTAAGCTCAAAAGTATTTTAATTTCAAGTTTATTCATCAAAATTTCACATCTTAGACAGCTATAGTACAAATATTTACAAAATATTTATTATTTATTATCATTTTACACACCTACGTTATCATTGTTGTCACTTATCACCTTATAGGTAATAATTTGTTATCATAGTAAGAAAGAAAGGATATTACCTACCGTGATGAGTTTCAATTTTTTGAATTTTTTCTCCCTTAACATTTTAGTCAACAATTCAAGTAAAATAGATTTTAGAACAGTAATATGAAACAAGCTAAACAAGAGTACCTATACCTACCTACCTTTGGTATTTTTATGTCTTTAATGAGTTTTTCGATATTTTTCTTATACCTAAGACAAAAAGTAAAAACTTACTGCCTTTAACATAAAAGAACCAAAATAAACATTTATTTTGTTTATTGGAAATCAATATAGAGGTGTGTCAGAACTCGCTCCCTAGAGAAAAATTTCTAGTAAGATAAAACACCAGGAACATGGAAAAAATGTTTAAAAAATTCTATCTGTTAAAAAATTTTGACATTTTTTTTATCATTTAACATTTTTTTTACGTCTATTTAATGATACTGATGGTTTTGTATATGTTTTTGTTTACAATTATTCAGTAAAGGTAAAAAAAATTGCCAATAAAAATCACAAACATTAAACAGAGTTACAATTTGACATACAGCTTCCTTGTTTGGAAGATTATTTTTCCAACAGAAATAAATAGAATCAAAGTGCAAAATTTAAACAGGATGAGTACAAAATATGGAACCAAGCGGTTTTTTTTAATCATTTGGCTCTAGAAAATAATAATTAATATAATTTAAAGTAATATAAAAAATGTGATCATATTTTGATAACGAACTTTTGTTTTGTTTTTGAGTTATGCGATTTTTTTTGTCAAAATTGCAATTGATGTAAAAAAAGAATTATTAAATATGAAGTAGATAGTTGAATTCTTAAATAATAACCTTTATGAGAATAATGGTTTTATAGTGAGTCACTATTTAAAAAAAAATGAAATTTTGTAGAACTCAAAATCAAAAGAATAATATTTTGTAAAATTTTATTCTTGGTAATCACATTTTTATAGTATTTTGTCATTCATCAATTAGTTTTTCCAAAAAATGAGTAGGTTATTTATTCGCTTCATATATTAGTTACATTATAAGAGTTGGACAACATATTATTTCTAAAAAAAAATTTTCAACAAAATATAATTCACTATAGTTATTTATGAGTGTAAATCGGACGTATTAGTTCACCAAGTGGAATAAAACGTCCGATTTACACTAAAATGAGTTGAATACAACATTTTATTCTTCGAATTAGACTCAACACGGCTTTAAATCTGTTAAACATAATCTGCCGTTTCGTATTGAGAAATGCCAAACAGTTAGCAAAACTTCCTTGCACGGGAGAAAAACCGTAAATTTTGACAGTGTCGAAAAATAAAAAAACAAATTTCCTTTTTTTGTCATAATTATAATACAAGCATTTTTAAAACGTATTACATTTTATTATTGATTACCAAACTTTAATATAATTTAATCTTTTCTACATATAAAAAGTTAAAGGCATGTAGAAAAATGCCTATCAATAGGCAACACATATTGCTGTCCACTTCTTTCATTATACATTACCTTTATAAACCTTGTAACAAGACCATAAAAAAATTCTGTCATTTATCAAAAAATAATTTTCATTTTTTTAATGAAAAAGAGAACACTTAGATTACAGGTTCCTTCTGTATACAGGGTGCGCCAGAACTCGCGCCCCAGAGAAAAATGCCATATAAGTTAAGATACCAGGAACATGTAAAAAATGTTAAAAAAATTTTATCTATAAAAATTTCTAAGTTATGAGGGTTTAAAGTTTGCACTTTGACTCTTTATTTCTGTTGGAAAAATAAATTTCCAAGTTTTTTTGCTATAGGCTATTAAAAGAGGAAACAAGGAAGCTATATCCTAAATTGTAACTCTGTTCAATGTTATTTGTGGCTTTTATTGGCAAAATTTTTGTCCATTTACTAAATAATTGTAAAAAAACATATACAAGATCATCAGTATCATTAAATAGATATAAAAAAATGTCAACTGTCAAAAAATAAATGTCAAAATTTTTTGACAGATAGAATTTTTTAAACATTTTTTTCATGTTTCTGATATGTTAGCTTACTTGAAAATTTTCTCTGGGGCGCGAGTTCTGGCGCACCCTGTATAAAAATATCGTCTTTGCTCTTGGACCCTAATTATAAATTTCAGACTACGGAAATATTTATTTTAGAAGTGAGAAAAAATATAACATAACTTTAATTAGATTCGAAAGTAAATATCACAGTAAAAAAATACTTAATATAGGAATCCTGTAATCATTTATTGTAGCAAAACCACTACTTTTACCTGCAAAAATCTCAAAAACTCGAGAAATAAGATAGTAATCTCAAGATTACTTAAATTATCCTTAAATTTCATATAATGCAGGTCATTTTTATTGTCTTAGGACTACAGAATTAAATTATTAGTATTATAAAACTGTATTACTCTAACTGAATATTTGCGTTTCCATATGTTGTAAAACATTTGTTAAAATTTTATTTAAAGTATTATTTAATTCTGATAATTGAAAATGCAAATTTAGTTCGGTATATTTCTTTTCTATTCTTCATTTGATCAATAAAAATTATTGAATTGCATACAACTCAAATATTGATTTTAGTTTACCCGAAAGACGGCTCTGCTCGTTCTCACTAAGTACACAATTGATGTTTTTCCAAGTGTAAAGTCAAACATACCTGCAACTGTGAGATAACGCTAGAACCGCCCCCAAATCCAATGTCTCCCTCCTCCAGACTCTCTAAGGGTCGATCCATTACATAATAAAGCTGCAGTCCCGTATCAAATAATATTATTGAAATACCACCCACAAACCAGTAAAATATTAAAACACATTTCATCATAAATGAAAAAAAAAACTGAGATTACAATCATTTTTGATCAGCGACTTTAGCTTCAAAGCTAATATGCTTTTTATGGGCATATTAGGCCGTGTGGCATGCGCACGTGGCCCAAAAACACCCTTATAAATAAAACGTGCTGGGAACCACTTTGGGTGACTTTTTACTCATTATGATTTTTCATACAAAGAAAATGAAACAGCCCCCAGTCTAAAAACTACACTTTTTTAACGAGAGGTAAATAATTCCCACAGTCATCAGAGGTCGATTTAAATCATGCGTTTAATTCAATTTTCATGATCACTCGAGCTTAATGTGACAACAAAAGTTGTTTTGACGCATCCCTATGGCAAGCTAAATTAGGGAGGGGCACAAGTCAACAAGGGGTGATGCCTTTGTCACTCTGTCAATAGTCCCAAAGGACTCAACCTAATTCGTACTGTTATTCTTGTTAAAAGATTATGATTATTTGAACACTAATACAAGTTAAGTAGATAATGAAACTCTGTATATTCAAATTTTTAGTATTGTTTATAACAAATTATTATTATTTAAATATTTTGTGTCCCACGTTTGCAACAATTACTATGCTGATGACCGTTTTATTATCAAAAAACCGCTGATGCGCTTAAAGATTCACCCCTAATATTTTTAATCAGTAATCCGATCTTCTCGTCGCCCGACTCAATTAATTTCGAAGAGGGATTAAAAACGCGTGTCCAACAAATTATGCTTAGGATTAAAGGAAAAGTCCCATCTTTTTCCCATGAATAAAATTGTAAATAAAACAAAACGCAAAAATCCAGAAATATTTTATTCATCACGAAAATGCAAAAAGTATCACAAGAACAGGTACAGCTATCACACATATTGCATAAATAGCGGTTCGTGGTTCACATTCAGATATCACAACGAATTCTTCATTCCAAAGATTACCATTTTCTTTAACTGGCAATTCCATCACTAGTTTTTCCGACGAGAAAAACTTCAAGTCCATCGCACACGCGGCAGAACTGTTCAAGCAAGTCGATACCGCGTTTGAAACGTTGTAAACGGCCTTATTCAGGTGGAATTGAACACGAATGTAGTTCGTTTGCACTTCATTTTCGCTATTGAACACAAAAAAATAGTAACCATTTACAGGAACTCTGAAAAATTTGTTTAAATGTAATAACAAACATTAACACTAACTTTACTTGTAAGTGATGGTATTTGCAAGATATGTTTCTTCAGCTTGTTCTTCTGTCAATTCTGGGACACAGTTGTGATGAGGGGTTAGGGGTAGATTGAGGATTAAACCAGCACAGTTTAAAAGAGCTTCCTCAGAGCTTGAAAATGATGACCAAAATTCACTGTTGCTGTAGTCGTTCAAAGTTGTCTCATTGACTGTGCCTCTATGGTCAGCAATCCCATCAGGAACAAAACCCTTAAAAATTGTTAAAACACTTGGTAGACAAATAATACATTACTCACTTCTTCCATTGCTAAATTCCGTTCTTCATCGTCTTCGGTAAAATTCGATTTCATGGCGTTCGAAATCGAGATTTGTCGTCGTCTTCTCCTGGCCCTGTCAATATTGTCATCAAAATTGACCGCAGGTTTTGAATAATGTCTACCTTTCACATCAAACTTTTGGTCACTTGTCTCATCACTAGTTTCGTTTTTGCCATTAAACTTCTTATTAAGTCTATCCAAAATCGAATTAGTTTTATTACCCAAACCTTGCAACCTCATCATAATATCATCAAAAGCCTCTTGTGATTTAGTTTTTTCGAAATGCGGAGCTTCTATTTTGATATTTTTGGTCTCGTCTTTGGCAATTGTAGAATTTCTATAGACGTGCGTATGGTTTTCCTTGGGTGTAGGTTTGTGTTTTTTCTTCGTCTTCACTTGAAGTAAATCTAAAATCGGTTGCAACATTTTAGGATCGGTGATATCAGCTTCGTCCACTGTTTTTTTAATTGTGTGACTTTCGCTGCTGTTTTTGTGAACAGGGTGATGAAATTTCACGTCTGGTCTGTGACGTTTCATCATTTCAGGCTCATTAGTTCGAGCATTTGTACTATTTTGTTTAGGTTTGGGCTTAGGTTTAGGTGGAACGTAACTTTCCTCCCGTATTGCTTTCATCAATTCGTCTAGTTCTTCCGAGGAATTGTCTCCAATATAGGCACATTCGTGTAGGTGTTTGTGTCCTCTGATCACAATTAAAGAGGCTCCAGGCCATCTGAAGTCAAATTAGTATTCAAAGATACAAGCTTAAAATATTTATACCTTACACAAGTCGAAACTGTTACTGAAGAGCCTTGCAAGAGATAGAATCCCCAATATTCTTTTGTGTCATCTTCTAGGTTTAAATGGCGAACCATTTTCAATGGTTTCAATTGGGTTGATAAAGTGGGTGGATTGTTTAACAGGAATGCATTGAAAGTCGTGTTGACTTTGACTAATTGTCTCTAAAAAATCTTGAAATTGTTTCATTGTTTAGAGATAGTAAATGAATATTTACTTGACACCAAGTTGTTGAAACTTTGTTATCCAAAAGTCTCATATCTGACATTGCCAAAGGATAAAGTTGATGACCATAGACATGGTATCTCATGTATAAAGGAAGCGCTATAAGTAAAGTTGGAAGAAAAATGCCCAATACACACAGTCTGATTAAGCGCAGAGGGCCTTTAAAAGTAGTTGGACGCTTTTTACATTGATTATGATTTAAAGGGCACTCTGTAAATAAAATCACCTTGATTTATTTAAAAGTAAGTTTTTATCTCGTTTCATAAAAGAAATAAGTGAACTTTACTCTGGGACAAAATTAAACAACTTATATAAGTGCGTCAGTATTACAGTTACAGATTAAAACATTATCCACTTATTTTACACTGCTTTGACGCAATTTGCAAAATTTACACACCTTTCAGATAAAACGGTTTTCTCACACTCTAAATTATTGATTGATTTGCAAAAAAATACAATACTTCTCCACAATAAAATAACACTTTTCCAGAACTTAGCTAATATTTTATTATAGGCACCTAGTAGTCAAATAAAGATTAATATATTTGCAAAAAGCTCCAAATCTGAGTTTATGTAAACGTTTAATAAATAAATCCAAAAATAAAACATAATAATAAACCATTGTTTTTTATAAGTTTTATTACCTCTAATTTCTTAATCCTCTCAGCCTTAAAAATGTAAAATAATATATTCAATATAAACAAAATATATAGATAAAACATAAAAATACAATTAAAACCAAATATTGAGTCGCAGTTTAAACCAGTTTGATAATCAGAATTTCTCAGAAAAACTTGACACAAATCTCATAAATCCAAAATACGAGTATATATCATCCCCTGATTTTAGATATCTTAAAGTTTCATTAAGCAATTAATTAAATTTAAATTAATATCTGTCTCTCCTGCTTTATACAGCATTTTATTATATTTAAAAAAATTGTTTTTCGTCTAAGAGTTTTCCATAATATCTTATCTAATGTTAAATATTTAAAACAATATTTATGCAAGTCTCACTCAGCTAAAATTTATTTCGATATGTCTGTTATAATGTCTTGGTTTTTTCCGTACATTTGTTTTGTTACGGTCGATGATCGATGTTGCTATTATTTTATAATATTTACTTTAAGTTTGTCCATTATCTATTGTGAAAATATGTTTTCTCACAAAATTAAATAAATAAAATACACACATTTGATAAACAGTGGGTCTTAGCTGAACTCTATTTAATTACCTAATATCCCTAATTAGTAAATACTTATCGTTTGATTTAAGTCACTTTAAGCCAATTTATTGATTAGTTAACGATATTTCTGATTAAATCATTTCAGAAAAATTTTTTAATTTTATTCAGAGGTTCAGTATCAGGTCAACTTATTCGCAGAACTGTTTAACATGTTTAACATTCATTTTGTAATTTATAATTACAGTCATAAATTCACACGTATTTATAACGATTTTATTAAAGAGGTACAAGACAACCAATCAATCAATATTTGACAAAGATCTTGCGTAAATCAAGTCTCAAATAATAATTCTAATCGATTTAAAAAATTAGTAAGATTTAGATTACTTTTCAATTATTTGACATCAAACACGTAAGTACAAAAAATAATAAAGTTGAACCAGACACATCTGACTGTTACATTGTATTTTTTTCTATAATTTTAATTTTTAAAATTTTCCAAATTCAAATTGACCATGAAATTCTATTAACATCTTGCCACGGGTTGTTACGAAAAGTATAAAAAAATAGATATTATGTTACAATTTAATTTAAAACGTCTTTACATTTATTTTAAAATTTATTCAAATCATGCACTTTGCGAACAATAAATAATTAAAATGAATAATATGATATCAATAAATAAAATATAAATGTTAATTGTGCGATAAAATAATAACTAGTAGAAGATAAAGCCAAGAGAAAAGAGTTTAATTTTACAACGCACAATAAAATAATCCTTTTGAAATAATGCCAACCTGTCCAGCCAAATAAAGTTCGCAGAATAGAATTCGCGCATTACCTTGTAAAACCGTAATAATTTTTATTCCAATTGCACTTTTGCCACATAGTTCCATTGCAAACACACACCGAAAGAAATTGCTCTTTACAGTCCAAGTTCATTGAATGTTCTGACCCAATTAGGTATAACACAATAACAAATTTTCGAAATTGTTTATATTGTGTTAATTAAATTGATAACAATTTGAGCAGATTCTCTAAACATTTGAACAAATAAATCAGCAATTCATTACCTTCAACAAAAGTTCCAGACTCCAACATATCTCTCCGCATCCAATCAACAATAACATAATATTAATTACACGTTTTGGAAGTCATCCCAGACAGGTGAATACTCATATTTATAAGACAAAACACTTATCTGTGAAAATTTTGTGTAAACTTTTATCACTGAATTACGTTATCTTCTGTGAAACACGCGCTGTAGCTTCGATGATGATTCTCCTCGTTTAGTAGAGACATGAGGAACTAATTCTAATTTTAGTTATATACACTTGAATTTGAGAGTTCACTTTTAAGCTAACACAGTTTAACGATATATTTAATTCAACATTAATCGTTTATATTCTAATCTGGAGAACATTTGATTTAGATAAGTCTTTGATAGACAGACAATATTGATATCCCAACACAAAATAAACAACAATTAGTTACTATTTAATCTACTTTAGTTTTTATTTTCTGATTATACGTCACTGTAATCATATGTAAAACTAACAATGATAAAGAAGAAAGTTCAAGTCAAATTCCAGAAAATTTGAATTTGACCTTATTTTTTAATTTCACATTAACGCGCATTTTTATTGACAATTTTTCTGAATTCCTACTTAAAATTTAATTTAAGCATCTTAGGTACAGTGATGGACAGTGAATTTCGTCCACCCAATTTCCTTGACAGATTAAAAGTGTAAATTAGTCTTTAGGTTTTACTAACCTTGTTTCAGAATTTTGATTAACGTTTGTCATGTTGACAGAAGGCTCGATAATTCTTGCTACTTTTTACCTTTGTCCTTTGAAATGGTAGTCCTTGGTATGCCCAAAAGTATGGAGACACGTCTTTGAGACATACCTTCTTATACCAGAGAGATAATTTTTATTTTATTAAACGCACTTACTGCTGGCATGTTCGAATTTGATTAAATTTGACAATACGTATTTGAATGTCAGTCAACCTGACAATAAAGCACAAACTACAGTGAATTTTGTGAATTCACAGAAATTGGATGGACGAAATTCACTGTCCATCACTGTACGTTTCATTTTCTATTTATTAAAAAAATTTATTAATAAATTAAGCAATTAAAAAATAAATAATAAAAAAATATAAATAAACATAAAATAAATTTATACTTTAAGATAAATAAAACGTTTTAAAAAACTTTTTACCTTTATTAAATTGTATTTTCAAAATTTAGTTAAAAAAAAGCAGAAATTTAAATTGTGATTAAGGTGACTTAATGTGGCACTTTAAACACAACGTCCCAACTTAACCTCATTCTTATTCTGTTTGACATTTGTCAAAATAAAAACATTCTAAAGTTGTTTGCTTTACATTTAACATGAGTAGTGTTTATATTTTGGAGCCCCCAACTTCGGGAAAGGTATTTAACGAATTTCTTTCGAACCCAATCCAATGTTTCGTTGTAGGTCTTATTAAAAACAACGGTTGGTGACATAGACGTTGAATTGTGGGCAAAAGAAACTCCAAAAACTTGTCGCAACTTTATCCAATTATGTCTTGAGGGCTATTACGACAACACCATATTTCACAGAGTTGTTAAGGGTTTTATAGCTCAAGGAGGTGATCCAAATGGTGATGGAACTGGAGGAGAGTCTATCTACGGGGAACCCTTTAAGGATGAGTTTCATCAAAGATTGCGATTTACACGACGAGGGTTGTTGGCAATGGCAAATGGAGGAAAGGACGACAATAGCTCTCAGTTTTTTTTCACACTGGGGGCTACTCCTGAATTGCAAGACAAACATACAATTTTTGGAAAAATTACAGGAGACACTATTTATAATATGCTCAAACTTGAAGAAGGGTTAATAAGAGATGAAAGGCCTATTTACCCTCATAAAATTATAAAAACTGAAGTTTTAAACAATCCTTTTGCTGATATTCAACCCAGGCTTAAGGAAGTTGAGGTGAAAGAAAAGAAAAAGAAAGAGAAGAAGCCTGGAGTCAAGTATATAACACAATAATTGTGTACATTTGGTGTAAAATGAGTTTTTCAGAAATTTTAAGTTATTATCGTTTGGAGAAGAGGCTGAGGAAGACGAGGAAGAATCAACAAGAGTGAATGAGAAATTGGTGGGTAAAGGCAAATCTACACATGATGTATTAGGTATAATATTTGAATGATAGTATTGAAATATTCTTAATTAAATTTAATTGAAGATGATCCTAAATTGAGTTCTAAAACGGAAGAAGTGGAAGAGGAAGATAATGATGACGTGGAAGAAGTTAACCCAGAAGAACAGTTAGAGAACATCAGGAAGAAGCTAAAAAGAGAGCACAAGAAGCCTGTTCCTATTTCTACAACCACAGCTGAACCAATAGATACTTATGAGTCATATTTGGAAGAAGAGAAACGAGAGAAAAAGAAAAAACAATAGTAAGAGACCATTGGATTTATTTTTTTGTTTATGATTAATTTCCAGTGAGGAAATTCAAAAAGAAATCCAAAACGTTAAAAAGGAGTATCATAAAAATAAGTTGAAGAAGAAGGAAGAGGATAAAATTGCAACTGAGAAGAAGATTGAAGAAGATAAAACAATACAAGAGTATAAAGATGAATTTGATAAATATAAAAATAAAAAAGATGCCTTACCCAAAAAGGGAGCAGGAAGAGAACAATTTACATTGAATTTGTTAGAAAAGTTTAAAAAGAAATTGCAATCTATGAAAGACGGAGAAGAGAATGAAGAAGAAAATGAAGAAGAACAAGCATGGTACGTATTCCATAAATATGCAATAGAAATTTTGTATTTATTTTTAATTTAGGCTGAAGCATAGATTGTGCTTTCAAGACAAGAATCCAGTATTGGCTAAAGACGCCAATAGAAAGGATGATGATTGGTTTGAAATTTATGATCCTAGAAATGCTTTGAATAAGAGACGACGTGGAGAAACTGTAGAGAAATTTAAGAAATGATTATGTAGTTTTCTATATTTATAAATAAAAATGTTTGATTTTACAGTAGGTTTTGATTTTCCCCTTTTTTCACCTTTTTTGGTGGAGTAAAAACACCAAAGAACAAGTTCCAAACACGTAAAAATCATTATTATTAGCTGAAGTTGTTATGTGTTTTTTATAAATTTTTTGTCTTGGGTTTAATAAAATAATAGATTTATGAGACTCGGAAGGCTTAGGGTTATATGAGCATATGACGCCATGCAAATGCGCGCGTTTAAGGAAATGAGGTTATGTTTTTAATTTTGTGGGGCCGGTGTCTTGTGTTGTTTATTTATTAAACTACTATGAAAAGACTTAATTAAAAATTTGTAAACGCAAATAAACAATAGTGAGAACCATGAGTGTGTGCACGTAAGTAAAAAACATTGAATTTAAAGAAAACAATCCAATTATTTTTAGACCAAATCGTAACGTTTTCAACAATTCTTTTGCATTAGAACGGAGCCTCTCAGTGAATAAAACACGGCGAACTATTCGTAAAAGTTTTATCTGGGGTTCCGTAAACCTCCTTATCCTTGCGGTTCTTCTTTATGATATGTAACAAATTACTGTTATAACCAAATAACTTTTTTAATTTACTAATTTTTAGAGCGAATTCATGTCCTTTGTACACCGATATTTATGATTACATCAAATATGCGTTTGCTCTTGTAGTAACCATAAATATTTTGTTTTATGCTGCAAAGATTATGATCTCAAATTTTAATAATGAACCAATACCAATCACTTTGGAGCAGAAGAAGTTGTTGGGAATTAGTGATTCAGGTTTGCATGCGAGTTAAAACAAAGTAGAATATTTATTGTGTTTTTTAGATCCTAATTTTAAAATTATTGATAAGATACATACGCCAGCTCAAACACCTTCACACTCATTTTCAAACAGCCCTAGTCCTCCAAATTCGCCATTGTCTAGTACTCCAATGAATATGACTGCAAACAGTTGGAGGTCTAGTCCCAATGATAGTGAGTGATTAGTTAAAATCATTGATTTCAAATACAATAAATGTTTCAGGTTTAAATTACTCACTGTCATCACCATCTTGGACTTATCATAAAGTAGTTTCTGGTCCTAACCCTTCTTCATTCCCATCCGATAGCCCCATTAGTAATATTCAATATAGGGACACATCGGGGATTGAATTTATCCAAGATGAGAAGGATTTAGATACATACTTAAAAGAGTTTGAAGCAAACACGAGTGTTAAAAACTTGAACAATCAAACACAACAACCTTCAAATTTGTTGAGTTCTTTTTGGAGCCATCCTGTAACAAAGACTGCCAAAGATATGTCTAGTTTTTTGAAAAGATGTACCTATCAACTAGCGACACAATCTCCTAGTGAGTTTTCAATTTATGTTCTAATCTTTAGTAACATATTTTTTTAGCTAATCTCAATTCAAGTAGTCCGAAAAATAAAACTGAAAATAAAAGTTCACCTACAGCATATCAAACTTCCGCTTTGGCTCATTGGTCAAGGCTTAATATTGATATAGTTTCATTAACCCAATGGAATGAAAATTTACGCAAATGGATTTCCCAAACCATTTTAGAAAGACTGATAAAAGAATTTAATAATATTAATGAATCTTTTGAGAAACATGGACTGACGGATATTAAAATTGGCCAAGTTGGGTTAGACAGACTTCGAAAGACAGCGCAAGTTGCACATGTGACTCACTTTATTCCAAGTTTACCAACTTTGATACCCTTTTTGGAAGTTACCTCCAACCAGGAATACTTAGAAAAACGGATAAGGGAATTAGCTAAAGGGGGTTGTATGAGTGACTTTAAATGGAGTGGAGGAAGTTGCTACAACGGGAAAGATTGGGATGATTCACTCCCGACTGATTCAGCCGTAATTATTGAAAAATACGTATTTGTGTAAAATTATTGTCGATTTTTAGATCATAATGCACTTGTTTGCTTCATACTTGGATACTCAGCTAATGCCATTACCAAGTATGCCTGATACAAAACCATTCAGTGGTCTGTATTACATAAAAAGCAAGGATAAATTACCTGCACTAACACCAAACAGCCTTTTTATCCAACAAGTATCTGAAAAACCCCCACATTTTCGAGTAATAGTGGGAGAAACTGTTTATGAAATGGTCAAGGTAGAAGTTTACACATAAATAAAAACTTGAATTAAAAAATTTAAAAAAATGTTTCAGGGTTACAATAATTTATTTTACAGTATTTTGTTCTTTTTATATCATGTAAACAAGCAAGAACATGGAATGTTAGGAAGAGTTAATTTGGGGAGAGCGGGGATTAATATGCTCTGGATTATTGGACAATAATTTTTTTTTTTCAATAAAGAACATTATTACGGTATTTTTATTTTTATTTTTCAAAAAAAATATATATATATATATAACATTAATTTTTCCATTGTTAGTCCAGTCAACGAACAAGTTGTAGAATGCATGGTCGGGAACAGAATTTTTAACGTGAAAGTGAAACAAAAAAGGGTACGATATTTGTTAGTGGATATCTGTTGTAGTTAATTTTATAAGCTTTAATTTAGTACTTAATGATTTTTTTCGCAACACGTGCCGTTCTCGAGGTATAAGCGAGAAACCATAAAACGGCCCCTTTTTGCTGACTCTGCGGGAGGACTGACTTAACTTAGAGTTGGTCCAAACACAGCCCTGAAGTCAAATATTTTGTTCTTGCTCATGTATCCTACAATCCCTTTTTAATCATTCACTGACTGAACTACGTAGGTATGCATCATATAGCTCAAGGGGATTGACTAACATTGTATCAACATTTGAGTATTTCACAGATATATGACGTTCATTTTCTTTCTTATCTAGTAAAAATCGACAAATTGGACTAATTAATTCCTTTTGTACTAAAGGATCGTTTTTATTTGTTACATAACTAATAATTAAAGCTGAAATTATAGCTATACCAGCACAAATAACAGGAAAATAAAAAAAGGAAATTCGAAATAAAAATGGTGGCTTGTGTAAGGTGGCTGGATTACTAAAAAAAGTAGAACATAAAACAAATACAATCAATATCATACTAACTTTGTAGTTTCATTCAGCCAAAAGGTAGCTGGCGTAGTTTGGTTGAATGAAAAACATCCACTGATTGAAATAGGTTTTAAGGGACGTTTTATCATATTATTCATCTGGTAGTAAGTGGCAGGACAGGCTATACTCAGTCCAAGAAAAAGGGCAAAGATAGTTCCATAAAAGGCTCCCTGATGACATTTATTAAAATGTTGTTTATTATTATTTTCAAACTTACAGTGGCGTTAACTTTTAGAAAAAGTAGCCCGGAGGAAAATACTCCCAAGATTGGTCCACATGTCACTCCCAATAAAATTAAAGCAAAAGTAAATATTGTGCCCGTCTGGTGTATTACGAGAACCAGAAGAGCACACACGATTCCTACTCCAAGAACAGTGAGTTTTAAAATATTACCGGCTTTGCGTTCTGAAATGTTCCCTAAAAATTTACTAATTACATCAGAGTAAATCGAGGCAGCGACCGAGTTTAACATTGCTGACTGAACACTAAAAAAGGGGAAAAATAGAGCAAAGCATATGATTTTGTATATGGACCTTAAGCTTGAAGAAAAAAATGAAGAAATGAAAATTCCAGATACACCTGGGACCATTTTCCCAAGATCTAAGACAAAATAGGGTAGTAACTGGTCTGGAGATTCTATAAAACCTGCTCGGAAAGGATCACAGTTTGCATATCTAGCATACATTGCCAATCCAAGCAAAACGTAAATAATAATCACAAAATAATTGCCTATCAAAAAGCAAGCAAATGCTCTACATTTAATGTTTAAGACAAAACAAAATTTCATATTACTTACTTTGTGGCCTCTTTAAAACTGCGCAGTGACCGCATCTTCTGCACATAAATTTGGTCAACGCAAGTAATAGCAATGAGATTTACTGTGAAACCAATTATTATGGCCCAGAAACTGTCATGAATTGTTGGATTTAGATCAAATCTAAAATTAATAATAATAAATAATAAATTTAATTGCAATGCAATTAAATAGGTACTGAAAAATATTTAGTCTTCCACTATTGATAGCCTTATTCCAAACCTCCACTAAACCACCCTTCGATTTTATTCCTAGTCCCAAAACAATTACCAAAGTGGTCGCTAATACGACAAACTGAAGCACATCTGTCCAAATCACAGTTTTAAAGCCCCCAATACTGGTGTAAAAAATGCAAATACTAGTAACGAAGAGTGTGAGAAAATGTAGCTTAAAACCAGAAACTACGTATAAAACAGTTTTTATCCCTAATAAAAGCAATCTTATTAAATTCACACCTGCAGAAAGGGCAAGAGCCGGTGCATACATCGTCATAGAAAGAAAGAAGAAGCTACTAGTAATAAAAATGATAGACGCCAAACGTCTACATCTTCTATCAAATCTTTTTTCTAAATATTCATAAGAAGTAGAAATATTCAAATTGTATAAAACTGGCAAATAAACGAATCTATTTACCAAAAACGCTAAAATATAACTGAAAGCGCATAGCAAAATATATGCACCAAAACTATACACTTCGGAACAAAATCCTAAAAATATCAAAGGCGAACAATTACTGTAATTGAAAAACAATCACAAAATTAATTTATTAAAACATATAATTTGTACCTTGCAATTAAGGAAGTAGCAACAGGGAAAGCTCTCATCGTCCTCGTACCTTGCAAATATTGCGATGGATTTGATATTTTGTTTTTGGCAAAATACCCAAAATAAATCCCAATTAACAAACTGAAAATCAGTATGAGGATAAAAATAAGGTAATCGTACCAAAATAATGTAAGCAAAGTAACTTCCATTTTTGTAACATAGACTAAAATAATTAAAATAAAAATTTAAACCTACCTACCGAACTTTGCGTACGTAACGTATAATTTTTGATAAATGAGTAATTATTTTATGTGGAAAAACGATAAAACGCGCGTAGAAACACTTTTTATATTTAACCACAAAAGTAATGAATAAGAAGTAGTTTGCCTCAAATAAAAATCGAAAGACAGGAATTTTTTATTCCTTATGTAACTAACAAGCAACAGAAGACTTTATTAATAAAAAATAAAATTCGAAACATAAAAGGTGAATGATATCTTGCATTATGGGTGTAAAACATTTTTTATTAAAATAAGTACAAATAAGTAAAATATAAACGACGTTTATAAAATTGTATCTCCCCTACACCATAGAATAAAAACAATAAACCATCGTTTAATAAATTCTCAAAGAGCGTGTTTTGCTGTCAGCCACAACAATATCTAAATCACTCGTCACACAAATCCCCGAGACCCACCCAAACCCGTCACTACTTGACCCCCCAAAAATTTTCGCGACACTACCATCGGGTTTAAAAATTTGAACCCTCCCATTACCCCCATCTCCAACTAAAATAAACCCTGCAGGATCAACGGCTACAACTTCCGCCGACCTAAACTGCCCTTTCCCTCGACCCAAAGCCCCAAATTCGTGCAACTTCCTTCCGTCCAAGTAAAAAATCTTAATTCTGTGATTCCCCGTATCTGCGACGATTATCTTATCGCCACTCATTGCGACCCCCGTTGGCATATTTAAGGTTGTTTTGTTGCCCACTGTGCCTATAGTGGAGATGTGTTCTCCTGTTTGGGAGTTAATTATTATAATCCTGTCGTTGCCGCTGTCACAAATCACAAGTTCGTCGTTGGGGCCCACAGCAATCCCGTCGGGGCTTCGGACTTTGCTAAGACCATTGCCTTTTGAAAGCATATCTCTTAGGTAGTCCCCGTTTTTGGAGAATACGTGAATGCAGTGCTTCCATTTGTCCGAAACGTAAATTTCTTGGTGGGTTTTTGAGAATGCGATGCCTTGGGGATAGACCATTTCGGAGGAAATTAGTCTGCCTTCTAATTTTCTTCGATCTCGGTTTAGGATTAAGACAGTGTGAGTGTCAGTTGCGGCAATATAAAGCAAACGGTTGTCCCATGGAGGGATTCCAACGTCGGCTGGTCTTGGGCACTTGTTCCAGACTAATTTAGGAATAAATGATCGGTTTTTGTAATTTTGACTTGCTGATTCGAATCGTTCTAAAGAGTTGGTACTTCGGGAAGTGGAAATTTCATTATCACCAACATCTGAATAAATCCCTTCTGTGTCTTGGTCAAGTTTGAATGATTCTGGATCAAAGATTACACGAGCTTCGCCGTAATGTGTAACTAAGGAGAGAAGTCGTGACGTCTCTTTATGCAAATTCATAAAACTAAAAATCTAAAGAAAAAATAAAACCACTTTCGCACGAGTTTTACGAACCTTCCCAGGAGAATTTTGCAAAGTATTAGAAGTCAATTTATTTTTTAACTCATCTATTTTGCTACTAATTTTGTTATAATTTTTTTTCCCCTCACGGACAATTGATTCAACTTCTTTCAAAACTTTTTCTTCATCCATTTTCAACAATTCCATTTTGCGTTCAGTCGCTTCTTTAATATTATCCACCAACTGTCCGCACCGATTCTCAATATTCTCCAATTTATGATCAAGCCTCATTTTTGACTCGTCCACTTGTTTGACTAAGATAGAAACATTCGATTCTAATTCAGACAAATGTTCGTTCCAACAAACATTGCAAAACACCTATAATTTTAATTTCACCAGTCACAAATTTTTGATTTTTTCAAAAATCACCTGCATGCAATGCTGACAACACTGTTCATCCCCTCGCGAAAAAATATGGCATTTGACGCAACGATCGGGTTTCGAACTAACTGGCGGAATATTGCTTTCGACCAGTTTTAACACAGAGTCAATGTAGAGATTTTTGGGCAAGTCGTTTAAGGAATCGACGCCCTTTTCTAAATTAACTTTGTTTTGGCATACGGGACACTTGATAGCTACTGGCTTTTTGGCTAGGACATCTTGGCTTTCAAGACTCGCTTGCTTGAGTAAGATTTTCTTTGCCATTACGTGGGAATGGAGACAAGGCAAGCAAAAAGTGTGCTGGCAAGGCAGCATTTTGGGGTCTGAGAGCTTTTCAAGGCATATTCCACATTGTATTAGTTCTTCTATTGCTCCAATAGAATCCTGTCTTTTGAACGATAGACAAATTAATAATTTTTGCTAATTCGTGTTGTAACACTAACCTCTCCAATCGCCGATGTCTTTGCAGACGCAAGCTTGCATTTTTACTCACTGATTTTGATTTTGCAAAAGACTCTCTTTTAGAGGCTGCACTTTTTGTGGAAACATCCATATTATTTCAAATATTTTTAGAAACTGGACAAATATTGTGTATCATGGATAGCTTATCTCTGATTTAAGATTAGGATTGTAAGTGGAATGATTAAATTCAAACAATGATTGCTAACTATCTAGCTATTGTTTTATAAAACTGTAAACATTTCTCAATATGTTTATGTTTTTTTAGTTACAAAATACTGCGTTCTAGGAAAACTATAATGTAATGCTATCAAAGTACACATCGATAAAAGTCAATCAAAGGCAACATTTTCTGCATTTGTGTTACTGTAACATGTGCAGGTAGTGTATTTAATAAAATTTGAAAAATATGACGCTTTAAGAACAAGAAATATGGTTCAATATGCTGTTACTCTTTTCTGGTTCATATATAACGACATCACGTTGTATAAAACCTATAAAATCAACGTTTAAATAAAAGCAGTAATGTCCTCTTAACCAAGATGCACATTAACTCGTAAACTCGTCTTGAGCTCAGTAGTACTAAATAGCCACTTGTAGTATATTTATTTTTCTCGATGCTTGAACCAAAAAAAAATGTGTCAACACTTGATCGATCATCGTTCGGATTTGTGCGGATTCAAGATTATGAAATTAAATCAAAATAAAATAAATTATCGAGGAATCCGCCCGTTATATAAGAATAACAACGCTGATAACCGGTCTCGTTTGACACTTGGTCAGTAGAACTGCACCGGTTCATGTGCGACTTCTTTCAAGTACCAACCAAGCCTCCAGTGCTACTCCATTTGGAAAAAAATCACTGAAAAAATAACGACATGTTTTTGCCGCATTCTCAGTTTTGATCTGTAATTGCCATTCGGCCCTCCAACTGGTATTGTGTTCGATCGGTGGGAAATGACACCAGTTTTTTGCCAGCGACACAAGAACAAACCTAGTGGTGTTTGCGCAATTAGCTGTTTGATGCAAAAACACGAATGATACATCGCTGACGGAATTTTATTGCTATACCGTTTAATGAAAATTTGCATCGTTTTATAAGGTCAAGTTGAAACACGCGATTATTTAACAAGACCTAAATGCTTCAATAATAAGCCATAAAAAATAAGGCGGATCAAAGTTATTTTTTAGAAGCTGTAACATGTCATTAAGGATACAGTTCAATCACACCAAATAAGAATATGATTACATTAAATAAAAAAGTGCCATAGCAAAGCTTTAAATTGCCATCTTTACAACCCAATACCGGTTGGTAAAAACATTTTGCAAAGTAATAAGATTTGTTCCAGATATGCACAATATCAAAACAATTACTTCTTTAAAGCGTATTTACGCTAAGGTGGGTCTATATGACTTTGAATAAAATTTGCATTAAAGAATAACAGGACAGGTCAGCATTTAGGTTAGCAATTTTAAGTGTTAGGGACTGTTTAAAATCTATGGGATACCTTGCCGCAAGCGCAGTCAAAATTATAGTAATTTAAACAATAAGTAAAAACTAACTTACTATTAAAATGCTATCAACTATCCAATAACTATATTCATCTATGAATTCAATATAAAAACTTGTTAGACATCGAGTCGTGAAACAAGTAGTTTTACTTTGTGGCCACTAGTACCTAAAACTCTCAAAATTTTATCAAAATAAAACTTTTTATAAATCTTTTTAATTTTGAATGGAGTTAGAAACAAGATATTTTTTATTTCAATCTGGTAGATACTTCCATTCAAGATAAAATGCATAAAATGTTGCAAAATAAAAAAGCCACATTTTCAAAAACTCGTATAAAGAAAACACTTAAAAATATGAGTACACAGTTGTCTGAGATAATTTAATTTTATGTAAGTATTCCTGTTTTAAGACGACATTCGTTGTCAAGGAAAAGCCATTGATTTAAAAAAAATATATTTATATTTCTATTATAATTAATAGAAAAGTACACACGTTTTTTATACCTGCATAATATTTTCAGTGTATTTTTTTTTGTTTCATTACATTTAAAGCAATCATCAGTCTTTTTCCAAACGACATTAGAAAGAAGTTCTGAGAGTTCCTTCGTACTTCAAATTAATTAATTTAATTAAAGGGGCATGTTTAATTCATTTTCATTTCTCATTTACTACGAAGTTAAATGACCATTTTAGCCATAAATTCCGCCACTGTTGCTTAACAAATCAGTGAAATGAATTATTAATTTCTCAGTTCGTTACAAAGTTAGATTAAAATGTATATCAGATTAGATGTTTTGCGAAGTTCAAGTCTTTAAATTAATTATAAAACACGCCTACTTAAAATTAAGCATAACAATGAATTAATTTTACTAATATTTACGCTTAACCATGCGCTATATAAATTAACTTGAAAGAGTCATTCAATAGCAATTTATGTATTGCATAATTAGCTACATTAATTAGACGATGTCATTTTTCAATATAATGATAACTTGTAATTATAGCAAAAAGTTCACCAATATTTCAAATTATAGCCAGATTTCTTAACACAATCCAAGTGAACTTTTGGTACAATTAAAAAAGAGATAGCAAATTCCCAAAATGGTAACTTTTTCATTTGGGATTAACTGTACGAATAAATATGTAAATCGATTTGTAACATAGTACGAATTAATTTTACAACTGATAAATGATAACACCGTTGCAAGTGTAAAAAACGCTTGTGGTCTACTTAAACTCGCAGCCCTGAAGCGAACACTGGTTCAGTAAGTTCAGCAGACGACATCCTGAAACGGTGACAGGGTAGAGCTTCAATATTGCAGAAGAATTGGCCGACGAACATACATCACGGACTCGGTCACCGGAGTAGAGAGTGAGTCGCAATCGCACGCGAATAATCCACGGTTAAACACCAAACAGTCTTCAGTGGTTTAGCAAAAACCAACCACTAACCACAGAACTTTGTTTTAACCACGAGAATTGAGACATCAACGGAATGAAGGTGAAGGAAGAAACAGGGTGCAGTGTAGTTCGAATTTCAGGATTTATTTCTTCACCAATGCAGGAAAAAGCTTTGGACTTGTGAGAAGATTAAACCCAGCACCAAGGTAAAAAATATTTTTTATAATTATTTTTATAAATTACTTTTTTATTTATACGTAAAAATTAAAATTAAATCAGCAAAATTATTTTTTTCTTAATTCGTTTAAAATTGCTTATTTCTTCTTCTGTATAAGGCATTTCACTGCTCCTAATGAGCAAAAAGCAAATTCAACTTTCCTTTAATTTATTTTTTTTTTGCATTAAATCTCCTCAATTGCATTTTGTTTCTTAAATTACCAGAAATTCCAACACATGTCAAAATTGGTCCACAACAATAAATCTCAAATCTTATGCAAGAATACGGTGCAACAGTTTTAAAAATAAGCGGATTCACTCTCAACGCCACGTTTTGTGTGACAGTAACAATAAAAGAATTTTAGTTATTGGGCCAAGTGACATTTCAGGTTATTGTTACTCTGATGTTAATTTTTGAATTCCGGAAATATCACAATTAATGTGATAAATAATTCATAGTCTTAATACTATTCGCAAACGGTACCGGCTGATGGACGCAGTCTAACAACCAACTGTAAAAATTTATTTGCAACAACTACAATAATTTTTTCCTGTAATTACTTCGGGTTGATTCCGCACATTTTTTTCAGCTTGTACAGTTAATTCAGACCTGACTTCAATTCGTCTAAATGCAAATTGAAAATTATCTATGTAGATCAAGCAGTTAATAACGTGTTTATTACATTGCTAGAGTTGTCAACTCGATAATGATATTTCATCGATGCGCTCGAAGCACGTGCACATTAACTCCAATTGATTATTTATACTTTTAGATTTGCAATCATCCTATTTGGCAAAATTAAGTGCAACTAAGCGATGCCGAAATTGATTATAAATTCTAACCGAAAGTAAATAAATGAATTAAGTTCCAGCCCGTTGATCTAAAAGTCTACACAAATTCTTTTCGCATATATGGTTATAATTTATAATAATTGCCAAACAAAAAGTTACCATTTCTACTTCTCTCATTCAAGTTAGAGCACTTCTACCCACTTGTCCTTAAATTCGTAGGTGTGTAATTCCTGCAAGTACTAATACGGAACAAACAATGTAAATCATACATACAAAACATTCAAGTAGGTCTACATTTTTAAACTTCCTGCTCCACGTGAGGACTGTTATCGACTATTAAGTAGTAAAATCGATTTCTTATTATTTTGGAACACGTTAGGTGAAATTTACGTTCGTGTCTTGCAAACGAATTAGCATGAAAAAATTCCTAAAGATTTGTACTTATAAATAATTCTGACAGTGAACTGTGCCATAAACCCTGGCCAAAATTTGCCGAATTTTTATAAATCAGTCACATCAAAATTAATTGAATATGTATGAAATTTTGTTATTTTTAGTCCCTTATCTGTGCTTCAATAAATCTCATCGATCACAACCCATCAATCATTTTCACATTTCTATCGCCACTTACATCATCCGAATAAAAAAAACTGGAATTCGATCCATATAGGTGGTGCCTCGAATTTTTTCTCGTACCTCTTTTACATAACACGTTTCGCATCTTAATACCGAACTCGTTTAAGTATCGAACCTTTTCGCAAATTGCACCTGACCGACATTTCAGACTTGACCAAAATGAAAAAAATACCAGGAACCATCCATAAGTAGATCACGATCGCGTGTTTCTTACATAACCATTCTCAACCGTTAGCGCTTTTAATAATTGTCAATTGGGAATTTTCGTAAAAACTTTCGCATTTTCCAGACTATAATTCACCCACTTAAGCTCATTGTCCTCTTTTGGTAGCGTGATAACGGGTCTTTGTTTCACGAACGTGAGGAAACTGCCGGATCAGACAGTCGAGAATGGAAAAACGCCCTACAAAAATGGCACGAGAGTTCGAATCCGTCGGCTGTTCAATGCAGACTTCGCAGGAATTTGTAAAACGCATCAAGGTTGTGGAACTTGTTCCACGTTATGTAATGACTTGCAAGTAAAAATCTGGCGTTTCCCGGTTTTCTTAAATTAAGTGGTACAGAACTGGAACTGAAGAAGCGCTTCAAATTCGCGATTAATAACACTTGATTTGACGCCGTTAGAACATTTCTAGGTTTATATTTATTTAAGATCATCTTCGTAGCGGGTTTTTCTGAAGCTAATTTATAGTTTTGGGCTATTTTGCCAATGAAAAAAAAAACTGTTGATTTGACCTTACAAATCGTTCCATTTCCAGCATGAAGACATCATTATTCGGAAGTCACTTACTGAGACACACAAATGCCATATCCTTCCTAGCTTTATCTCTTTTATTACCCTTAAGCCTATCCAAGGAAGAGGCTCATTCGAGACAGAAAAGAATACTGTGGGTAACGGCCGATGGAAGGCTTGCTTTACCTCCAGGCACAACTCTAGTCATCACTCCATCTCTTTCGCTGCCATTCGTTAGGTACCCCCCAGATGGATTTTTTTCCAACATGACAGTCAGTCTACCTTTTACAAGTGAGTTTCGTCATTGTTTCTTTCTATTTTTTATTCTGGTATCACTTTTAGTTGATTTTAATAAACTCGGCTTAACTGACAACGAGAATCCCTTTGGAGTCATCCCTCCTGTTCTGGCCCGTTCGATGGGTAGAGCAGCAGGAGGAATCTTAGCAGATTACGTCGGAAGCTTACTAGACCACAGAAGGAGAAGTAAAAGCAAAAGATCGATTGAAGAAACGGCACCACAACCACCTGAACAATACAAACATGCTTTTCACGGAGGCGAAAGAGCATTGTTGTATGTTGTCCTCGAAGAATTTTTAGAGAATTTCGGGATGAACGGAAAAGCGTGTCTTTTGAGGGCTATATGTGAAGTGCACGCTCACCCTATGACAAATTTCGGACTAGTAGGAGAAATGTTAAAGTTATTTTTATCGTAAGTACCACCTCAAACGCAATTTTTGATTTTTTAAGATTTGGTTTCAGAGCGAGCAAATCGCCGTATTCCGAATTGCTCAATGAATACGTCGAAGCGGAAAATGCCGGACGTGGGAAGTCCGGGCCTTCTGAATGTTGGCCATACATGAAAGATTGTCCAAAATCTCTCTTTCTTCCCAAGCACAATCATTATAGGTATTTTATTGCCAAAAAATAGAAAATTACATTAACGAAAATATTTCAGTGAATCTGAGGAAGAAAATGTGATCGAGGAAGCAAACAAAGTTACCTACACTCCCACAGTAAAAAATATGTAGTGACCCAAGTGACTTAAAAAATAGTGATAAAATTTTAAACGGGTGAGATTTCAACTAAGTCAAAGACGTAATAAGCAATTTATGTGTATATAATGCGAAAAAATTGCTCAGAATAATTTTAGTGTATTCTTACGGCATTAAAACTTCGTATTGACTGATTATAATCTAATTATTGTGCTATATACTTAAGTGCTCAGTGTATTATAGAAACAATCGCTTGTAAAAGATTTTTTATTTATTTAACTATTTATTATATCAGAATATTTTTATTTGTGCAGTGCATGATAAAATTATTGTAAATAAATAAATCTATTTACCATAAGTTATTTGTTTTATTGAGACTTTCAGTAGCTAATAAATGAAGATGATATCTGAAATAACTTAAGCCATTTATTATTACAAACTTTGAACTTATACGATATATAACGGTTGAATTTAGAAGGATGATATACTACTGCACTTAACCTTCTTGAAGAAATGATGAGAAATAACGCCGTTAAAACATTTACAAACAATCTAGATGCATATACAAAAAACAATATTTCCTTTTGACCATATTTTACATATAAAAAATAAACACTCCACATGTTTAACGCATAAGTTTCATTTTTTTTTCACGATGCAAATTAACATTCCTATTACTCATAACTTACAAATCTTTTTTCCACCTGCTATTAGACAACAGGTGCTATGTATCAAAAAAAAGAATATAAATTATCCTTCGCCTCAGATGAGTGAAAGTAAAATCTTTATAGTCTTCTAACAATAATATTCGTGTTTATTAAAGTTGTTTTTTTCACAAAATGGTTTTCCAATTTCCAGACAAAGCAACAAATTAGTTTAATTGGATTGTTGACATCGATTTTAATTGAGTAATGGACTAGAGGTAATTGGGTAGAAGTGACAACTTAGTATTTAAAAATTTAAGAAGTACATTTTATTTTTGTTACATACGTTATTTGGACATTTCTTGTATCATTATTGTAATAAAAGTAACAAATCCTTAAAATTAACTAACAATAAATATGTACGTTTAAACTTGAAATGTTCTACGTTGCAAAAATACGTAATTATCACTTTTGTAAACCATCCAAAAAATCCATTGTAATTATTTGACCATAAAAATGAGTATTATTTGCACAGACCTAATAGACATTTAAAACCAATTAACAACTAAAAGTTCTAATATGATAAGCACAAAACGATCATTTAAGGCACAAATGTGTTATGTTACATTAATTAAAAAATCTTTTGTGTGCAACTACTACATTTAGTTACAGCCCTGCTATCACCTAATTTTACAGTGTCATCATCATCGTCATTTCCTAACATACCGTTGTCATGTCGTCTCTAAAAAATTGCGCACAATTAAAACCAATATGTGCAAATTGCATCCATAATTCATCAAATAAATAATACAACTTACCTTTAATTCAGTGGCAAGACAAAGAAACGCTTCTTCAATATTTGAGTTATCTTTTGCACTAGCTTCTAACACAAATAAAACTTCAGGCATATACTGGCACATGGCTTCAGCTTCTTCAAACTCCACTTCTCTTAAACTTTCCATGTCAGCTTTATTACCCACTAAGGCGAGTAGTACAGAGCTGCCTGAATATCTCCTGACCTCCTCCACCCATCTGGCCACTGATAAAAACGAAGATCGTTTCGTGATGTCATAAACTATTATTACCCCATTTGCAGATCTGTAGTAACTTTGAGTGATAGTTCTGAATCTTTCTTGACCTGCAGTGTCCCATATTTGCAACTGTAAAAGCAATAGTAGTTTTCATTATAAATTAAATTTATTTCATATCAAATACCTTGACTTTCTTTCCATCAACCATTACTGTTTTCATTGAAAAATCTACACCTATTGTGTTACCGTGTCTTTCAATAAATGTCCCATTTTTAAATCTTTGAACTATGCAGGTTTTCCCAGTGCCACAATCACCAATTAACACAATTTTAAACAAGAAATCAAAGGTGTCCTCAGCAGGAATTGCCATTAACGTTGTTGGATTTCTCGCAGTCATTTTCTTTTTCTCTGATATTCCAAAAATTACACAAATCACAAATATTTATTTACCTCCCATTTCGTAGGTTATAATTAGACATCTGGCCAGGGGGCGCTGACCTCAACATTGAACTTGAGTACCAACTAAAAAAAACAATAAACTGAAATATAATTTAAAGAGTGTGGCTTATTTCGCATTAAGATAACGCTATTTACTACAATATCTGGGTGTCAATAGAATATTATACAAAAAATTGTGTTCAATGCCATACAAATTAAATTTCCATTATTAAAATTTTTGCGCTATGTTGGCAATTCTTACCTTTTAAGAAGTTTTCTAACCTCACTTTTAATTTGTGTCTCATTTGTAAACAAAAGGAATAATAATGGTATTTTGCGAATTTTGCAATTTGCGAGAATATAATCGTGTTGTTTTGTAGAGTAACGTTAACATTGATATTGAGCCTCCTCCTATTCTCCCTGACATAACTGACGAGTTGAAGGACTATCTTATATGTCCTGAGAGGCTCCCCATTCACAGATATGAGACAAATCAGGAATTTTGGCCACGGACACCAGTCCTAGAAGAGCTACTTTTCTTTGAGGAGTCTCCTTTAAGCACGACTTTGAAGGTGAACCAAATATTAGGTTTTTCCATGTTAGGTATATGCGTTTTAAAAACAGGTGCAACGTGACCCTAACACTGGAGAAATAGTAGAATTTAAGGAAATTCCCATACAGTCTGCTGGTGCAAATGCTAAAAACTCTATGTCTTTGAATAGACAACCTGCGCCCCCTTCAGAAGCGACAAGGGGAAACGCGTCTTTTATCCCTTTTTGGCCAGCTAGTTTTCCTGATCCAGTTTCACAGTTACCCAAACAAGAACTTTTAGATACAGGTGGGTTTATCACATTAATTTTTCTGATTAATTTTCTAATTGTAGAATTATTAACTGTCCCTCCTGGTTTTACACGTGGTATTGTTTTTGCGAGTGACGGCAGAACAGTGCTATCGAAAGAAACTCAAACTAAAGAAAAAGAATCAGTTGATGTTTCTTCTAATATTGTCAATCTATTTGAAATAATTCAAGAAGATCAAAACTTTTTTGGTAGATTCATTTAACTTCCAATTCTGTTTTTTATTAATAATTTATAGGAACTCTTGAAAAACCACATGTTAAAAAGAATGAAGATATTTCCGAACATAAACAACGCGAAACCCTACCTGAAGAAGAAGAAATTTTGCCTAATGACCCCCCTGTTTTGAAAATCAGCACAGTGCCGCCCCCTACTGAATTTAAAAGCACGGAATGGGCTATTCTTCTTGATACCTCTAAACCAGTTAAAGATTTTAAAGAGCGAATACCAGAAATGGCTTACGAGTTTCCATTTGAATTAGATACTTTCCAAAAATTAGCTATTTTGCAACTGGAGCAACACAATCACGTTTTCGTTGCTGCTCATACCTCAGCGGGCAAGACCGTAGTGGCCGAATATGCAATTGCCCTATCACAAAAACACATGACTAGGACTATCTACACAAGCCCAATTAAGGCATTGTCTAATCAAAAATATCGCGATTTTAAAAAAGAATTTAAAGATGTTGGTTTGATTACTGGTGATTTTCAAATAAACCAAACCGCCTCATGTTTAATTATGACAACGGAAATTTTGCGTTCTATGTTATACTGTGGAAGCGATATTACGCGAGACTTAGAATACGTAATTTTTGATGAGGTTCATTATATTAATGATAGGGAAAGGGGCCACGTTTGGGAACAAGTTCTAATTCTTCTTCCTGCACACGTTTGCGTTGTTTTATTGAGCGCAACGGTGCCTAATACCATTGAATTTGCCGATTGGTTAGGCCGAACTCATCAAAGAAAAGTCTACGTGATCACAACCTACAAAAGACCAGTGCCTCTGCTTCATTTCTTGTACACGGGAACTGGGGGCGCTTCTCGGGACAACCGCTATTTAGTTCTGAATTCAGAAGGCTGGAAAATGGGGGGCTATGCAGCAGCTGTAGCTTCTTTACCTAAAGTCGACACTAAATCATCATATCCTCAAGCCAAATCGCAATATTATAATTTCACGCCTAAGCAGGAAAAAGTGTTGTGGAACGGCTTAGTCGATCATTTGAATCGTAAGAATTTATTGCCGATCGTTGCATTCACTTTTTCGAGGGCTAAATGTGATCAAAATGCCGAAAATTTGATGAGTTTAGACTTGACTACTCAGAAAGAGAAAGCTCAAATTCATATGTTCTTTGAGAAATGTGTCAGGAGTTTGAAAGAACCGGATAGGAATATTCCGCAGATTTTGAGGATGAGGAATATTTTACATAAGGGGATTGGGGTGCACCACAGTGGAGTTTTGCCGATTATTAAGGAGATTGTTGAAATGCTTTTCCAAAAGGGGCTGATTAAGGTTGGTACCTCCTAAGTACTACCTCCAATTTTTACATATTTTATTCTAATTAGTTACTTTTTGCTACTGAAACCTTTGCAATGGGTGTCAACATGCCTGCCCGAACTGTGGTTTTCGATTCAATAACAAAACACGACGGTCAAGAACGACGAAACTTGAAACCTGCTGAATATATCCAAATGGCAGGGCGAGCAGGTCGAAGAGGTCTCGACAGTGAAGGCACTGTTATAATTCTCTGTAAAAATAAAATCCCTAAAGTCGAAGAACTCCAAGCGATGATGATGGGGACTCCCAATGTTCTGCAAAGTCAGTTCCGACTGACTTACGGAATGGTAGGGCTCGCTCACTATTGAAAAATAAAGCTGTAATTTTTTTCTAGGTCTTGAGTTTGCTTCGCGTTGAAAGCTTAAGTGTTGAGGGTATGATGAGCAGGAGTTTCAGAGAAGCGGATCATCAGAAGAAAATGGTGGACAAACAAAACGAACTATTGGATGTTGAGAAAGAAATTCGCGATTTGTGTACACAAGAATTGAGCAGTTATTTGCAACCGTTGGTAAAGTTTTATAATTGCGCTTCGTCTTATTTAAATGCACGTCAGAAATGTTTGGTAAATTGTAATACTCATGATTTTATTTTTTCACTATTTTTGTTTAATAATTAGGATAATGTTATGTCATCACCTAAATTGATTAAAGTGCTGACGCCCGGAAGAATCATTCTAATAACACACAAATGGCATGTAAACAAATTAGCTTTGTTGTTATCAGTAGTTCGAGGCAAAAAACTGGCCTATAAGGTTCTGGTATTAACCGACTCAAAGTCCGAAGTAAAAGAAGAAAAGAACGATCTTTGGTATAAAATGATTGGACTGGCCAGTGACAACATTTTTGTCCCTGGAAGTTCTCCTGGACATGCAATTTTGACTATCCCCGCCGAAGACATTTTCGAAATAACTCACAAAACTGTTAAAGTCGACACAGATTTGGTGATTAAGGATTGGGAAAAGCGACAAATCGAGCGATTTCGGAATGATCCAGTTGGACAAACTTGCCAACAAGCCATTCAGGAGTTGCACAAGTTTACAATTTCAGTTAATGAAGCGAAAAACAAAGAGAAGTTGTCTTATTTACACTTAATTCATGATTTGAAAGTGAACGAACATCAAATTCATGATGATCTCCAAGTTGTGTATAAATTTAAAGATATTCTCATCGATCATTTACCAAGTACACAAATTCCGAATTTCGAACAACAATTTTCATCAGTGTTTACACGGACGTTTTTGGAGAGGAAAAGAGATGATTTGAGACACTATCTTTCAAGTGCTAGTCTTTCTTTGTACCCGGATTATGAAAACCGGATTGAACTTTTGAGAACATTAAAGTACGTTGATTTACAAAATAGAGGTAATGTATTTTGTTTAAGTTTAATCCGCTTGTAAAACAAGTCAATTGCAGTACAATTAAAAGGCCGCGTCGCTTGCGAGATGGGCATGAACGAATTGTTAATTACAGAATTAGTGTTGAGAAATATTTTAACAAAACTTCAACCCGCAGAAGTTGCCGCTTTATTATCCGCTTTGGTGTTTTCTCCCAAAAAGGATAATAAGGAAGAAGAAACTGTTCATATAACAGATGATCTAACAAAGGCCATGAAAGAGATGCAAAATATTCATCAGGAAATCGCTAAATTGGAAATGAATCTGGATATTAAAACGGATGAATTTCAAAACGACTTAAATTTTGCTCTCATTGAAATAGTGTATGAGTGGGCTTCAGCAAAGGTTTAATTTTCCTAATAGCAATAGCATATTCACATTTAATTTTTTACAGCCGTTCGCTGATATTATGTGTTTGACCGACATTCAAGAAGGTATTATTGTGCGGTGTATTCAACAGTTAAATGATACAATTTGTGATGTAAGAAATGCTGCAAGAATAATTGGAGATCCTGAATTACAAAATAAAATGGAAGAAGCTTCAGCTGCCATTAAACGTGATATTGTTTTTGCTGCCAGTTTGTATACTAATGATTTGTAAAGTTTTCTTAATAAAAAGTTGAATATTATGAACTCTCATCTTTTAAGTAACCCGCCATTATTGTGAATCATGAAACAAAGGTTTGCGCATGCGTCGAGTTTAAAATTTGTCACCAACGAAACTAACCTCACTTTTTATCTCAAATTGTTTTCTATAGTTTTATAAATAAAACCCCACGTATTATGGATACAACGCCAAAAACAAAACTCAAACTTTCTTCCAAAGACTCAAAAGCAAAAAGGGGTAAGAAAATAATTAGTCACATTATGTGATGTAACTAAAAAATGATTTTTAAGATATAAAAAAAGAGACTAATAATTCAATGGCCCCCCAGTCGCCTTTGAGGAAAAATGTCCAGCCTGAGGGGGAGGGTGAATACAGCCCTATTTATTTTCCTTCAACTCAAGAATCTAATGAAGATATTGATGTTTTGTGGGATTGGCATTCTCCCCAAACCAGCCAGAGGAAAAGGAAGACCCAGAAGCGTGTAATACCGGTTCATTCTCCAAAAATTCCTCTAAAACGGTTTCCATCTAGTAATCAAAGCCAGAATTTTGAAAAATTGAAAAATGAATTGAAAGCGCTTCAAGAGGAATTAGCAATGCCAGATGATGAAAGCTGGCTCTGTGTTTCCCCACAACAAGAAACTGAATTCAAAAGCAGTGTAAACAGTAACAAATTCTTGAGCCAAGATCCTCAGTTTGGAGATGTGGACGATTTATTTAATGATTCGCTAGATGAACAGCTCATTTTACAAGTAGAGAGTGAATTATTGCAGAAAGAAAATAAAGCAGGTCCATCTAACAAAACATGTGATAGTAGTGAAACACAGAACTTAAATAACAAATACACAACCAAAGAAAATTTGTCGGATAGTTTTTTTGAGGATATCATGGATGATTTTTCATTTGAGGATTTGCAGAAAAGTAGTTTACCAAATGAATCAAAAGTTCCATTCCAAAGGACACGTTCAGAAAACATTTTCAATAAAACAACACAGAATGTTATACAAACAGCGTCAGGCAGACTAGAATTTCATAGGACAAGAAGTTTTGAAATGACGAGACAAAGTATGTAGAAATTTTTACTTAATAAACTTTCATTGGTATAATTTCAGATAAGTGCACAGAAGAAGAAATTGAAAGGAAACGACTTGAAGCTTTAGCAAAACTTGAATCTAAAAAGAAACAAGAAAATTCAGCTTCAATCAAATGTTCCCGAGAAGAAATTGAAAGGAAGAGATTAGAAGCAATGGCGAAGTTGCAAGCAAAGAAAATGCAAGATGTTATAGAGAAGAAAAGACAAGAAGCCTTAAAAAAGTTGCAAATGAGAAAACAGAACGCGTGTCAAGTTAGAAGCACATTGGCTACAAGACTTTAAATAATTTTTAAGTTGATTGATAAAATTTATTGAAAATAGTTGTATTATAAAATAAAAATTAAGGTAAAATTTTTCGTCTTGTATATTTTTATCCTTAGAATACCTCTTTACATAAGTTAAAACTTGGTAACAGTTATATAGATGATTTCTCATTTTGAGATTCACAGAAAAATAGTTTACCAAATGAATATATGTATAGAAAAAAACAGAACGCATTTTTAAGTTTATTTATTGATAAAATTTATTACAAATAATTGTATAAAATAAATATTTAATTAAGTACCTATAATTCTTTCAGTCTTACGCATTTTTATCTTTAGAATTCCTTTGTTTCCTCCTTACTTCAGTAGAAACTTGACAACAGTTATATAATATGGTCAATAATACAAAATTAGACCAGGAATTATCTAAAAAAAATACTTAATATGGGCTTATACTCAGTAACCGTATTACCATTCATAAACCTACTAAAAAATATATTTCCGATTTCGATGCGAGCAAAAAAATAAAAATTAGAAATAGCAGACATAGCTAAAAGAGGACTTGCAGTCATGCAGTTGATTCGCCTGAACCATTTAGGGCCTAGACTTTCATATAATTTAGAGTTTTGTAAATATTTGGTATTAAACCAGTGGCTACAGTTTTCGATTATTACACCAATATAATTCAAAAGTGTCCAAATTAATATGTAGTTATCGGTTCCATGCCAGACATAGACAAAAAGAAAGCAAAATAAACTAGACAACGATCGGCTAGTAATAAATCGGTTTTTCATTGTGGGGATGTAAATATATCTTAAAAAAAATAATTACATTTTTAAATACATTTTATATGGTTCACATAAGCACCTCAATAAGAAATTATAAAGCCCCGCATCAAAATATTTCCACATATCGGAATACAAGTGTATTCTCCCGATGCACACCGGCAATGAAGGCACTTTAATATTCTCAAATTTTGCAAAACTCGTTGCTAATCCATAAATGACCAAATATTTTATATGAAAAAATTGACCCATGGTGTATCCATAGCCATATAAAGACCACGAATCCAATGATTCAACCCACTTAAAAAAAATAAAGGAATTACATAATATAATAGGATATTCGAGACAAACCTCAGGGTGAAATCCCGTAGCATTTACGTAAATAAAATGTAAACATAATTCAGTAAAAAACAACCAAAATAAAAACCTACTAACATCCAGAAATAATTGTGAAAGACGGCTGAATAAATTATTACTATGCTTATGAGAAGTAACAAAATCTTTGTAAGAAATAAACGGTCCAGTTAATGCATTTGGGAGATACAAACAATATGATAAAAATGCTACAAAATCTTGTTTCCCTTTAGAATCGATCAGATCTAAACCATAGCTAACACATCGCAAATTCATCCAAAATATTGTTATTATAGTTATGTAAGCAGCTTGTTCCTTTAGCTTGAATATGATGAAAAACTCTTCTTTCGCAATAAAATTTTTATACATGGAAATTAGTACTAGAACAATGCCATTGCACAACCAAATCATAAGTTTACTGTGCTTAGTCAACACAAATGAAAATATTACAGGCTGTAGAAGTATCACCAACAATGCAATAACACCTAAATTATTTATTATGAATAATACTGTAACCACAATTTGCCACAACTGCAGAATCTAAAAAATCAATTAATTAATTAATTAATTAATTTTCTAGCTAATTTCCGATCATTTACCCTGATAAAACTATATTTTCGTAAAACTTCTGATACAACTGATAATAAAACAACCCATAAACATAAATTCTTAATCAAAAACTTCATGGACTGCCATTCAAAGTCTGCTACATCTTTTTTTCTGTTTAAGAAAGACCAGCCTTGGGTGAAATCTGAATATGCGTCATCATAATACTGAAAATCTAAAAAAAATATTTCTAAATATTTTGTTAAGTCTCCCAGATTCCATACATTTGTTACTCTCATTTGCAAAACAAGTGATCGCATAAAAAACAGCAGAGGACCACACCAGTATATAAATTAATAATTCTTTTGGCAAAATATCTTTAGAAATTCTTACTTTTGAATATGGATTATGAATTTTCATGTTGACCACAAATCATATTTTGAGGTTATCTAGGAAGTGAGAAACTGGTTCAAAATCGCCATTTCTTATCATAATATGTATTATAAGATATTTGCCCCACCATACAATATTTATTGTACAACAAACTGTTTTGTTTGTTTTAGAGCATGACAGTGGGAGAACAGATTTTTTCAAACATTTATTTGCTTTCCATTTTTATTACAAAATGTTTTTATTAAAATTAAGTAATTCAACATTATAACGACAAAAATTGACACACCTCATTCACTCAACCTAATCATGACTGGACCTCCAGTCTCACAATGAATCTTACATTTATATTTAATATAAAATTAAACTGCTATAAATATTTACAAAATAGAGTCACAGAAATAATTTTCTTTGAAAGGGCCTTACTTCTTTGAGCTGCCTTCATCTCCAACACCTGAAAAAACACTATAAAACATCTACTTGGCTTGGTTACAAATAACTTACTTTTTCCATCACAGGCAACAATCTTCACTTTATCAACCTTGGTAATCTCTTGCACTTCTCGAAATTCGACATCATTGAGCATGAATGTCCACACGTTGTCACAAAATCGATAAGTATTAAGTTTACCAGCCTTGAACGTTAGCCGAGATTTGACTCTAGTCGCCAAAGTCATATTAATAGACTTATCAAATAATAACAACACTTTACAAGCCAGTTGAGGCGTTATTTGACCATACTAAAACATTAAAAAATAAAACAGTAAGATACAAAAATTCTCAAAATAAAGCATTACCTGTATTAACTCATCCAAACTTTCCTGTAATGTATGACCTAAAGTTGTATTTCGGTACAACTGGTACGACATTGCAAAGCAATGTTAAATCTTTAGCGATTCGCAATACTAACTGAACCTTATTTAATTATTACTTTTACTAAATACACGAAAAATACAAATTCCTACCGAACATCTAATACTTAACAAAAAGTGACAGGTCAACCAGATCGTAAACGTCAAATTACAGTAGAGCCACTACATTGTAATAAAAATAACCGCTTTGAACTAAGCTGCTTGCCAAATATTTTCATGTTCTAAAATTATCTTTTTCATACAAGAATTATAATTAATGCCAGTACAAGCAAGTGCATACGTCTAATAGATTTATTGCTTTGGATATCCATTAAAAGAAGTGTTTTGTGAGAATCAGCGAAAATAAGAAAATTCTATGTAAGTATGGCAATGCCGCTCAAATAAAAAGAAAGCGAGTGTCAGTTGTCACATGAACGATTTGCGAGTGACAGACTTTTATGTCAACATTAGTTATTTTTTTTAATTTAATAACAAAATTTTCAGCAATGTAATCGGTTAAGCGATAAGTCCTACGCTTCTTATCTTTAATAAAGACATAAATAAATCGTGTTAGTGGATCAGTGAGTATAAATTTTCCACGAGTGAAAAGATCTCATTCGTTTTCAAAATTTAAATATAATGGACAGGGGATCGTATGAGAAATTATCAATAAGAGATTCCGCAAGATCCCTAAAAAAATATGGTAGTACAAGTAAACATGTAAATAGGAACGAAAATTGTATCAAACACTACGTTACAAATACTGACACTCTTCAAGGAATTGCGTTGAAATACGACGTGACAGTAAGTGAAAATATCTTATTTGTAACTGTGTATTTATTGTTTTGATTCAGATAGAACAGATCAGGAGGGTTAACCGCTTATGGGCCTCTGATAGTCTGTTCCTAAAAGAATATTTATTAATCCCAGTGCGTGATAACTCTGTGCCCCCTGTAAGCAGCGAACCGCCTCCAGTAGTTAGTCCTACGCAAATTTCGTCCCCGATAAGCAATAGTAGTTTTGATGAAGACAACGTCGAAGAATTTTTAGGAAAAATTGATGCAGCTATTGCAATTACCAAAAAGGAAGTCAAAAGGACCCAACGTAGCAGCGAGTAATTATTCATGTTTTTCCATTAATGCAAACTTAATTTTTATGGTGACTACAGATTCGCCTCAAATTCCGACTATGGTTTAGAAAAAAGAAAAGCCCCAGTGTCTCGGATGAAAAAAACTGTTAATAATAACGGAGTCAGTGATTTGTTTTCACCACCCCATACTGTCGTTGTACAACAAGGAAGAAAAGTTAAATCATCGCTGCAACAACATGAACAACAACAAGACGAATTGTTCGAGTTGTAGCAAAAGTATCCCAAATTATATATCCCATAATCTCCATGGAATTTGATTAATACGTATGTTATTACTTGTTATTAAAATATTTCAAGGTTAATATTTTGTTGATTATGTTGTCATTTAGTCATTGAATTTTTATATTGAGAGTTTATTTGTGTTCTCAGTTTTATTTTTTATACTTTCTAATAAAATATTCTTTACTATCACTTTCCGTTTTACTATCGTGGAACTTATTGTTGTTTAAAAAGTCTGTGTATCAATAGATAAAAGCATACTTATGTAATGTATATTGTAAATATGTTGTTAGCCATTTTGCACAATAATATATCTATTATGTAAATAGAGCGCATAATGAAGAATATGCGAAAGACACTTCAATCGTAAAAAGTAGCTCTTCCAACTCCACAGTAAAATTTTACTTTCAGTTTGTTCTTTATCTCTAATTATAAAATATATCATTTCAGGTAACTTATTTATGTTTACTCATGTCTATTTCATATTTACATTTTCCTTTTTATGTTTAATAAAAAATACTGAAATTCACGCAAAACGTGCTATGATAAAATGAACTATATTTTTTGTGATTTCTTTGAAAATATAGAATAAATATATCTTTTCTATACATGTTTTATTTGAAGACCAATTAGTCCCATGTATGTAGTAGTGAGACAGACTTTTTAGCAGATTATCACTTGCTTCAATTCAATGTGTTAATTAGGCTTATGTTTGACGTGGGAGCAAGTAACGGTCCTTTTTGATAAAGTAATAATTATATTAAAAATATTAGGTACAATTAAGTAACATTAACCACATATAAGCAATGTTAAAATAACTTGTAACAATAAATATCAAAAAGAATAATAACAGGTTAGCTGTCTGACGAAAAAAACAAACAAAAGATCTAAATTTATGTTGGTAATAATACCAAGTAACAAAAATATAAGTGTTAGAGCATGCACATTTCATTTTCAACATTAAGGATTTTTATATTATTGTAAGGGACGGGCATTTCCGTGGTCCATAGGCTCGGAAACAGGACAAATAATCAACAAACGTCATTTCATGATTATCATATGGACTCAGAACCAACGGAAAAGACGAATTGTGATATCATATTTACTATTTGAATAACGGCTATTTGCCGTTATTTCACAATATTATTCTTAGCCTACGTCTTAACAAGTTTTAACTATTTTTTTATAAACCGTAACAATTAGATTTTAGTACCACAGTTAGAAAATAAATGTACGCAATTTTTAATCTTTCTTCAGACCACAGTGCAGCACAAATGCCCTTGGCTGATAGTACCGCCGAATTCAGTTGAAATCCTCCGTGAGCAGCCTTGAAGACTAACAATTTCTCCCATGACAGCATTAAATTCATTATTATATTAATTTTAGTTCACACCACCAAAGAATGACTAACTAACGTATATTGCATGAATCCCTTGTAGGACTAAGTATACTAAATAAATAACTAAACATGATTAAAATCTATACATCACACAAAATATGGGTCAATACCAATACATATATCATTTCATAATTAAATTCAATTATAGGCTATTCTACTTTCATAATATTCCACTATTAATCAAGAGATACACCTTAAAAATGCTACTTGAAACGTAATCTATGAACTAAATCTGAATTACGAAAAAAATTTTTGGCAGCTAATTGGCCATTTTACTAAAACAAAAATTAGTACTAGCCAATACAAGAGTCCTAAATTAAAATAAATTAGTCTGAGTATACATAAAATATAAAAGTCACCAAACCAAACACGTAAATGCACTATTATACCTCACATTTCGTTAAATGATAAAATACTTTCATTTTTTGTGAACTGCTTTACAACACTTCGTTACGTTATAGCCGATTAAATTATATTAAGTTAGTGATAAAAAATTTTAGAGTTTAAAGAATGTGGTGATAAATGCAATCGCGTAAACCACAGGTTTTGACCTGCGCTAGAACATGTCTCTATTTGACCGCCCAGGGCGCTGAAAATTGCGATTGTTAGGCTTACGTGCGTTCCTTATTTCTCTATCTACTTCTAACTCTTCAAGTCGCTGAGTCAGACCCAACTTTTGTTGAACGGCTAATCTCAACAGTTGATTCAAAGTCTTCTTCTCCTCTTCTGCTGCACTCAACTGCTGCTGAAGCTCATCAACTTGCGTCACATACTCTTCGCAACGAGCAGCGAACATCGCACGCAAACCTGGAATTTTAACAATTCACAAATTGTTACAAAATCACAAATTCAGCTTACTTGAAAAAGTCGCTGCGTCCTCCTTCAACAATCTCAATTCGTTTCTGAGTTTCATCATTGTCTCGGATACAATAGTCTTTTCGTTTTCGTACTTTGCCTTGAGGTTCGTCAGTGCCACTTCGGCAGTATTTTTATTTGATTTTAGGACGGTTCGTAATGTGGCAATCTGTTCGCGTTTGGTCGACAACAAACTCTTCAATCTTATAACTTGCTCTTGCAATTCGGCGATCTCTTCACTATTTTCATCTTTGCTTGCTAATAAAATGTATTACAATACGATTGTCTTTCTTATTACAAAACTTACATTCATACAACCCATTCGATTTTTCCCTCTTCGTTTTCGATAATTCAATTGTATTTTCAATGGCGCTTCTGAGATGTTTTATTTGGTCCACAATTGTACAAACATTTCGGGCTACAACAGCCGCGTCATTTAAAACTTCAAGATCATGCAAAGGAATATCGCTTTTAAGGCGACTTCGCAACAATTCGATTTTTGACATTTCACCAATAGGTGGCGCTGTTTCGGACACTGAAATACAAATAATCACATAACGTGACTCGGCTACAACTAAATCACTTACTAGGTGTCATTCCTTCCTTTTCGTGATCCAAAACCACTCTTGTGGGTGTTTCCCCATTAACGGTGCATACGTGATGATACAACTGAGCAAGTTCATCAGTCACAGTTTGTAAATTATTCTGAGTTTCATCCAGTGAAGTTCCAGCTTCACTAGCAAACTCCCTTAACAATTTCAAGTCGGCTTCTAAATCCATACTCCTCTGTTCCGTGTCTGATAATTTATTCTTCAAATTCGTAATTTCGGTCCGTAATTGCAATGTGGCGTCTGAAATATTCGTCAACTTTTCCAATTCGCGAATATCTTGTTTCAGCTGTTCTATTTCTTTACAGGACATTTTGAACCACTGTTGATACTGATTTAGAATTTTCCCGGCCTCTTGTGCCGGTTGGGATACATTTTTGTCCACATTCTGCGACAAATGTTGCAAAGAATCTACATGAGCTGCCAGCTGTGTCAGTCTTGCAATGAAAACTTGTAGTTCGCCTTGACTCTTCTCTACCATTGCCTGGTTGTCTCTCAAGTTTTGCGTCAAAGTTAATTTTTCCTTTTCCAATTGTTCCAACTGTTTCTCCAATTTTCTAAGCTCGTTCAAATGGACTTCTGAGAACAAATCGACTTGTTTGTCATCCGGCGAGGCTAATTCTGAGGCGCTGCCTGTCCCTAGGGTTGCTTCAAGGCGCTTCAAACCCGGAATGTCGTCCTCTCCGTCACTCCCCAGCGTTGGCTCATCGCTCATTCCTCGAATACTGTACGCCAAATTATTAATATTATAAAATGTATCTCTGTTAATATGTTGATCCAGCTCTTTCTTTAACGCATATTTGGCCTCACGTTCTGCTTGCAGCGACTCCAAAGCTTCTTCCATGTGTTTCTCCGCGATTTTCTTTAAATTCGTCAACTCTTCTACTTGGAGATTCAACAGTTCCATTTCTTCGTGTAATCTTCGGATTTCATGTTTTAGACTTTCAAACTCGACTTGCGAACTTTTTAAAGCTGAAACTTGTTTTTGTAAGGCAATGTTCTCTTCTTCTAATTCGGCATAATCATTGATCAAACGATTCTCCCGAAATTTAATTTCGCGAAGTTCGGTTCGTAGTTTCTTGCATTCCATGCTTCTATCTTCTTTGTCTTTTCCCATATCTGTGTTCTCCTGAAGCATACGGTCTCTTTCGGTGGTGACGCGGTCCAACTCATGACGCAGTTGTTTGATCTCGTTTTCCAATTCGATTATTTGGGAATTTAGTGATGTTTCTCGCGCAGCAGACTCAGATAGTAGGGATTCTTCGGTTTCTATTCCAGTTTTAGTTGTGACTTTATGACTAGATTGGAATTTTGCCAAGGCCTATAAAACAAAAAATAAATAAATACAACTTGCACTAAACATCTTTCAGTAACAATTTTAAAAGGTGTTTTCATCATGGGCTAATTTTGAACTATGATTATAAGATTAAATTAAAATGATAAAAAAATAAAATCTTGAAAATTTTAAATTACTCCTTAAATTTTAATAATAATAAAAAATCATCCAAATATTTTCATTGATAGATAAAACTATAAACTATAACTAACAAAAATAAAAAAAATTAAAAGTGTTAAACACTGTTAAAGCAAGCTGGCAAGCTGCATTATAAAAATTCAGTGGTCACAGTAATTGAACCAAATCCAATTATAAAAGTATGAATAAATAATAGTTATGATGCCATCAACTGTAAAACCACATCATATAAAGCTCTATTTCCAATTTTACATTATTTAAACGGTTAATGTATCAAGCATGCTGTTATTATCTTGCGAATAATTAATTTAGTCCCAGCCCAATAAGTCACATATAAAAGGTTTTTTTCCTTTAAAATTAATTGCCACTAAGTGATTTATTGAAATATTGTTTAATATGAGTTGCAAATGTTAATTTTACAAGGGAAATGTACAAAATCTGCTGGAAAGTTGTCGAGTTGAGTAAAGTTGGAGACAGTAAACTTACTTCCTGTGTAACTTTCAGTTCATGTTTAGTATTTTCGTAGATTATTTCTAAATCCTCACATCGTCTTTGCAATTCGGTCTTTTCTTCCAAAAGCACAAGGCCGTACTGAGCAGATTGTCTGTTCTCACTACTAGCTTGGTCAAGTTCTCTTGAAAGTCGTTCAATTTCGTTTTTCAGTAATTCGATATCGCCTTCAGTAATCGAAGCCATTGTTCCAAATAATAAAAATTAAGAGATAATTAATAATATTAGAAATTAAACTGCTAAATTATCACTGCATCATTGCAACAAATATATATTTTTGTTCAAAACATGTCAACTGTCAAAACTACACGTCAACCTCAAAATTTAGTAGTGTTCAACGTTATTACGTTGGATAAGTTGGAAATCAAGCGCGCGAAAAATTCGAATTGAGACATTTGCTTGACAACGACGTACATAGAAACGTGTTTGTAAACATTTTTTGACAAAAATATTTTTATTTAAAACAAGAACATTTTTTTTAGAATTTTTAAAATAATTATTAAAAATGGCTACAGATTTTCGCCGGGACTGGGTCAAAAACAGCGTTACGAAATATTTTGGCCTGGATTCTGGCGAATATTTCGAGAAAATGATGGCCCAAAACGATGATCTGGAATACCAACTGTCATCGTTTTTGGATGACGATTTCCTCAAGAAGGATGAAACCCACAGGAGGCTCTTCTACATCTACAAGACCTCCTACGAGAAGCTAGTAGATGAGGAAATCATGGTGCCTGAAATCGGTAAGAGAAATATTTTTTTTTGAAATATTGTTGTAACATACTTACCACAAATAACACTGTTTAACAAAGACAAATACATAAAAAAACTTCAAAATATATTCAAAATAAAATAATTAAAGAGAAAAAGATTTGTGTATAGAATAAAATTCGGGTATTTTAATTGTTGTTTTGTGTTTACACCATTACTATGGTGTAAAAAAATATTTGAAAGTAACAAACTAGATTTTCTCCAAATATGTGTCATACAACCGCAAACAACCTACAGAAGAATTGAGGAAATTGAATAAAATAGTTAATACATATAAAACAGTCAAACAACAATTTTATTAATTTTTTGTTGTGCATTCGGAGGAAATGAATCAATACAACTTTTTGCACAGTAAATACAATAAGTACCGTTATAGTAAAAACTGCAATTAATGTCTTTACAAACACTTTTCCCACACTTTACACAATGTGCTCCTAATATAATAAACTCGTTTTGTTTGGGAGGAACAAATGGGTCTTCAATAACGTAGGCATTTTCTAAAAATTTATAATGTCTCACAAAAGGTGGACTATTTCCAAAATAATCGTAACGTTCATGTAGGGCACAAATTTCACAATGAAAATATTGGGGCTCTACTTTGGCTTCAGTTTTGACTGATGTTTCTTCTTTCACCGTAGTAGAATTTCTTTCTGATTCTTGAGATGTACTTGGGGCAGAGTCAACTGATTCTGTTTTAATCAAACTGGCATCCATTTTTTAAATACTCCACTTACAAAAAATGTATCCTTCCCAAAAGTATACGTTTGCATTATTCCCAAGCCCAAGTCATTTTATAAAATATACAGTTTCTTGGTCAATTTTTAAAAAGGAAAAATCGACAAAAATTCTTGCTTTCTAAAAAAAAACTATCCTAAAATAGTTTATAATTTTCGGTTTACCATAACCAAACACTAACACATTTTTGATTTATTGTGCCTTCAAAAAATTATTATTTTCTCATCATTTTGGAAATTCAAATTTTAATAAGAAGGTTATGTTGAAATTGACATATAATCTCTGACAGCTTTTTTTGGCAGCAAGCAGAAGAGACCACGTGGTCGAACCGGGAAATTTAAAGTTGTCACTAATTGTTGCTATACAGTATTCACGATGGTGTTGCCGCTAAGCCATAAACCGTACCCCTTGTAAATCTTCATAATCACCTTCAAACCGAACGCTGGTGCCTGTTTCTTTTGTTGTGAAAATCGAGGGTTTTCGGTACCTACTCAATATGTCTATCCTTGTTTTTCAATGTCACTGTATGTTGTCGAAGTAAGAGGAAGATAGTGACGTAAAACTTTCAAATGAGAAACAGAATTCCGGATCAGTGGAAACAAAAATGTAAAGACTCAAATTTTAAAATTTATTTAAAAATATTTAACAAATATTTGTTTTGTAAAATGAAATAATAAAAATACGATACATGGACCTAATATCCTACGGCTAATAATAATTATGTATGAGAATATTTTTCGCATGAAGAAGTGTTGTCACCAACCCAAATCGAGGGCGAAATGTTTTGGGTGCACTGGTACCTGTCACCCTCGGCTTCGTTATATTGCTTAGCGCAACACTTACGTGAATACAATATAATTATTCTTTTGCTACGTTTTTCGTGCAAATGCGTATCCGCAATTACCGTGGAGGGAGAAATTCTCCCTGAACGGCAATTATTTACGTGAAATAGTTTTGTTCAAGTTTTGTCATAAAAAAAATCAAAATTGCAAAAAAATGCAATTTGAAACTCAAAAGAAACGCAAAATTAGTTATTTATTTTGTACTCAATTTTAAAGAGTGCTTTTATCAACTAATTTCAGTAGATAAAGTAGTCTTTTATCGTCTAGTAAAATAACGTAATTTTTATCTACTGGTTACATTTTATCTGTTAATCTAAGTAGATAAAGTAGTCTTTTATCGTCTTGTGAAATAAAGTCATTTTCATCTACTGTTTATATTCTAGAAATTCTGGTAGATGAGACAAAATAAAACAAAATATTATACACGACGATAAAGATTGTTTATTCACAATCACTCTATAAAGAGACTTTATTCCACACTTTAGATGCGTATAAAGTACCACTTTATCCACTAGTGGAATAAAGTAACTTTATTTCACTGTTAGTAACCAGCGCACCGCGTAATAGCTTACTACGTTTAAATGTCAGTTTAATTTTTACTTAAGTTTGGAATAATTTGGACCTGTGTTTGTGGATAAAACGTTATATTGCAGTCGTGTGTTAGTCGCGTTTTATCCGCTTAAGAAATTTAACCGCTCGAACTGACGTTCTCGCGGTTAAACATTCTTGCATGGATAAAACGCTATCTAACACACTCTTACAATAAATAACTATTATCTACTCGTGAAAAAAGTCCACTCGTAGATAAACAATCTCTTTATCGTCTTGTATAACAAATAACTATTATTATACCATTATTTCTTGGATATAAACAGTAGATAAAAATTACTTTATTTCACTCGACGATAAAAGACTATTTTATCTACTGAAATTAGTTGATAAAAACATTCTTTGTAATTTTTTTTAATATGTCTTCTTAATTATTTTTGTAGTAATAACGTATTTAATATGATTGAATGAATTCGTATTAGTGAACAATTTACTATAAATAAACACAAAATAAACTTTTCTTCTTTCAGTCAAAAAAGAGCCAATACCAGAAGAAGACCTACATGTGCCATCTAAAGGAAAAAAAGCCAAAGGAAAGAAGGGAAAAAAAGGCGGTAAAAAAACTAAAAAAGGAAGCAAAAAATCGACTCCTAGATCTACCCCATCTGCTGAAGGTAAGTTATTGACATATGAATAAAAAATTAGGTACCTATTCAGTATTTATTAATTATTTAAATAATGCATTGGTATAATTTTTACTAGAAATTCTATTTTAATAGGTGATTTAGGAACAGACAAAGAAGACATTGAAGAAGCAAAAACCGAAACTCCCCAAGAAGGCGAACCAATAAGTTCGGAAGCAACAGAAACTAAAGAATCGGAGGAACACAAAGAAGAACATGAAGATTTATCATCACCAGCACAAGGAACAATTTCTGAAGTAACTGACACAATCGGTCAATCAACCGATATAGAAACGGAAGGAGAGCAAGAAGGAACAGAAGGAGAACCAAAAAAGAAAACTAAAAAGAAAAAGAAACCTACCAGCGAATCTGAAACCAGTACTGAAGGTACAGCAAGTCCAAGAAGTGGGAAAAAGAAAAAAAAGAAAGGCAAAAAAGGAAAAGGTCAGAAGAAAAAACAAAAACTCGAACAAGAAGTTCCGACAGAGGAGGAGGAAGAACCGGAAATCATTTACGTACCTGTAAAATTAATTGTTCTAATTAAGAAACAGAGCTAAATAATTCAATATTTCAGAAAATTATACAAAAACTAGTCGTGGATCACATTTTACACGGAAATTTTGGAACTCTTGATGAGGCAATCCTTAATACTGATAACAAACGCTTCGTTTATCTCTTTCGGAAAATGGAAGAAGGCATTTCAATTTCAAATTTTGACACCTACGAAGAAGCAGAAACCGAAATGCCTGCTTATTTTTTGATTGGTTCATGCAATGGCAATTTCTTGAACTCGTTGAGACATCTCATAAAAGAGCAGTTTAAACCGTTGTTGAAGGAACATTTTTGCGAACCCACGGTTAAAAAAACATCTTCGCCTAAAGCAACTTCCGCACATGATGTTTCCCTTAAAACTGAAAACAACGCATACAGAACACCATCAGATTATCGAAAAATGTCTATAACTCAATCGAAAACAAAGTCAGTTCAGGAAAAGACAGGAGTGAGTGAGGCCTCAGAAGTTCATGATACAGAACAAGAGCAAGAAAAAAATATAACACTTTCTGAAACACCAATTCGAGATGATTTAATGACAGAAGTACTAGCACTGGAAAAATCACTCAATTGGACCATAGAACATGTAGATGATGAAATTGATCTTCCCTTGACGGTCTTCCCAGATGAATTACAATCTGATATCCCCTATGAAGAGTTAATTAAAGATAAAACTTTGATTGAAAGATTACAAGATATTGTAATGGCATGGGAACGGCATATTCTAAAAGTTCTTGAAATATATCTAGCAAAAGTAATAAAATTCTCTGTTGAGATAAAAAATAAAAACATTTTTACAGACTCCCGAAGGGCAAGGACCAATACCTGAATACGAATATTGGAGGGAAAGAGAGGCTGCTTTGAGTTCGATTGTTGAGCAGTTGAAAAAACCTATGGTTGTAAAAGTGAATACGTTGTTAGAAAAGGCAAAATCGCCAATTATTGATGCTTTCATGAACTATTTAGTTGATTTGAAAAAATATCACGTTCAAGCACGAGATAATGTCAAATTTTTGTCCACAATTTTGAGACATTTCAAGGTTTGTTTCCATACTTTTGAGTTTTTTCTGTACCACAAACTTTCGTTTCAGACTGTAACATCATGTGAGGATTTTGCTAGGGTCAGAGAATGTATTCCTGTCCTTATTGAAGGACTCCATCTCATTTGGGTCTTGTCGAGGTATTACTGTACTGACGAAACAATGATACCACTAATGGAAAGAATTGTGTTTTGTCTTGTTGAAAAAGTTAGAGCAAACTTGGATACTCAATTTTTGTTTAGGTATATTCTCATTATAGTCAAATAATATGCTTTGAAAAATATATTCTTAGAAATTCAATCGAGCACATTAAAAAACTAACTCAAACGGCGAGAGAAATGCTTGAAATTTGGAAAACTTCCTATATGGAAACTCGCCAAAAAATTGAAGACTCGGGTAAAGGACAGCGATGGGAGTTTGACAAAAAGAAATTATTCGCTGAATCTGATTATATGGCAACTGTATGTAAAGATTTATTCGACGTCGCGACAGTTATCGAAGAATTTAACAACATTTTTGGTCCGGAATTACGTGCCATGGTTGTGGATCCCCAAAAAATCGATAACGTTGCCAAACGAGTTGAAAGGCTAGTCATACAAATCGAATCTGCCGACTTTGACATATTTAGCGAAAATCACAAAGAAAACTGGGAGGCCATAATGGCCTTCTTTTACAAGGAAGTCCGAAAATTGGAACAGGAAGGGGTCAAATTCATTGACCAAAGCTTCAAGACATTGAGATCGTCCGAAAGTGCGTTAGAAATGCTCACAAAGTTAAAAACTGTTCGAACAAGACAAATTATTCTCGACCGGTTGTTAACAAAGTTTGATGTAATTTTGGATCAATTTAATAAAGAACTTTTGGTCATCGATGATGCATTTACGGTTAGTAATTCATGACAAATTTCTCGTTCTACGATCGGTTTTTAGAGAAATAAACGTCACCCTCCGCTCTGTAAGGATCATCCGCCCCATGGTGGTGCAATATACTGGGTGCAATTGCTAATCAATTTACTCAAAATACCTGTTTTGAAATTTCAAAAAGTGCCAGAGCTTCAACAGTCGGCTCAGAAAGAAGAAATTTTCAAAAATTATCTTCAGTTGGTTAAAACTTTGAAATCATATCAAAATTTCAAATACGAACTTTGGTTAGAACACTCGACTCCTGTTATGGAGCAAGCAATGCAAATGGAGATTCTCAAATTTGTTAATTGTGCAGTTTCTACAAAAAGTAAGTGGTGAGGTTTACTATGAAAAAAAATAAAATAATTTTTCTAAATTAGCCACGGACCACGGGCGTAGATCGGTAGCAAAAAGTGTGACAACCCTCCATTCGCAATCCACCGCTACGAGTAAAGGAAGTTTGCAACAAGTGCGTTCTCAACCAAAAATTCTCAAAATATCAACCGCTGGTCACGTTGTTAAATGGGTGTCAGGTAAGAAAATGGCTAGTCAGGTTATGGACAAAATTCGGTCGCAAAGAAGTCTCACGTGGCACGAAGTAATGGGCGACATGATAGTCCTAGAGCAAAATATCGAATTTGCTCTTAATTTCAACGACGACCTATTCAGTTGTATACGGGGGGCAGAGCTATTAGATTCGTTAAAGTACGAGTTGCCTGATAAAATTAAAATGATTGCGTCAAGAAAAGAGCGGTTACAAAAGGACGTTGCGGCAGTTAAAGACATGTTGGAGCAATATAACTCAATAATGAAGAAACTCAGCCCTCCTCAGGTACTTAAAAAAAGTGTTAATAAAATGAAATATACGTTTTGTTTTTTTAGATGAATATGCTCCGAAATGAGATTAAGCACGTCGAGCTATTCATTCAGCAGGGGTTGTCTAGGATCAATTGGACTTCATTGGGAATAGTAGAGTACGCAAAAACTTGTCTTAGCAAAATCCACTACTTGCAAAACTTACACAACCAAGTGGTTCATATAGAAGATGAACTAAAGTCAAAAATCAAACTATTGTCTTCTTTTAATCTCTTCGATTATAAGACAGTTGACGAAGATCCGGAAAGGTTACCATGTAAAGAATTCTTCAACGAAATGATAGATTTGCGAATTAAACGAGTTTGCCAAATGATGAAAATCTACGAAAGCCTTGGCCCCATTTTGATCAAAATTGAAACCCTAGCTTTGGGTAGCAACACCGGACGCTCCCCCTACATGACAACTAGTTACTCATTTTGGGAGACAGAAATTTACAAAGCTTTTATCGGCTTCACTCTTCGCAATTTCGAAACGTTCATGAGTAAAATGCAATTGAAGAAGCCGATTTTTCAAGTCGATGCTGTGGTGGTGACACCGGAACTTTTTCTAAGACCAACATCGGCCGAAATTTACAACATTATGGTGAAGAATGTGAAAGATTTTCTCGACAAACTGAAGCGATTTCCGCGGTGGATGAACGGAATGTGTCTCTTGTGCCCACCACAAAAACTTCCCAACGGCGAGGAATATGTTTATTCTTTCTACGATGATGTGTTGAAAGTTCCGGACATTAGCGATGTGCTTCAAAAGCTCCAAGATATCGCCCAAAAATCAATTCTGGAAGTACACAAGCATTTACAGAAGTGGCGGCGTTACCGGAATATCTGGTGCTACGATAAAGAAATCACCTGTGAGCGTTTTATTGAAAAAAATAACCAACTCTCAAAGTACGACGATAAGTTTATGTTTTATGCCGACATCTTGAAAGATATGAAAAATCACGAGAATTATATTGACATCATGTGCATTAGATTAAATCTGCGACCTCTTTTAGACACTATAGCCGATCATACGGTTGAATGGAAAAACACTCTAGGTCGGATCCTTGACACAAAAACCAAAGAAAAAATGGACGAAATGAAGAGTACAATGAATGAATTGCGCACTTTGGTCAACCAGAACATCAAAGGTTTGGAAAAATTTAAATCAGTAATGCAAGCGATCTCGACAATTTTGAAAAGTAACGTCGACATGGAGCTGGATTACCTCAACTGTCAAGATATTTACGGCATTTTGAGGCAACATAACATCTACTTTAGTCCAGAGCACGAGGAATTAGCATACCAGTTGGAAAAAGAATGGAAATCGCTTCATTTTTCGGCCCTTTATCGCGAACAAAAGTTAGAATTGACAAAAGACAGATTTGCTCAAATGACTCTAGCAGAAATTGGCGAATTCTGCGACATCTTAGCCCAATTTGTCAAAAAATTTGAAGAGGAAGGCCCTGGTGCCGTCGGCGAAGATTTAGACAAAGGCCTCATCCTCATGGAAGAATATGCCAAATTATTCATCGAAACAGAAGAGCGTCGAATCGAACTTATCAACGCTGAAATGCTTTTCGACATACCCTTAGCTGACTACTCCGACTACTTACGAGTAAAAAGCGATTATGAATCAATGGGTGTTATTTACAAGTTCTATAAAACTCAAAAACACGCCAGGGAAGTGTGGGGAAGAACCTTATGGGCAAATCTAGACCCACAAGCTTTAAGTGATGGTATCGACAGTTTTATAAAAGATTACCGGAAAATCCCAAGAGCGATTAGGGCACTCCCCGTTGGGCAAACACTGGATTTGAAAATGAAGCAATTCAAAAATGTGATTCCCTTAATGGTGGCTTTGAAAAATGAAGCTTTGAGGGAGAGACATTGGCAAGAATTGATGCAAAAAACTGGTATTGAGTTCGATATGTCTCCCGATAGGTTCACTTTAGATAACATGTTTGCAATGGAGCTTCACCGGTATCAAGATATTGCTGAAGAAATTATCAACCATGCAATCAAAGAGTTGAGTATAGAGAAAGGAGTAAAGCAAATTGCTGAAACTTGGACGAACATGAATTTTATTCTTCATAAACATACGAAAGGACACGAAGATCGAGGTTATGTCGTTGGTTCGACTGAGGAAATCATGCAAGTGCTTGAAGATAACTCAATGAATCTTCAAAGTATGGCAGGGTCGCAGTTTGTGGGTCCGTTTTTAACGCAAGTTCAAAAGTTGGAGAAGAGTTTAGCAAATATCGGTGAAGTGATTGATGAATGGTTGTCAGTGCAGCGAAAATGGTTGTACTTAGAAGGAATTTTTGTCGGGGGAGATATACGCGCTCAGCTCCCAGAAGAAGCAAAGAAATTTGATGATATTGATAAAGCTTTCCGAAGAATAATGTTAGACACGGCCAAGAGACCAAACGTTATGGAGTGTTGCAATGCCCCTGGACGTCTAGATGAATTCCTAGGCCTGGGTCTAGGTTTAGACAAATGTCAGAAATCTTTGAACGACTATCTGGATTCAAAACGTAGACGCTTTCCACGATTTTATTTCATTTCAACTGAAGAACTGTTGTCAATTCTTGGAAGCAGTAACCCCGAAGTGGTCCAAGAACACATGATTAAAATGTTTGATAATATCAAATCGCTGCGGATGCATTTAGACAACAATGACAGAATGATTGCAAGTGCTATGATATCTTCAGAAGGAGAAGTGATGGAATTTCGTCGCGCCGTACAGGTTGTTGGAAAAGTCGAAGACTGGATGAACGACGTTTTGAAGGAAATGAGACGTTCTAACAGATTTATAACAAAGAGTGCAATCTACAACTACGGTAAAGTCAGAAGACCACGATCAGAATGGATGTTGGATTTCCAAGGAATGATTTGTCTTGCTGGTAGTCAAGTGTGGTGGACGGCAGAAGTCGAAAATGTTTTCGTCAAAATCAAGAAAGGCAACAAAAGGGCCATGAAGGAATATCTTGAACAACTAAATAAACAACTTGACGAAATTGTGATCACAGTGAGAGCTGAATTAAGCGCAAACGACAGAACTAAATTTAGGACCATAGCAATTATCGAAGTTCACGCACGTGACATTATTGAAAGTTTTGTCACCAACAGTGTTACCGACATAAGGGAATTCGAATGGGAAAGTCAACTAAGATTTTATTGGGTTAACCATTTAGACAATTTGTGGGTGGTTCAATGTACTGGCTCCTTCGAATATGGTTACGAATACATGGGACTCAACGGCCGTCTTGTTATTACCCCTCTAACTGATAGAATCTACTTAACAATCACTCAAGCCCTTATTATGCACATGGGAGGTGCACCAGCTGGGCCTGCGGGAACAGGAAAAACAGAAACGACTAAAGATTTAGCCAAAGCAATGGCTTTGCTCTGTATTGTCACAAACTGTGGCGAAGGAATGGATTTTAAGGCGATCGGAACGACACTTGCTGGCTTGGCTCAATGTGGAGCTTGGGGTTGTTTCGACGAATTCAACCGAATTGACATTTCCGTTTTGTCAGTAATCTCCACGCAATTGCAAACAATCCGAAGTGCTCTCATGTTGAAACTCGAGAAATTCACGTTCGAGGGTGCTGAAATTAGTCTAGACTCCAAAGTTGGTATTTTTATCACCATGAATCCGGGGTATGCCGGAAGAACGGAACTTCCGGAATCAGTCAAGGCCTTGTTTCGGCCAGTAGTGTGTATTGTACCTGATCTGGAGATGATTTGTCTCATTTCGCTTTTCTCTGATGGTTTTCTGCAAGCTAAAGTCTTGGCCAAAAAAATGACAGTGCTTTATAAACTTGCACGGGAACAACTGTCAAAACAATTTCACTACGATTGGGGTCTGAGAGCTCTGAATGCGGTCCTGCGAATGGCCGGTGTTTTAAAACGAGCGTCCCCGGATTTAAATGAAGCCTTAGTCCTGATGAGAGCTTTACGCGATATGAATCATCCGAAATTCGTTTACGAAGATGTTCCCTTGTTTTTGGGTCTGATCCGCGATCTCTTCCCCGGAATGGATTGTCCCCGAGTAGGTTATCCCGATTTCAATTCCGCCGTAGAAAAAGTCCTAGATAAGCACCGATACATCGTTTTGCCATACCAAGTCGATAAAGTCGTCCAACTTTACGAAACCATGATGACTCGACATTCCACCATGTTAGTAGGACCCACAGGTGGAGGAAAAACAGTTGTGATTCAAGCTCTAGCACGTGCGCAGACTTTGCTCGGCCTCAAAACTAAAATTTTCACTCTAAATCCAAAAGCGTGTTCAGTTATTGAACTTTATGGAATTCTAGACCCCATTTCGAGAGACTGGACGGATGGACTTTTATCAAACATCTTCAGAGAAATGAATAAACCAACTGAAAAGCCTGAAAGACGCTATATTTTGTTTGACGGCGATGTTGACGCTTTATGGATTGAAAATATGAATTCGGTGATGGATGACAATAAACTACTTACTCTCGCCAATGGTGAACGAATCAGGTTGCAAACTCCCGTCTGTGCGTTGTTATTTGAAGTTGGTGATTTGCAATATGCCTCGCCGGCGACGGTTTCACGAGCTGGAATGGTCTACGTTGATCCGAAAAATTTGGGTTTTCAACCGTTTTGGGACAGATGGGTCAAAAGCAGAAATCATCCACCGGAAAGAGAAGTTTTTCAGAATTTGTACGAACAGTACATTCCGGATTTGATGGCGTATGTGTTGGAAGGAACAGTAGCAAACAAACAGGTCGCTCCCTTAAAAACAGTGATACCTCAAAGTGGGTTGAATATGATAACACAGTTGTGTTTTATGATAGATGCTGTTTATCCGCAACCGGTTGAAGATACACGTGATCCGGAAGAAGAAGTTGATAGTGATTTACTTGAATCAATCTTTCTCTATTGTGTATATAATTCGGTTGGAGCTGCCTTAGTTGCCGACTGTCGATTAGAGTTTGATGAGTTTATCAAGTCGCAATGTTCGATGATAAAACAAGAAGATACTGTTGAAAATAAAGCTGATCGAAGACATATGCCTAGTGCTTTCCCCACTTTGTACGACTATTACTTCAACGTAAAAGAAGAAGTCTGGATTGCTTGGGATTGGATAGTACCAGAATATGTACATGATGCTTCAAAACGATTCTCGGAAATTCTTGTTCCGACAATCGATACCGTACGCGTTACTTATCTTTTGACCTTGATGAACAAAGTGGGAAGACCGATTATCTTGGTTGGGGAAACTGGTACTTCAAAAACAGCAATCATTCAAAACTTTTTAAGAAGCTTAAATCCAGATGTCAATATCCTACTAAACATTAACTTTTCATCAAGAACCTCATCAATGGATGTCCAGAAAAACCTAGAATCGGCAGTAGAAAAACGAACGAAAGACATCTATGGCCCTCCACTTGGCAAAAAGTTGATTTGTTTCATAGATGACATGAATATGCCACAAGTGGACGAGTACGGGACCCAACAACCTATAGCACTTTTAAAATTACTTTTCGAAAGGAAAGGCTTTTACGACCGGGGAAAAGACCTTAACTGGAAAATATTAAAAGACGTGTCCTACTTTGCAGCAATGGGAGTTGCTGGAGGAGGTCGAAACGAGGTTGATCCTCGTTTCATGTCAAAGTTTTCCGTCTTTAACTTGATTTTCCCAACGTCTGAAACACTTCATCACATTTACAGTTCAATTCTAAAAGGGCATTTATCACAATTCCCGGAAGAAGTTCAACAAGCGGAAAATTTGATTACAATGACGCTCAACTTGTATAATATTACCATTGTTCAATTACCACCAACACCCAGCAAATTTCACTATATTTTCAACATGAGAGATCTCTCTCGAATTGTTGCAGGAATGTGTAAAACCACACCGAAATTTTTCTTTGCGCTACATCAGATTGTAAGAGTTTGGCGGAATGAATTTACAAGAGTAATTTGCGACCGTCTTATCAGTACTGAGGATCAGGAGTTCATGACAAATCAGATTAAAACACAAATTGAAAAATTTTACCCGACGCCAGTCAAAGAGGAACCACCAGCGATACCGGAAAATGTTGAAGAAATGTCCAATTTCGAATTTGAAGAACCTAAAGAAGAACCAGAGGAAGAGAAAAAAGAAGAAGAAGAAGAAAGAATTGACGTGATTGAGTATTCAATGCGTGATCCTTTGCTCTTCGGTGATTATCGAAATGCAGTAAACGAGGATGAAGCTCGATATTACGAAGATCTTCTAGACTATGAAGCGGTGTACTTCCTGTTCCAAGAAATAATGGAAATTTACAATGAACGTCAAGACAAGTTAAATATTGTTCTTTTTGATGATGCTTTGGAACATTTGACACGAATACACAGAGGGATAAGATTAGAAAGAGGTCATGTTATGTTGGTGGGAGTTGGAGGATCTGGAAAAACGAGTCTGACAAGGATTGCCGCCTTCACAGCCGGTTGTGAAATCTTTAAAATCGTACTCTGTAAAGGTTACAATGAAACGTTGTTCAAAGAAGACTTGAAAAAACTATTTAACCAATTGGGGGTAGAAGGAAAACCGACAGTGTTTTTCTTCACTGCCGCTCAAATAGTCGAAGAAGGTTTCCTGGAATTTATTAACAACATTTTAATGATTGGAATAGTCCCTGCGTTATTCACAGATGATGAAAAGGAGCAAATTATTATGCAGCTGAGAAATGCAGCAAAAAATGCAGGATATGGAATTGCAAAAGACGCAGTTTGGCAGTACTTTCTTCACCGGTGTGCTGACAATTTACATATGGTGCTTTCAATGTCACCTTCAGGTGATATTTTGAGCAAAAGGTGTAGAAGTTTTCCCGGTTTGGTTAATAATACAACAATCGACTGGATATTCCACTGGCCACTGCAAGCCCTATTTGCCGTAGCTTCAGTTTTTCTTAAGGAAAATCCCAAAATTCCGGAAATTTACCGAGACCATATCATAGAACACGTAGTACATGTTCATACAAGTATAGAAGAATATGTTAAAAATTATCTGATAAAACTGCGACGAAAAAATTACGTTACCCCAAAACATTACTTGGATTTAATGCAGACTTATTTAAAGCTCCTTGATGAGAAAAATCAGTATATAGACAGTCAGTGCAGTCGACTCCAAAGCGGAATGACTAAAATTGAAGAAGCAAGTGCAGAACTAGCAGTTTTGAATAAAAGACTGGCAAAACAAAAAATACGAGTAGAGGAAGCGACTCGAGCTTGTGAAGCAATGTTGGCTGAAATCGACGAAGGGACGAGAAAAGCAACAGAAAAGAAAGATTTAGCCTCCTTGAAAAGTAGTGAAATTGAAGAACAGGCTCGCATTATAAGTCTGGAACAAGCCGACGCTGAAGAGGCTCTTGCTGCAGCCATGCCTGCTTTAGAAACAGCTAGACTGGCATTATCAGACTTAGACAAATCAGATATTACAGAAATTCGATCCTTTGCCACTCCACCAGAAGCTGTCCAGATCGTCTGCGAATGTGTCGCTATAGTTCGAGGATACAAAGAAATTTCATGGAAAACAGCAAAAGGAATGATGGCTGAAGCCAATTTCCTCAGAACTCTTCAAGAAATGAACTGTGATTTAATCACGCAAGCACAAATTCGAGCTGTGAAAGCACACATGAAAAAGTCGAGTAAATTAGATGATATGGCTTCGATCAGTAAAGCTGGTTTTGGGCTTTTGAAGTTTGTTCAAGCAGTTTTGGGCTATTGTGCCGTCTACCGAGAGGTGAAACCCAAAAAAGAACGAGTGGAGCAGTTGCAAAGAGAGTACGATGCTGCAAAAAAAAGTCTCGAGAAACTCTACAACGAAATTGCAAAACTTGAAGCAGCGTTAGATGAACTGAATCAGAAATATGAAGCTGCCATGAAGCGAAGACAAGAGTTGCAAGAAGAGACGGATATAATGATGCGACGTCTGATTGCGGCTGACAAGTTGATAACTGGCTTGAGTTCTGAGCGAGAACGGTGGACTAAAGATTTGGAGATGTTGCACTTGGAAAAAGAAAGATTGGTAGGCAACTGTTTACTATCTTCGGCCTTTTTAAGTTATGCGGGACCGTTTACTTATGAGTTCAGAAAGGAAATGATTTATGACGATTGGCAAGGAGATATAATAAACAGAGGAATTCCGCTTACCCAACCCTATCGAATTGAAGCAAATCTGTCAAACGATGTGGAAGTGAGTCTCTGGAACTCGGAAGGGCTTCCACCTGACGAATTATCAGTCCAAAATGGTATTCTGACTCTGAAAGGAACCAGATTCCCCTTGTGTATCGATCCTCAACAGCAAGCTTTGAACTGGATTAAACGAAAAGAAGAAAAAAATAATTTGAAAATATTGAATTTTAATGACCACGACTTTCTTAAATTTTTGGATATGGCAATAAAATATGGTTCTCCAATTTTGTTCCAAGATGTGGACGATTATATCGATCCAGTTGCCGAAAATGTAATACAAAAAAATATTAGAAGTGTTTCTGGGCGAGTCTTCGTGGTTTTAGGGGACAAGGAGGTTGATTATGACCCACATTTCCGGATGTACATGACGACGAAATTTGCAAATCCTATTTTTAATCCTGCAGTCTATGCGAGCGCAGTCGTTATCAATTATACTGTGACATTATCTGGTTTAGAAGATCAACTTCTGAGTGTTGTTGTCAGAAATGAACGACCAGATTTAGAAGAGCAGAGAGAAAGCTTAATTGAAGAAACGAGTGAAAACAAAAATTTGCTTCAGAATCTTGAAGATTCCCTCCTGAGAGAACTTTCCACAACAACTGGAAATATGTTAGATAACGTAGAGTTAGTTGACACTTTAGAAAACACCAAAACTAAAGCTAAGGAAGTGTCTGATAAACTGTTATTAGCCGCGGAAACTGCTCGTGATATCAATAAGTTGAGAGATGGATACCGGCCTGTGTCCCGGCGTGGAGCAATTCTTTTCTTTGTTTTATCAGACATGGCTGGGGTTAACGCAATGTACCAATACTCTCTAGCTTCATATCTGGAAGTTTTCGCATATTCGCTAAGGAAGGCTTTGCCTCATACAATCCTCGCGAAGAGGTTGATGAATATTATCAATACGTTAACAAAAAATGTCTACGACTACGGGTGCACTGGAATTTTTGAAGTCCACAAACTATTATTCTCTTTCCAAATGACCACCAAATTGCAACAAAATGAACAAAATGTGACACAAATGGAACTCGATTTCTTCATCAAAGGTTCGGTTAGTTTAGAGAAGACAACAAGAGAAAACCCAACGAAGTTTATCACTCACCAAGGCTGGGCCGATTTGATTAAATTGACATCGGATTTCCCGGAAGATTTCGGTCAATTGGCCGACGACGTGCAAAAACATGTACAAGAGTGGCAAGATTGGTACGATTTGGATGCTCCAGAATCCACCGATTTCCCCTGCGGATACAAACAAAAATTGAAACCGTTCCAAATTTTGATGCTTTTAAGGTGCTTCCGAGTCGATCGTGTGTACAGAGCTGTTGCCGATTACATCACGGAAGTAACAGGAGAAGAATACATAATGCCTCCAGTGATCAGTTTTGATGGTATTTACGAACAGAGCAGTCCAATGACACCAGTCATATTTGTATTGAGCCCCGGATCTGACCCCACAGCTGAATTGATGAAATTAGCCGACAGAAGTGGTTTCGGAGGAGGAAAGTTTAGATACTTGTCGTTGGGTCAAGGACAGGAAGCTGCGGCTTTAGCACTACTGGATACAGCAATCGCGAGAGGTCAATGGTTAATGTTCCAAAACTGCCACCTCTTGCTTTCGTTTATTAGACAGTTGGAAAAACAACTAGAAAAAGTTTCAAAGCCACATCCTGATTTTAGACTATGGTTAACAACAGATCCTGTCAATAATTTTCCCATTGGTATTCTCCAAAGTTCACTCAAAGTAGTGACAGAGCCCCCAAATGGTCTCAAATTGAATTTGCGAAATACGTACTTTAAAATTAGACAACAGACTTTGGAAGCATGTACACATACGGTTTACAAGTCTTTGGTTTATGTCTTGGCTTTCTTTCATGCCGTGGTTCAAGAACGTCGAAAGTATGACAAAATCGGGTGGAATATTTGCTACGATTTTAATGAATCTGATTTTAACGTCTGTGTCCAAATTTTGGATACGTATCTGACTAAAGCATTGGAAGCTAAAGATTCTAGAATTCCGTGGAATAGTCTCAAATATTTGATTGGAGAAGTGATGTATGGAGGAAGAGTCATTGATGATTTCGATAGAAGAATAGTTGCAACATACATGGATGAATATATGGGAGATTTTCTCTTCGATACATTTCAACCTTTCCACTTTTACCATGACATCAATGTTGATTATGTTATACCCCCAGATGGTGACAAAGATGATTATATCGGTAATTTTTCCTTTTATTTGTACAGAATGAACTAAAATTTTGTTTATTCAGAGGTGATCGATGAATTGCCATTAGCAAATAGTCCCGAAGTTTTTGGTTTACATCCAAACGCAGAAATTGGTTATTACACTCAAGCTACTAAAGAAATGTGGAGGTTACTGATTGAATTGCAGCCACAAACATGTAAACCCCTCAAACATAAAATATCGCGTGTGTATTTTTTTTTTAATAGCTACCAGTGGTGAGGGAATAAGCCGCGAAGAATTTATCGAAAATGTAACACACGATATTTTGCAAAAAATCCCGGAAGAGTATGAAGTATGGAAAGTTCGGAGATTCTTCCAAAGAGTAATGTCACCGACTGTCGTCGTACTTTTACAAGAACTCGAGCGATTCAATCATCTAATTACCGCAATGAGACGAACTTTGACCCAATTGTTAAAAGCCTTAGCCGGTGATATAGGGATGGATGCTGTTTTGGACAACGTGGCCTATTCATTATTTAATGGACAGTTACCAAGCGCTTGGAGGAAATTAAGTCCGGCGACTTGTAAAAGTTTAGGTGGCTGGATGGAACATTTTGAAAAACGGCAAGACCAGTTTTTTAATTGGGTATGTTGTAAAAATGCAAGAATCTCTTTTACTGCGTATTGTTCTAGTCGAACACCGGCGAACCTGCTGTTTTATGGATCTCAGGTCTACATATTCCTGAAACTTACCTTGCCGCTTTGGTACAAATAGCTTGTCGTCTTAACAATTGGCCTTTAGATAGATCAACATTATACACCAGTGTTTCCGAGTATGTCGACCCTAATGATGTAACTCTGCGACCACCTGCGGTAATTTTTTGATTCAGTTTTTCTTGTTGTTATTTGGTTTGATTATAGGGAAATTGTATGGTTCACGGCTTGTATCTGGAAGGTGCAGGCTGGGATGTCGAAAATAAGTGTTTGAGACGATCTTCGCCAAAAATCCTGATTGAGCCACTCCCCGTTATGAATGTCATACCAATTGAAGCTTTCCGGTTGAAGTTACAAAATACTTTAAGAACGCCAGTTTATACAACCTCCCAACGAAGAAATGCAATGGGCGTGGGGCTTGTTTTTGAAGCCGATCTCGGTACGACTGAACACATTAGCCATTGGATTTTACAAGGTGTATGCTTAGTTTTAAATACTGATTAAATATTTTATCTATTTTACTATTTTTTGAAAGTTAATTCGAAAATAAAACGATCAAATGAGAGAAAATCATTTATTGAGTATAAATACAATTATTTTGGTACAATTTGGCTTAAGTGTTGCAAGAACCAAATAGAATCCTTCATCTAAGATAGAAGAAGGATTTTATTTGTTCAAGTCTTGATTTAATCGAAAGTCGAGAAAAATAAATTTGATATTCCGCACTTTATCAAATTTAGTTTTTTCGTGACTTGAGTCAATTTAGTTGGTTTTTTTCGCATCTTTGGATTCACCTTCTTTCAACTGGCCCCTGCCCAAAATTTTGGCCAAACTATCCCAAATTCCGCCGAAGAACAACGCACATAATAAGTTTTCAAATGGAACAAAGGGATCGTGAATTCCCAGCAGAATGGAAGACAATTTGAAGTAAACAAAGAAGATGACAATTCCGAAATAAACTAAAGCATGTGGTGCCGAAATCAATTCCGTCTTTTTATCAAGGATAAATATGATGGAAGCGACAAGGGAAGCTTTCGTGTAGCTGGAAAGGAAAAATTAGCAAAAAAACAAAATTACTGTTTGTAAGACTTACAAACTGGGTTGCATAAATTCCATAGCCGTTGGAGTCCATACACCTCTCATAAGACGTTCCAGTAGCCTTGTAAATCCGGCACCGTTTCCTTTTAAGGTCCCAATAATGACCATAATGAGATAGCCGTTGGGGTACAATTTAGCGGCGTGAGTCACTCCATCGTATACTTTTTTGCATCTGTAAATCTCTTTCATGGCCGAGAAGACAACTTTAATTGGAAGAAATTTTGCAAGCTTATACCCCAAGTCAATAGGAGTATAAAAAATCACATACCTAACACAAAAATGTAGTAAATGCGTTTTTAAAAAACACGGCTTTTACCAAACTAATGTTGCAACAATTAGTTGTGGCGTATTTTTAAGAGGTGCAAGGATTGGTTCTGCCAGGAGTCCATTTGCTACCATTCCGCCAGCAAACACCACCAACATGTAGGATAACCAGCATGCTAGGGGATGTTTGCGAGAAAATGCTTGAGCGCCTGTAATTTTATTGCAAATAATAAGAAAATCTAGAAACTGCATATTACGTAAAGCCGTTCTACTTTTGTTTTCTATTATTACTCGAATTTAAAAAAAAATAGGCTTTCTTCCAGACTTTGCAGTAAAAGCAGCTGCATAAAACATTTACTGAAATGACAGGAAACCAATGACCCGAGATTAATTTCTTGTGAAAGTTCCAATTTTTTTATATCGCTCTGTCTTGGTTAGTTGTATCAACTTTGGTCCTTGGTAAGTTAATTTTTGTAAGCCCCTAAATATATAAAATGTCAAAAAAATGCTGTTCTATATACAATTTCATTAAATAACCTTCAACATTGCTAGATAATTCAAATCATTAAAAAAAACACATTTAATAAACCGTAAACAATGCTTGTAGCTTTAGCTCTACACTCCACTGCAAAGTATAAACCAGTACGATTGGAAGGTCACATTCTGTAAATACTCCTAACAAGAACGTAAACTATAAAAATTTAGATAGTTAAGCGCATAATTATTGTTATGGCCATTTTTTACGTAAGTACAACAATCGTGCCCATACAAATTCATTGAAATACGAAAAAAATAAAAACAATTCATTCATTCATCGGGTTAATAATTTTGCTATTAAAATATTAAGTTAATAAATAATAGCCTGCAGCTTCATTTTCTTCAAGAAATACTTGATCAATTTTTACTTTTTTTTATTTGTGTTCATCTCAATTGTTTTGATAATAAAGACGTTTTTTTTTCTGTTGATCGTTTTTTTACAATACACCGGAGACACATATCAGCAAACGATGTTATAGTTATAATCAAAGATGTCAAAAATCTAAATTGTAAAACTTATACAGTGAGCGGCAAAATTATGGAATAATCTTATTAAAACTGAAAATATTTTGTTTTGGCAAAAATACTCGAACAGGTCTATTTTCTTTTTAAGAAATAGACAATTTTGAACTTTTTGGTTTTTGAGTAATGTCATCGACATTTTTTTTTAATGGAAACCCCTAATTTTTTAGCCAATTTGATGGATTTTTAATTGTTGAAATGACAACACCAAAATATTAAATATTACATGAAGTTTTAGAAAAAAATCATCAAAAAATGAAATAATATAATATCAACAAAAAACAAACATACAATTTTAAATCAAGTTAAGAATTTTGTATTTTTTAAAAAGAATCCTATTGATCTGCTCGAGCATTTTTGTCAACAAAATATTTTTACTTTTAATAAATAAGATTATTCAATAATTTTGCGGCCACTGTATATCAGCTTTTGTAATTCCTTGTAACGAGAGATTAGATATTAAATCTAGACAATGACAAATCTTCTTGAAAATTCAATTCGAAAATATGATATGCTCAACTGCTACTTAGTAAAGACTGACTGGAAATGTATAGAGCTATTTATTAATTAGGTCCAATTTTTGAAATTGTTTTACAAAAATTACTATTTTGATACGTAAAAACAAACTATGCCCAAAAAATTTAATTTTAAAAACGCTACAACATAACAAAACACGTGCCAATTTAAATTCAGTCAGTCACAAATCCCTGCAGTATTTGAATAGAAATCGTAGATAAAAAAACACATGCACGCAAGCGCGTTTTCGTACTCTCATTACATAACAAAATCCGTAATACCCACTTAACGGCTTATCACTCCGTGTAGTAACTAGTTAACCGCTCATCCACCTTACAAAAGTAGAACGGCAAAGCTTCCGTTCATTTAACGGAAGTGTGCTTTTTACCCACCGCTTCCCAGGTCTTCCCGTACGGACAGGGCGCACAAGGTGCAGTGCGCAATGTCGAAATAGGGAAACATCTTGAGTTTGACCACCTGGTTGGCGATATCGAGGAATGCCTCCGGATCCATACTGAGGCTATTGATTTCTAGACACTTTCACTACAAAACACTAAAAGATAATTGCTTAAGTGGTTGGACCAAAGATAGGAAATTAGCGACGCTCGCACATGGCTGATTGCCAGGTTCGGACTAGGTTATAGCTCGCTGGGCCCGACGCTTCAAAATCTGACCCTGACGCCGCGACGCTATTTTCAACCTTCAGATGAGAGAGAATTTTCAAGAGTTTGAAAATTTTACGAGTTTTACTGGCTGTCTAGCTTGGAGACAGGTAGTCACTAGATTTTTATTTGAAGCACACGTAGCAGATTTTTGTCACAAGATTATTATTTTTAATAATGTTAAAATAAAAAAATTGTCAAAAAATTGCATTTTAAGAAGATGTATTAATTACACCGTATCAAATTAATTGAAATCACGTGCCGACACTGTAATAATGACATAATAAGTACTCAGTACTTTCATGATTTTCGTTTGATAAACACTAAAAATTTTAGGCTTATAAATATTCTATTGTATTTAGATAGTACATATTACATATTTTTTTACAATTCATAAATTCAACGACAAAAAGGTCATCATTTATCTCGTAAGTTCTCTTCATAGATATCCACATGCCGACTTTTATCTTCTGCACAAATAATACTAGAGCAGGATGATATTTAAAGTTTAATACTAAAGCCTGCCATGCGCAATAATAAATGTACATACTCGTATGTAGACAATAGTACACAACGCAAACAGTAGTGTGACATATTTGCAAATCAGGTTTTACACATTTTATTAAATTACATACTAATAACTGAAAATTACAATCAGTGTACATTGCGAAAGTGAAAGTCACTTCAGGTAAACGTAAACACTATATTCATTAAATATTATTTTTGTTCTCATTAAACTTCACAGCAACAATAATAAAATCATATTGTAATTATTTAATTTTTGACCATTGCTCTATGATTATGGAATGTTCATTCGGTTTTGCTAATATTAACTAACAACAATTGTAAAACTAGTCAAGCAGGTGTTACACCTCGTTGATAATTTTAATTCGATATGTTATTACTTGTTTCCTCGCTGTACGCACAATACATATAACATAAAATTCCGATTATTTTAGTAAAATGTCATCAAACACCTATATAGCGTGTTTGGACATCGGTACCACCACTATAAGATGCACAATCATAAATTCTTTAGCTCACACTGTTGGTTCAGCTAGATCTACGGTAAGTTAAATGTTTCCATTTTCCACAATTGAAAAATATCTTCAGGTGAAATTAATATACCCAGAACCAGGTTTTGTTGAAATAAATCCAGACCAACTTTGGGAACAAATTTTAGAAATTATTAACAATGCTGTTTCAGGTAAATTTATTCATTTATGATTAAGCGATTATTTTAAAAATTGCTTGCTTTAGATGCAAGTTTAGATATTGCAAATATTAAATGCATTGGAATATCAACACAAAGATCAACGTTTTTAACATGGGACAGCAAAACTGGAAAACCATTTCATAATTTCATCACGTGGAAAGACATAAGGGCGAAAAATCTGTGTAAGGAACTTAATGAATCCTTCCTTGTAAAGGTAAAACCAAAAAATATTATGCTTTTTAATTTAACTTTTTTTTAACATAGGCATTTCGTTGTGCAGCTTACAGTTTGTATCTCGTGACAAGAAGTAACAGATTCCTAATTGGAAGTAGATTAAAATTTGCCGCAAATCATGTAAGAATTAATTAAGTCAATAATTTTTGTTCATGCTGTATTTTTGACAGGCAAGAGGACGACTTCTTTGGGTCCTCCAAAATATCCCCGAACTTAAAGCGGCCCTTGGTGAAAATAATGTAAAATTCGGGACAATTGATACTTGGTTATTACACAAATTTACAAAAAATAAATTACACCTAACTGACATCAGCAATGCCTCGGCGACTGGCTTTTTCGATCCTTTCGTTTTCGAATGGGGTTCATGGGCCAAAGTCATTTTGGGGATCCCCATGGAGATTCTTCCTCAAGTAGTTTCAAATGACTATGATTTTGGTTCAACTGAGGAACAAATTTTTGGGGTTTCGATACCGATTAGATGTATTGTATGGAGGTAAAATTTAATTTTTTCATATGTCAATTATTTTTTTAGATGGCAGATCAATCATCATCAATGTTTGCATCTAGCTGTTTTGTACCTGATGACATTAAATTAACTCTAGGAACTGGAGCCTTTTTAGATGTAAATACCTCAGCTGAAATTCATACAAGTGTGACAGGGATTTATCCCCTAGTTGCATGGAAAATTAGAAATGAAGTAACTTGTATTGGGGAGGTGGCTTGCAATGATTGTGGTTCCTTTATTCAGTGGTTATTAAATATAGGTGAAGTATTTTTTTTTTGTTACTGTGAATTAATGTTTTTAAATACACTTATTAGGTTTAGTAACAAAACCGGCTGATATTTATAGCATGGTCACTAGTGTACAAGACAGCGATGGGGTTTATTTTATACCAGCTTTTAGTGGTTTAGGTGTAAGTACTTAACTCATTTAAGTGTTTATGTATATAAAATAAATATTATTAATTTAGCCTCCCATAAATGATGAGAAAGCAAGTTCTGGTTTTCTAGGAATCAAACCAACTACAACCAAGAATCACCTAGTTCGCTCGGTTTTAGAAGGAATTACTTACAGGGCAGTTCTTGCATTTCAAACATTAAAAAAAGAAAGAAACAGTGAATACCGCAGAGTCACGTAAGTTTAAAGGTATTCAAAAATTGCAAATATAACTGTAAAAAATTAGGGTTGACGGTGGAGTCTCAAACAACGACTTTGTCTGCCAGTTGTTTGCAGATTTAACAGGGCTAGAAGTTGAGAGACTAGATTCTACTGAAATGTCCGTCTTAGGTGTGGGATTTTTAGCAGGAATTATAACGGGTCTGTAAGAAACTATAAGCATGACTAAAGTCTAATACAATTTACAGGTGTTTGGAAGACTGAAGAAGTGAAAAAGTTTAATAAATTAAAAAAATTATTTAATCCAAAAATTGACCATATTTATAGGGAAAAATGTTTTGATGAATTTAATAAATGGAGAAATGCTGTGGAAAGATTTAAATATTGGTATGAGGACTAAAAATTGGGACAGTTAAAGAAAAAGTAAGTACAAAAGTTAAGTTCCAATAGCTGTAAGACCTAAAATGGATAAATTAATTCTGAACTATACATTTTATATTCGGTGTTTAATTTATATTTTTATACGAATTTGTACATTTTACCATGCATTTATAATATTAGTACTGGTGAATAAAAGGTTATTATTATTATTATTGATGTATTCATCCCTTATTAATAAAAAATATAATAAGGAATTTTACAATTGGTTTCCTACCTTGTTATTTGGGAATCCCACATGATTATTGTTAATAATGTTTTGTTGATGAAAATGTTATTTGTTAATTGTGTAGTCTTTCTGTTGAAATAAAATTGAAGATAACAATGTCTTTACGAAAGGTGAGCCCCAAAATCTCTCCATTTCAGCACATCTCTTTATGCATCTGGAAATTTAATCCACTAATTAATACGAAAGTGAATACAAGAAATAGTAAATTATACATCCTCTAATAATCTCATAATGGGGTCACTTCTAATTAATCACAAAAGCAAGGAATTTCCGAGCTCTCACATCATTTAATTTTTTTAATGAAAAATAGGTTATGCTTATGCAACCCGCATTAGCTTTTGGGGACATTTGGTTTTTAGTTCCTTTAAGTTTGGAATTTGGTTGAATGGCCGGTAGGCCGGTGTTAAAATTCTCTGCTAAATTTCGAACCACTCCCGATCACTGAACTTAAATTAATAATTCACAGGTAAATACATCTCATTATTAATTGCATATATTTCGTAATACTATTAAATAACAATCTAATATCTCATAGTTATTACAACGTATTCCACGAATAATTGTTCTAAATTGCACTTTTTGAAACGTCATACGTCAATGCCATGGCGGAACCGTAAATTTTAATTCAATTTTTGCCAATGTTTGAATTTTTTTACACACAAAATAAACTTTTCTATTGTAATTAGGCATAAACTTTTTAATAGACTTTATTTTTGGAAGCTATGCGTTGGTTAGGCTTTGCCCCCATAACGGGACATATTGTTTTACAAAAACCGGTATGCATCATTTTCGCCTCAAGTAATTTATAATCGATCTGTACGATTTACAACGTATAGATCGGTTGTTAATCAAAACGATTTCAAATTTTTGTGTGTTGATAACAACACAATGAAGGATGATCTAATTTCGCACTAACACTTTGTCATAACTTTATCAATGTTTACACTTTTTGTTCAATAAAGTTAATAATTTGTTGTAGAAATGGCGGTGAACGTATATTCCACTAATGTGACTTCAGAGAATCTTTCTCGACATGACATGTTAGCATGGGTTAATGAGTGTTTGCAAAGTAGTTTTGGCAAAATCGAAGAACTATGTACAGGCGCTGCCTACTGCCAATTCATGGATATGTTGTTCCCTGGCTCTGTTCAACTTAAAAGAGTCAAGTTTCGAACAAATCTGGAACATGAATACATACAAAATTTCAAAATTTTGCAAGCTGGCTTTAAAAAAATGGGTGTTGACAAGGTAAGCAATTAATCTTTAATTTACAGCTACCATCTAGGTGAACGAACACATTTTATTTGTAAGTGAGAAATTATAAAAACGAAACACAGTTGATTACTTAAAATTAACTTATAAAGTAATTGAAATAAACAGAAAATTGTTTGCTATGAGTATTGATTAGCCAAGGGTTCAATTTTACTCACTGGAAAATTACCTCCACGTTAAATTACTTAGAATCACGTCATAGCTTTTATACAACTATCAATATTTTCTAAGTTTAAATGTTTCAAATGTTTGCAGATAGAGTATAAATATGAAAATATTGATTTTTGTAATAAGTGAAGCTAGTTGCAGTTCGTGCAACAAGTGACGTAATTTAGTTGTTTTGAGAGGCTAATTGGGTTTAAAAAAATGTTTGAATTGTAAATGAAGTAATAATAGAAATCCTATATTTCCGGATGTTTTTTAGGAATACGATTACTTTATTTTAGTTGTTAATTTTTTATCTTATTATTAATTCAACGTTGTTTGAAAGTGTTGATTTAAAAAAAAAAAACATTTGTGAGTGAGTTTTTAATTATTGATACTCGTCGAACCGAATTTTGTCAATTAACGGGTTGTTTGCGATAATTGTAGATTATACCCGTAGATAAATTGATAAAAGGCCGATTCCAAGACAATTTCGAGTTTTTGCAATGGTTTAAGAAATTTTTTGACGCCAATTACGATGGTAGAGATTACGACGCACTCGACGCCAGAGGCGGTATAACTCTCGGTTCGGCAGCACATGACCACCATGTCGGAGGACTCGTACCTCATCACGCCCCTGCAAAACCTGCACCCACTCGACAGGGTAAAAGGACAACCGGTCCGTTGACGAAACCGACCCTTGATAGTAAATAAATTGCTTAAGAGTGGGTCGCTTTCGTGTTTGTCGCGCTTTTGCTTGTTTTCTTGTAGAAAGGCGGTGATAATACGGTCCGTCCCCCTATCGTTTACCATCTAAATGTTTCGTTTTTTCGCATGTTGTCTCTTTAGTTTGTTTCATTTCGCTTTGTTTTTGTTTTGGTGGCTGCATTAGATAGTCCCAATAGACAAACTGGTGAAAGGACGATTCCAAGACAACTTTGAGTTTTTGCAATGGTTCAAAAAGTTCTTCGATGCTAACTATAGAGGTAATGAATATGATGCCTTGTCGTGTCGGAATGGCGAAGCTATGGGAGGGGGTGGCGCTAACGCTCCGAGAAGCACCAACTCATTGATGGCACGAAAAACGGTCCCGACTTCGCCAGCCAAAACGGCCCCGGCGAAACCAATCGGCCGAGCGAGTAGGTCACTGATGTTATCACTAATATTATCACTAGGGTCATATGTCAATAACCTAAGGGGCTATATGGAATTGCACTTGTTTCTTCCCAAGCACTAAATTTCCACCTAGCCTTTTTAACGCCGCTTTTGTATTTTTGAGTTGCAATTTTTTTCCTTGCATGATGCGCATCAGGAACAGTTTTTAACTGTAAATTTTTAGTGCCGAAAGTTAATACCGTTCGACCAATCACTAAAAACCCCCAAAACAAAGGCGGAGATGCAGGCCGCTTGGACGAATTAACAAATCAAATTGCAGAATTTAAGGTAATGATATATTTTTGTATGAACTCGCAGTCAGTTTAAATTTTAGATAACGATTGATGGACTGGAAAAAGAACGAGACTTCTATTTTGGAAAATTGCGAGACATCGAAGTTATGTGTCAAGAGTCTGAGGATTCTCAGAATCCTTTGATTCAAAAAATATTAGATGTTTTGTACGCCACAGAGGTGAGTCGTGCAATTGTAAGAGTCGTATTTGTGATGTGGGATTTTAGGAGGGTTTTGCGCCTCCCGATGAAGTGGAAGCTGGAGGTGATGAGGACGAATATTAGTAAATTATGCCGCCTTTTATATGTTTAAAAATTTTTGCAATGTTTTACAAGTTAAATCATGCAACTTTATGTAAGTTTTTTCTGGTTAATTTAAGACAATACTTTTTTATATGAGTGTTGCTTACATGTGTGCGTTGGTCTCATAGTAAGTTGTTGATATTATTGTCTATTAATTTATGTTTGCCATTTAACGCAGTTATAATATTAAGTTAAATGGATAACATGTTTGCAAAATTAATGTCATATAAATTTCAGTTTCTATAACGTGGTTGACTGTTATTTATCTTCTCCTACCCTTTATTAACTTAGTTTTAAAAATGCATTGCTTTTTATATAATTTTACTTATAAAACTATTAATTACATTACAGTTTGGGCCAGTTTTGTAATAAAATGTAAATTTTATAACAATACAATTTCGAAATTATTTTATGTTCACAATTATTTTAAACACTGTGAGAAAAGTAAACGTGACCTAACTATATACAGGCATTTGTGTCAAAGATAGATAGTCAACAAAATTGCACATAACAGGAATTAAATCTTATTAATTTTATTTTGCTAAAAGTTCCTTTATTTTCAAGTCATTTCGCAAGATGTTGCTTCTGGTACTTGCTATTTCTTCTTCCATTTTTGTGATCTCTTGGTTCAAGTGCTCAAGTTGTGATATCATAGGTTTATTCATTTCTAAACTTATTCTGAAAAAAAACATTACCCAAAATTTTAAAACATTTGCGTTTATACTTCTTTTGTTTAGCAATTTCACCAAACAACTGACGCTTAGTATTGGTCCACATTTCCAGTTCAGCTTGCATTGCATCTATATCTTCATGAAGATAACTTAGTAGTTTTCCCAAGGGATTTGCTGTTTTTGTAAGCGTCTGTATCAACGATTTTAAGTTATTCGTTTCTTTAGTTGTTGCATCTTTTCCTTGGAAAACTTAAATATAACAAAAATAAGCACACTTTAATTATTTCTTAACCACCTCACCATCTTTCTGCCAATCATCTTCATTTTTGGTCGCATTAACTTTAACATCACTTTCATTAATTTGTTCTAAAATTTGCTCAACGAGGTGTCCTTGATTAGTCCCAGAAACTTCCACAGTATTTTCCACGTGTTCTTCGGCAGCTTCCGAATTACTTTGAATAATCACCGTTTCTTCTTCGTCCCCATCTTTATCAAAACTTTCAACGATTACATTGATCTTACCCATAGGAACAATTTCCTTAATGGGGAGTGCAGAATCAGGTCGTAAACGTGGTGCTCCTGGCCGAGCACTCGATGGTCTAACGCTTGGAGGCCTTAATGAACTTTTAGGACGATTCTGAATAGTTTTAGGTTCTTTAAGTTCATCCTTGATTGTTTTTTCCTTAAGGTCGCCGCTTTTTGGACGAGCTGATTTCGGACGTGAGGCCGAAGCGCTACGTTTTCGTGGTTCAATGCCTTCAGTTAGGTTTGAGTCTGTTGTTTCAGTGGTTTGAGGAATGATAGTTTTTATAAATTCTTCTTCAGGTTTCAATGTAACGACATTTTCAGGAACTGAACTGTCAACTGTATCACTTAAATTTTGTTTTTCGTTAATTTCAACAGTCGACATAATTTCAGCAGTGGTTGTTGGTATTTCTGTACTTTCCTTACTTGCTTTCTCTTTTGTTGTAACATCTTTGCTCTTCTCTTTAGTCTTTTTTGGCTTCTCTTTACTCTTTGTTTTTCCGTCGTCTGACGCAGGTTTACCTTTACTTTCTTTTGATGTCCTTTTCGGTTTAGATTTATCTCTGTCAGTAGATTTAGGGGTTTCATTGTTGCTTTGTTTGTCCTTAACTTTTGGAACACGACTTTTCTCCTCGTTATCTATGACAATTTTCGAAGTTTTCTTCACCTTTTCATTCTTATCTGAGGGCTTTTTTGACTTTCGATTCTTGTCTTTACCTAGTATGTCACCTGATTGAAATTGTTTCACGTACTCTGAACTATCAATTTTTTTCTCAATTGCTTTTCCTATAGTTTGGAGGAGAATGTTCGTTTCAGTAGGTTCAAGTCCCGCTACGATTTTACTAGGACGAACAGCCAAATCTGTGTTTGTTATTACTTCTGCAAATAAAACAATTAAGATAAATTTGAAAAGCGAGTGTTACTACCAGATTAACAGGTAAGTGGAAATAATCAATAACTAAATATATTTAAATTACTTACTAACGGCATCAATTAGTTTAGTGAGAAAAGCCACTTTAGCTTCTTTTTCTTTCACATTTTCTGAGTTTAATTCTTCTTCTGTGAAAAGCCCTTTTAAAAATCCAGTTTCTTTTATAACCGTCTTAATGATATCATGCAAAAACCTGAAAGGCGGTTTTTTGAGCAATTTTTCACTTAGTGGGGGCTTTTTCACATATTTTCCTAAATATTTTTGAGTTTTCAGCACTACGTCTTGTTTTATCTCTTCAGGCATTTTACGTTAAATTATTTCACCACAAAAAGTCATCATGTGGCACTGTTGACAGGGGCGTTGCTAAGGCAACGTTAATAATAAGCCACATCACACTGTACTTTTTTTTTTAAATATCCAGATTTTTTTACAAAGAAATTTTATTTTTCTGTAAATTCAACCATTTTCAAACTAAAATGTCCAAAGCACTGCTTGGTTTATTTTTATAATTTAATTAAAATTTTTATAAATTGTCATTTAATTTTTTTGTTATCAATAAATCTGACAAGTTTTTGAACTGCATCTATTTTCGAGGCCACAATATAATGTGTTGTCATGGTAACATTTATTCCACAAAATGAAATAATCTATTTTACCTCATTACGATAAATGCAGATTTTTTTTTCAGTGATTCACCTAATTAATGAGCATTTTCTTTTTGGTAATATGCCAAAATTTTGCCTTAGCTCGGTCCCATTTGCAAAAAAATCAAAAAGAAAATCAAAATCAAAGAAATTCAAAATTGGTGCGCAAATTCAGCCAATCACAAAGCGATTGTTCGTCACCTTGCACTTCCCCCTCCAGAAATCCACATTTCAGTTGTTTGCAAGTTGAAAGGAATGGCGTCTTGTGAAATTAAAGAAAGTCTAGTGTTCAATAACAGCACAGGGAATGTAGGATCAAATGTTCGTATCTCATTATCATATTTGTATTTAATTTCTAGAAGTATCATTTGCATCTTTTATTTTAAACTTGTAGAAATCCTGCTTTTCGGCATTTTTTATAAAAAGTCACTAAATTCAGCTACCCTCTAAAATGAAATTCCCTAACTTTTTATTGTCAGTTGTCAATTTTGACAGTGGCGTGCATCAAAAGCGTGGTTATTCGGCGCCAAACGGTTTCTGTTCATATTTACAGTTTAGAATAATTGAAGGTAAATGTTGTAGAAATTACGTATTAGAGAAGTTGTTTTTATTAACGGAATGATTATGTCGTGTTTCACACCCAAGGGACTTAAATTTTAAACACGTTTTTTTTGTTGCTTTTTGTGTGGTTATAGAACATCTACATATTTTGCATTTTGTTGTGTGCAGGATAATCTTCATAAAATGGATACAACGGACGTAGGGGCCTCAAACAACCATGTCAACGAGGAGAAAATGGAAGATATTCCGGCTGAAGAGATGACTTCTCGAGATTACTACTTCGACTCTTACGCTCATTTTGGCATTCACGAAGAAATGTTAAAAGACGAAGTAAGAACTTTAACTTACCGCAATTCGATGCACCATAACAAACACTTATTCGCGGGTAAAACTGTGATAGATATTGGATGTGGGACAGGGATTTTAAGTATGTTTGCTGCTAAAGCAGGAGCCAAAAGGGTATTTGCCATTGAATGCTCTAATATCGTCGATTACGCCCGTAAAATCGTCGAAACAAACAAACTCGATCACATTATCACCATAATTAAAGGCAAAGTCGAAGAAGTGGAACTCCCAGACGGCATTGAGAAAGTCGATATTATTATTTCGGAATGGATGGGCTATTGCTTGTTTTACGAAAGTATGTTGGACACAGTATTATATGCTCGCGATAAGTGGCTTAAACCTGACGGCCTATTATTCCCCGACCGCTGTTCCTTGTTTATTACTGCCATTGAAGACCGGCAGTACAAGGACGAGAAAATCAACTGGTGGGACGACGTCTACGGTTTCGATATGAGCTCAATACGCAAAGTTGCCATCAGCGAGCCGCTGGTTGACGTCGTCGACCCGAAACAAGTCGTCACGAATTCGTGCTTGGTGAAAGAAGTCGATTTGTATACCGTCAAGAAGGAGGATTTGGAGTTTTGTGCACCGTTTAGTTTGGTAGTTCGTAGGAATGACTATGTCCAAGCTCTCGTCACTTTCTTTACCGTAGAATTTACGAAATGTCACAAAAGAATTGGATTTACAACTGCTCCAGACGCACCATATACGCACTGGAAGCAGACGGTGTTTTATTTTGAAGATTACATGACTGTCAAAAAAGGTGAAGAAATTAACGGAACGTTCACCATGAAGCCTAATCCGAGAAACAACAGAGATTTGGACTTTGTTATCGAACTTAACTTCAAAGGAGAATTATGCGAAGTTCACGAAAATAACAGATACCGCATGCGTTAATTTATTTCCATTTTTACTACAAGTGTAACTTCCCGAAAAATAATCTCATGACTTCAAACAGGCCCAGATTTTGACGCTAGTCTTAGTTTACATTTTTATGTTGGCACGAGACATTTATTTATACGTGATTTTCATCAAAATTTGCTTTTTTTTCTTGATTTGATTGCTGTCGGCAGCGTCATATTTAAGAATCTCCTAAACATTATCATAAGTTTCAATTGTGAGTGTCCAATTTTTTGTCTTAATGAAAGTATTTCGTTAAGAGTCTAGGTAGTTAAAAAATGTGGAACAACTTGTAGGATAAAAACAAAGAATACTGTTTGTCAAAAACGACCTTCAGTGAGTTAGTTTGAATACCCTTAATATTATGAATTAAGTAATACTTGCAAATTTCAATTGTAAACCGTAATAATAAAAACAAATCATTTAATTTCACAGATTTTCATTTAAACTCTTTCATGAAGGAACACGATAAAACACTGAATAAAATACCTTTATTGTGTAATAAGAAGTGATACAAGAATTTATTTTATTAAACTTTCAGAAAAATTTGTTTTTGTGTCTTGAAATCGCTACGCAGTTGGATAAAATTATGCAGAACTGAGCGGTCAAGGTTTACCAGAGAATCCTCTGAACACACTTGTTGTAAATTTTCTGGTTTTACCAATAATAAGTTGCACAGTGCATGCAATGTTTCGAACAATTCGGCTACCAGAGGGCCTAGATGTTTAGTACATGACCGATACTCATTCAAGTCACATATTGCAACCATTGCACCTTAAAACATTACAATGAGCAACAGAAAATTTTGGAAAATTGATTTACCTGCAGTATTAAATTGAAACTGTAACAAATGATCGTAAATCACTCTATGTAATCGAATACCCAGCTCTTGCAAAATGGCAGTAACATTATTGCCGTCTAAACTATCTTTGATCTCCTTAATAACATTACTTATGTATTGGGAAACTGCTTTACATGCCTAAAATTGGAAATTATTTTATGCAAATGAAGAAGAATTTGATATACCGGCGAAGCAACAGTATCGAAATCATCCGTTTCTGGTTTAAAATCAGTCTTTTTCTGTTCCGATTGAAGATAGAGTTTTACCCAACTTGCAACGGCATTTAAAGTCCTGCAAAGGCTATTCTAAAAGAAAGTAAAAGCAATTTTTGAAGTCACCTGTCCAATCCAGTATTAACTTTCCTTTCAATGTCTTCCAAAATGAACTTTTTCTTTTGCATACAATCATTGTATTTTGGCGTATTTCTGAAAACAAATTTCAAATTGATAAATCAATAAAAGTTATGAGTTTTCTTACAACTTACAAAATTAGAGGCACTGCTAAATCAGTAATTTGTTTCTCAAGCAAATGTGTTATATTGTTGCTTTGGTGCACCACGGTGAAGAAATACAACGTCGGAGGATTTTTAGATCCTTCCACAACAGGAATTGCCTGAAGCCCCAATTCTAGAGCATAATCCACATGCTCAATCAACAAAGAATTAAGTAAACGGTCTAAAATTTGACTGGCATTGGAAGCCTTGTCTTCAGGTTTTGAAAGCTGAAAGACGACATTTTTCCTCAGTTTATTAAACAATGCTCATACCAGTTGGCAACGCTGGAAAGCTTGTTTGGTGTCCTGTAAAATTGTAATTGCTAATTCTTCGGAGAGAAATGTTTCCCCACCATAATTTTCAATCTGGGCAATGTTAATGTTGGCCCTTGTTCCAATTACAGCTTGTAAATCTCGTCTCAAATCTTGAAACCTATTACTAAGTTTAAACAAGAGGAATCACTAAGAAAAGAATACACATACCCGCCAGATTGAATTTGCTTCTTTTGATGATTTTTGGATTCATAATAACGTTGCAAATTCGCAGAGCTGCGCTCTTTCAGGCATTTCAGTTCTAATCTGCAAGCGTAAAAAATTAAAAATAAATAAGATCGGTGTACAAGTCTTACGTTATATAATTATCGATGTATTTATTAAAAATATTGCTTGTTAACTTGTTTAAATAATTTTTATCGCTACCCATATTAAAAACGGATAAATCTTGAGATAATTGATTGGTCCTAAAATAAAATGTTAAAAAAATATACGAAGAGATTATATACAGTGAAACTACCTGTCATATAACTCGTACAATGTTTTTAAATAATTATAACTATCTAATTTTGAGGATAACTTTGACGCAATGTATTCTTGTAGTTTTAAATGATATAAGTTTAGAACAAATTTTGCCAACACTTGTTCTGGATTATTAAAGACTTTCTTAATCACTTCATAGTTTAGCTGACACAATGGGAGCAAACGCGAAAAAACATCTTTGCTTAATAAGCAACCCTAAAATGTTATTTCCATAAAAAAGATAATAAAACATATTCCGTGTTTACGGCTTGACTCCTTTCTATGTAAGCATCAACACACTGGGGATACCCTTTAAATTGTGATAAAACATTTGCAATTTCTTTCATTCTTTTGAAATCATCCCTTCGTTGGGCATTTGAAAATTCTTCAATTAAAGTTCTCTCTGTCTCATCATACTTTCTTTCAATTTTGCGTTTTAAGCCTTCAAATCTAAAACATGTACTTGTCAATTTTTCATGTGCACATATTTGAGTTAAATTTTTACTTTGGTGATGGCAAGTCTTGTGAAATTAAATATAGTTTTTGTATAACTTCTGCTGCTTCATCAATCTGCAAAAGGTCATCCTAAATAAAAGTATTTGATTAAAAGATAAAAATACTTTTGAAGGGTCGGTGAAAATCACTGAAGTAAGGGGCCCAGTTTGCAAAAATTCATTTAAATGTGTCATCAAGTTTTGTGCATCAACAACTCGTGCCCTAGGTCCGTTAACGCTATCCAACTGATCACCTAAGTGTAAGACTTTCGTTGCAACATGATTAATCTTCCCATCTAGTTCTTGAAATGTGTCAATAGCTTGCTGAAATTGAGTTTTCGATTTATTTTAAATAACACTTCATTATAAACTACTTTATTCTGCCCCAACAAATCGTGAATTTTTTGAAAAAATAGGGCTTCATCTTCACGTACGGCGGCTTCAAGTCTTTCACATTTCTTTTTTTGCCTTTCTTGTAGTAAAGTTAAGTCTCTAGAAAAGTAAACCCAGATTATTGAACCTACAAAAATTTGTTTTTTACTTAATAGCTTGAACAAAAGAGTCATGCAACAATGTTGGATTGAAGTCGTCATCAGTGTCATTTTTTGTTTCAGCTATTGTTCGCCAAGCTAATCTTTCAACAAATTCTTCGGCGTCAAATGGTTCCTGAAAATTGGGGGGTGTTTATAAGACCAAACATGCAAATAAATTTATATATACCTGTTCCAATTCTTTCATATATTGTTGCATCATTTTGAAAAGTAATTTTTCCCTTCAAAATAGATTAGATATAAATAAAAAGAATATTTTTTTATATTTTCCTGACTTGTTTTGACAAATGTCACTTATGACGTTTCATCTAATGTTAGGTTAGAATAAATTAAATTGACATTATTTCGTAGCTTTGGTTTTGAAATTAAAATATCAAGTGCATTTTGTGTGATATTTAGCATTCAAGACTACGTGGTTCTTAAGGAATTAATTAATAACAATTTAAAAAATAGTTTATTAATCAGCTGACGATCAATCTCACCAATCTCCCAAAACGTCAAAATATACAAGATATCCAAAATCCCCAAGTCATTAGCACATAAGAATAATCACAAAAAATTATCGTTTTTGTTTACATCTAAGGCCGATTAAATCCAGAAAAAATGGGTATAGCAGATTGTTTCGAAAATATAAGTATTCCTCCGTGTATTTGGTTTGAAGGGGGTGACAGACGAAACGCCTATGCTTCAATGATATCGGGATTTTTGGTAAGTTTTTTGTGACCAAAGAATGGACATGATTCATACAAATTTTTTAGTTTTTTGTAGGATGGTGGATAATAATCGATGCAGCAAGTGTGTACACAGGAACTGTATTAGCAGGATACCACATGTGTGGTGTTGTTGGGGCTGTGTCTTTGATAATGATTAATTCAGTTTCAAATGCTCAAATGAGGGGTGATGCTTATGAAGGGGGCTGTTTAGGCCCTAGAGGCGCCAAAGTCTGGTTATTTGTTGGTTTTGTAATGGGATTTGCATCTGTGATCGCATCATGTGGAATATTATTTGCTGATTTTGTTAACAAGAGTAAGGGTTTTTGTTCTAAAAACTGTTTAATAGAATATTTTTGTTTTTCAGAGGTCCCTCACTATTGGCCAGGAGTTGCTATATTTTTGCAGAATGTTTTTATTTTTATTGCATCACTGATATTCAAGTTTGGAAGATCTGAAGACATTTGGACATAAAAAAGTTTGTCACAAATCATACATTTATGTTGCAAGTTTTACCTTTCATGAGCATAACGTTTAATTTTTTACTAAGTGTAAAGTGTAAAAACTAGGTTGTAATATTGTGTAATTTATTATTTGCTAAATAAATAAAAATATAAATTAAAAACTTCAATTTATTTAACCATCATCATGATCGCTTCTGTTTGGACCAGGACAATTTGTTTTTAAGTCATCTTCGTCAGTTGCAACAAAAGCACAGAACATACAATACAAATGCAAGCTTCTAAGATAATGAATCAATTCACTTAAGTTTTCTTCTGTACAATAAGAATCAAATTCTTCATTAAATTGTTCTTCTTCCTCCTCGTCTTCAACACTTCTCTTCTTCTTTATTGTTTCTCTTGTCCAGTAAAATTCTTGTATTGGCTCAACAGTGTTCTAAAATAGATAAATTACATACTTTGAATCATTAACAATGTATTCACCTTTCTTAAATCCAAATCTTCACAAGCTCTTTGAGCTTTAACAAAATCCTTACACAGCAATTTCTGAGCTTGTTTATTTTTAATATTTGTATGAAATGCGTCCATTTTCTTTTCAAGAGTTTCCTCTTTATATAACTTCTTCTTGGTAACTTTTTCCTTAAAATGATTTTCTAACCCAACTCCTGATTTCCCGCTTTTGAACTCTATTTTTATAGGCTCTGTAATGCCAGATTGTGATTTTCCTAAGCCCTGGCCTTGTTTAAAACCCATTTTCTCTAATAACTTAAACCCCTTGTTGTCATTTGAAATTGCAGTATTCAATCCCTGTTGTCTAAGTTCCTCTTCTCTCTCTTTACTATTTTTGGGCTTCTTGGCCAAAAGCTCTTGTTTCTTTTTTTCAAGCTCATATTTTCGTTTTGTTGTGCGGTTAAAAACTAATCCTGGACGAACGTCTGCATCACTAAAATAACAATATTAAAAGTAAACATTTCACTACAAAATTGTAGTCAAAATTACCATTTCATTAAAAGCTTATCAGACATATAATCATCTTCTGAATCCGACATTTTCGAACTTTTCACATTATTTATGTGTTTATTTTATACATAATTATAATATGCCCACTTGCTGGTATTTAAGATGTTATAGGCACCACAAAATAGGCACAGGTTATAGGTTAAATATACTGCCAACATAATATTAACTTGCACCACAGTCTTGCATTGCCAACATTTTCGTAGAAAGTTCCTATATGGAATGCAATATAAAAAAAAATATTATTTTTGTTACAAATATCTAAAATACAATTTTTGCGGACGAATCGTTGCTGTTTTCGGACAAGGCGAAGCCGAGTGAGGAATAGCATACCTCTTATTGTTTATGATTATGATCAATGTCATCAGAGCAAAAATTTCTCGAAATTTCTTCGAATTTTATTCACCATGCCACGGTAGTAACCAGATAAGTCAGAAAAAGACTTGTATCCGTAAAAAAAAATATTTTTTTGTTTACACAATTTAAAATACAGAATGATTCACGAAGAATAATGAGCCTGACCAAATTCTAGATACAACCACCATTACATTTATGCAAGTTGCTTTGCGACAAATATACAGGCTGTCCTAATGGTCTGAAAATGCTCTATAACTTGTTTATTTTAAGAGATATTGACTTTTTCTTTTTTTTAGATTATAGCTGCGTTTTTGATGCACATTTTGAAAATATTGCGGTTTATATACAGGTGTCCCAATATTAAAAAAACACTAAAGTTATGTTTTTTTTTAATTGAATCTACTCAGTTTGATTTTATTTTTGGATTCTACGCCAAATTACAAATAACTTTTATAGAGGTTGTTTTCATTTATCTGTTATCAATTTTGATTTGTGGCACTTTTTTACCAGAATTTTTAAAATGCAGGGGTCTGTCTAAAAATTCGTACCTTCTAAATGCTTGCACACAAGTTAAAGTAAGTAACGCCGTTTGATTCCTGAATGTTTGCCGCATCTTTTAAGTGTTTACTCAACAACTTACTCAGTGGCATGTGCCTACTGCAATTTTTTAAACATGACAAATTAAAAATGTCAAAAACTCATTTTTTTCAAATAGCACCCTCTATTTATTATTGTACCAATCAAAAGATCTTTTGACAAGCTTTCCATCAATATAAGGTTTGTATAGTCTAGTGTAAAATTCTAAGTTGCTATCCTAAATTAACTAAATTTCGAAAAACTTTTCTGTTTTGGACAATTTGCACAAACGCTACAAATTTATTATAAACTGAACAAAATGTGGACTTATTCCAATGATGAGAAGAATGACATGATTTTATATAGCTTATGGAGAATGCATCTTTTGTTGCCTTTGTGATGCCCAATGATATCCCGAAAGAAAGAGCACTTTCTAACACAATCAGGTTAGTTTTTGACCAAATTGAGTTCCTGTTAAGTTATCAAAGAGAAGAGTACCTACCACTGGATGAAGCTTGAATGAGTGCCTTCCGTAACTCTTATTTTAATAATACCCATTATTGTGTTGGTATTTCAATTACTTCTGTTTTTCATTATTTTAATGTCAAAACTGACAAAATGTAAGTGTGCTCGCTATGATTTCATATTTATTACAAATAATCTTTGAAATCTACCTGACCTATGAAAATGTAATGTTGGTTGCATCGAGAATTTGGTCAGGCTCATTATTCCTCGTAAATCACCCTGTATAATAATTCGGTTACCACCTATATAATTTCTTTATCAAATTAATTGGGTAATATTTATGATTTAGAAATAATGACCCCAATTAATCCCAAGTGCTCATAAAGATATTAAATCACTAAACAAAACTATATGATGTAATTAAGTAAGTATACTGTGGCAATTATTTACCATTTTATTATTTATTGTTTACGTATACCTACCCAAAATTAGAACCTATTCATATCTCAAAAAATGAGTTTTTAATAAAACTGCAACAAAATAAGTAATTATTTTTAATTTTTACTGCTTGTATGCTTGTACTGATTATTTGCTATAAATAAAAGTGTTTATTTAAATTTTTATACCTATCAATTCGAATGAAATATTAAAGTGCGCCAATATTATAAATGGAAATTATTTTTGTAAGAAAAAAAGTGATAAAAACTAAGAACCTCTGATAGTGGGAAGTGGATTTATGATACCCGAATTTCGTCTCCAAAATTTATTTTAATGTGTGTTTTCTGTTAGAGACGTTGTAAGTGCTGGCAAAACTAAGTTTGTTTTAAATCTTATAAAAATAATAGTTAATGAATAAATACTTGGCCAGGCAACTAGTAGTTTATCTCAATGTCATTGGTTTTAATTTTTTATTTCATTTAAATTAGATTAATAAACTTTTTACAGTTTTTTGTAGTGTGTATACCTACCTAATTAGATTTTTGTTTCAGTATTTGTTTAAATCAAAATGCAAAGACCACCGTTTTTACTTTTACTATTATTCCTAGCAGTTTTTTCTCCACGTGGTAAGTCTAAAATTAGATTTTTTTTAAGAAATATTACATTTTTAACAAATTCTTAGACACAAAAGCGGAAATTGAAGAACGTTTTAAAGAAGATTTTTACAAAATCTACAAACATACCGCCATTGAAGCCAAGGACATCACCAACGAACATATAACACCCGATAAGATTACATATTTTTTATTCACGAAAAACGATCCTGAAAATTATGTTGAGTTAGACGCATCAAAACCTGAACAATTAGCCAAGAAAAATGTTCCCATTGTTTTCATTATTCACGGCTGGCTTGAAAAAAGGGAGAAGGACTGGTACGAAGACTTGAAAAATGCATTTTTGACGAGGAATAAAGAATATCATGTCGTGCAAGTCGACTGGTCAGATCCTGCTCATCAGTTATACACCGTTTCATCTTGGAACACAAAAGATGTCGGAAAATTCATCGGAGAGTTCATAGTCGGCTTGCACAAAAACCATTCAGTTCCTCTTGAAAACATCTTGGTCGTTGGCCATTCACTAGGAGGCCAAATTTCTGGATTTATTGGCAAGAAAGTGAAAGAACTAACTGGAAAAAAATTGAAGCGGATTGTGGCTCTAGATCCTGCTGGCCCTTTCTTCGTCAGCAGACCAGAAGAGGAACGATTGAACAAAAACGACGCTGAAGTCGTCCACGTTATTCACACCAATGGAGGAACTTTCGGATTTGAGAAGCCTTGTGGTACTATCGACTTTTTTCCAAATGGGGGCAGCTCACAACCTGGTTGCAAGAAAATCGATATTACGGACCCAAAGACTATCGCTGATCCAGGTTTGGTAATTTTGCGACTTATAAATAGGTTATTTAATCATGTTTTCCAGTAATTTGCGACCACCAAAGAAGCTGGGGGTACTTCATCGATGCAGTCAAAAGCCCTGACGACTTTATAGCTACAAGGTGTGCCAGTTATGATAAATTCAAGTCGACACAGTGCGAGGATGAAAATACTTCGATGGGAGACTTGAAAACAAGGAAGACAGGAGAATTTTATCTAGAAACAAACGAGGAGAAACCCTTTAAGGCTAAGCAACGTAAAGAGTTTAGAAAAAATGTCGAATTATAAGTCGAGTAGGTAATTGTGTTCCAATTGTCAAGTTTATGAAATTTTTAAAAGTTAATAAAGCATGTACAAATTAAAGAGCATTTTTATTATTCTATCCATTTTTTGAATAAATATTCAGAGTGATTTAAAAGTGTCGGACCATCTCTTGAGTAGTGACAAAAGACATCCAACTGAGTTAAAAGTTCCTATGACAAAAAATGTTTGAAATTGACAGTTCTCAAAAAAAGACTAGAAACAAAAATCTGTATTCACTTTTATGCTTAGTTGAAAGTCATATATCAACAATCGGGTGTTGGTCCGACACTTTTGAATCACCCTGTATATCATTAAAAAGGCAATTAGTATATATTTATTTTGCACCGTATATTTTGTTAATCACATAATTTTAAGTACATTTATCATTTTCTAAACAATAATTATTCTATGGTACTAGACGCTATTAATAAATTTATCCATTATCAGAAGACTCTGTATTTGGTTGAAGAAGTAATCTCGAATACGTTTACAAAAACATCGATCGATAAAGGTTGTTTGCTTTGAATTTTGTTTAGGCAGAAACAGAGACCCGGTAAGCCTTGATTTTAGTTTTAATTACATTTTGATTAGAAAGCTAAATTACAAATTACAGAGATAAAAATCATCAAGTATTGTGCATAAATTATTTTTAGATTCTACTACTAATTAGCAATTGTAATACCTAATTTTTTTATCACAATCAGTTATGATTTCCCATGTTTACCTACCTGTTATTCGCGGTTTGTGCGTATTAATGTGATTTTTATTCTAGGTATCACAGCTTTGGTATTATTAAGTGTTATAATTGGGCTCCTTCAGTTGTAACAAGTAACGACTAGTTTATTACCTTGATGACCTTCTAAATCTTCTTTATTATAAACTCTCGAATAGTCAAATTTACATTTATAGTTCCAACTCTGCCCGAAAATGAAAGAAAAAATCTTCAGTTTTGTCATTCTGATAATTATTTGTCTTCACAGTAAGTGTTACAAAGTTACATAAAAATAATAATTATTAATATTTCAGACACGAAAGCGGATATTGAAGATCGTTTCAAGGAAGATTTTTTCAAAATTTACAAACACACAGCTATCGAAGCAAAAGAGATCACCAACGAACATGTGACTCCTGATAAGATAAAATATTTCCTATTTACCAAAAATCATCCCGAAAATTATACGGAAATTGATCCATCAAGTCCTGAAGAACTTGCAGAAGCTAAAGTTCCGCTTGTTTTTATCATACATGGCTGGACTGAAAATAGGGAAAGAGAGTGGTACGAAGATCTAAAAAATGCTTTTTTGACAAGAAAAGAAGATTATTATGTCGTTCAAGTCGATTGGTCGGATCCAGCTGATCAAATTTATACAATTTCGTCCTGGAACACCAAGGATGTTGGTGAGTTTAAATTTTTAATTAATACAATAAAACACTCAGTGTTTTTAAGGCCACATTATTGGAGAATTTATTGTTGGTCTGCATAAAAACTATTCAGTGCCTCTTGAGAACATTTTACTCGTTGGTCATTCTTTGGGTGGTCAAGTTTCCGGTTTTGTCGGGAAAAAAGTGCAAGAACTAACCGGCAACAAATTACCACGAATTATAGCTTTGGATCCTGCAGGACCTCTTTTTATTAGCAGACCTGACGAAGAACGTCTTAATAAAAATGACGCGGAAGTTGTCCATGTAATTCACACTGACGGTGGTACTTTTGGGTTCAAATCGTCATGTGGTACCATTGATTTCTATCCAAACGGGGGTAATTCGCAACCAGGATGCACCAGGATAGATTTACTAGACATTAAAAGTGTTGCCGAGCCAAGTACGATGTTTAAGTATTAAAAAAAAAAATTACATTTTTTTATTGTAGTAACATGTGACCATCATAGAAGCTGGCAATACTTTATTGAAGCTGTTCTAAACCCGAACGAATTTTTAGCTACAAAATGTGACGGTTATACAAAATTCAAAACAGGTTTGTGTGAGAAAGAAGAAGTGCCGATGGGTGATTTGCAAACTAAGAAAACAGGAGATTTTTATTTAGAGACAAATAAGGAAAAACCATACGCCAAAAGACGACGAGGTTTGGGAGTAGGAAGTGTTTTGTCTTCGTTAAAAGTGTTTTAAGAACCTGTTAGTATTTTTATTTGTGTTTCAATTCAGGATATTATCACAGTTTTTTATACTTATAAATAAATAATGTTAATATTCACAGTGTTTATTATTCCGAATCTCTCTCCCGACATAAATATTTCAACAGGTACTTACTATTTAATATTCATTTACTTGTTTTCCTAATCAAAAAGGAAGCAAATTTATTGCTCCGGATGGTCTTTTATCCGGTTAGTGTAGAACAAGATTTAATTGAATTATGTGTAATTATACAATTAACATAATTGTCAGTTTTTTAGATGTGTTGTTTTTCTTAGATATTAAGAAGTAAAATAGAAAATAGGTATCACTTTAATTTATTCTCCTAATAAGATAATGTTTTTTACTTACATCATAAGTTTCGTATACAAATTTAACTATTATTAAAGACACGCACTTTTTCAGACAATTTCATAAAAACCTGTTCGAAAATTGAGTGGAAATTTTTGATGCCAATTTAACCTTGATTTGTTGTAGTTTTATTATTTATCAACCTTAAGATCATGTTTTTCCCAACATTACAATAAATGTGTTTCTTTAGTATTAAATAGTTAGAGTTTTGAATCTTGTGCATGCATAAAAAGATTGTTAATTACATAAATTACTTAAGTACCTACAACAATTTTAAACTCATTTTTTTTCTCAACACCAATCTATTTGATGCCATATTACAAACTTAAAAATAAGCATTAATTTATGGTATATTTAATTAGAATTTTACTTAAAATTAAAAAAAATCATATATTGTTTAAGGATTTTGGATATTATTTTATATTTTTTAAATGAACTATTTTACCTGTAATCTGTGATATTTTAATTAAATTAAATAAGTATAATATATAATAAAAACATATACTTCTACTTTCCTAGTTCTCACTTGTGCTTTTACCTTGCTTTTCAACGTTTTGTGGATGATGTTATTGTTTAATTAAAATAAGAGAACATTTATGATACCTACCACTATGCGTTACACTGAATATATGGTTGCCTAGTTTATTGAAAGTCTTAATTGTAAAGGTTTGTTTTCTTTGAGGTTGTTGCTTCAACGGCCAGCTGGTCGCATTGGTAGTAATAGCTTTACAACCACCTTCATTAAATCCCTCATAAAGTAGTTTGGTAAGTCAAAACCATAAAATTGAAGCAAATATTGTAGACGGATTTTAGTGTACACTATAGTGTACTCATTCAACGATAGAACATTGTGTTTAAGAAATAAATACGTATTAAATAATAGCTCATAAAAGTTAATTATGTATATTTTTTATGTATTTAATTTATTACAATTATGTCTATTTTATAAATTAAATAAAAATGGTTGAATAAACAGGATGTTCCGTTTTTATTGTTACAAATTTAAACAGGTGATAGAATATTCCATTTTAAGATAAAAGTTTCCTATGAACATGTATCGAAAAATATTTCATAAGGGAGCTACATCCTCTGAAATGGGTGCATCTTTTAATGGATTTTTTCCAATATTTCAGAAACCATTGTAGATAACATTACAAAATTTGGTACAACTGATAATCTTTATACACTCAAACGAATTCACAGGTAAAATGTCAAAATTTTTACTCAGGGGCGTCCTAAACTGGAGGGTTTAGGGTAAAAAGTATCCTAACTTTTTTGGCTGTTGGTTCTTACCACTTTCAGCCACAAAATTTTAAATTCCACAGTTTTTCACGAAAAAGAGGTCTCTTGGGTTTTTTAGATACAACTTACCTTTTTGAATAAAATCAGTTTACAATTTGTCTTACAGACCATACAAAAGATAGAAATTAAAAATTAAATTTCTTTTACCGTTTAAGACGCCCGTGAGTAAAAATTTCGACAACTGATCTTTGAATTCGTTTAGGTGTTGAAAGGTTATCGGCTGTACCAACTTTTGTAATTTAATCTGTTCTGCAATAGTGGGAAATCTTCATTAAAAAACGCATCTCTTTAGGGGGTGTAGCTCGCTTACATAACATTTTTTGATAGATGTTTATAGAAAACTTTTGTCTTAAAACTGAATATTCTATCACCTGTTTAAATTTGTAACAATAAAAATGGAACACCCTGTATTTATTTAAATTGTATAGGAAAATATTTAATTATAACACAATATGGCACTTTATAATAAACTAATCAATTTCAACTATTAGTTGTAAAAAATGTAACAAGTGCATAAGAAAAAAATTATTGTGTTTCAAAATACGTTAAGAATCCCTGTCTAGCTACGTAGAACCTACCTAATGCTAATGAAAAGTTAAAACTACTTACTTATACATAATAAGTAATTATTATTTAGAGACGTGAAGTGATCTTTTTTTATATTGCTTTTGCTCATGTTTCAAGGTGTTATTAAATTACTTTCACATGAGCTGATTTGGATAATCCTGAAAACATATTATATTTCTCTCAAGATGATACTTTGAAAATAAATATTATCGCGTTTGTTTAGCATCTTTTTGTAGAAAGATAACTGATTTTTCTATTTTTAGTTTAAGAAACTCAGGAACTGGATAAGTATTTTATAAGACCAAAGAAAAAATTATAGGTAACGGTGTAACGGTGTAAATACATAATGTGATTTTATTTGTAATCTATTACAAAAATTTTGAAAATATGCTTCAGAAAATAAAACTCACTCAAACACAATCAGATTTTTACTAACAATGTCTTCTATTCTATACACTATACACTATAGTCTACAAACAATAAGATGTTTAATGTACCTTTAATCAAATTATTATTTTTATGTTAACTTACCTTTAATTAAACAAAAATAATTGTTAAATTTTTCTATCACATCACACTTTTTTTGTTACAGACGATAATTTTCCTGCGTTCTGCCTCCGATTTAAAATTTATTTAAATTCAAATTGTTGCAAAATTATTACTATATGGATCTAAATAGGTCTTAAAAACATTTTATTCGCATTTGGACTTCTTTTCTAAAAATTTAGGGAGCATGAGTGACAAACAAGACGAGCGTTTTCATTAAGATCTGAAGGGTTTTCAAAGATCGACATGAAGGTTTTTAGGATGATAATATGTTAGTAGATTACTGTTGGATTGCTGTAAAGAAAACTGATCCAAAAAGTATAATAAAACCAAGTAAAATAACCCACTTTTAATATGTTTTTTGGCGGTTTTTGTATTTTTGTTAATTACATATTTCTTAAACGTAACGTGGTGGACTTTTTTAAATAGTTTTTCAGTTGAACTCAGTGCCTCAAAATCTATAAGAAATTAACTTTCAGCTAAGGTATAAAAATCGTGTAAACTAGTGTAATTTTTTTTCTGCGTTTTAAATTCCATCACACTTTTTTTTAACTTTTCTTTCTACTTACAGATTTGCTCTTTTCAGATAAAGCAAAAACAACACTTGCTGTTAAAGTGTTACTTTATCTACTCAAAAGAGTTTTTAAAGAAATAGTCTGCTGTAGAAAAAAAGTATTTCCTTTACTTTTTGTAACTAGTTTTACTACTACTAGTTCTATTTTGATTTTTGAAAGCTGTAGATAAAGAACCTTAAAAGTCAAGTCAAGCTAAAAATGTTTTTTTCTTTGCAGTTTTGGCGTAAAATCAAAGGTAAAAATTTTTTTCCTCTTGTGAACTCAATTCGGGAACATCCTGTATACTTGCAAAATACATTTCTTAAGTAAATTTATGTATTTGTAATTTGACAATTGGAGCAAGTTTGTTTATTAAAATCACAATATTGAAGTAATTTTCACAAAAAGACAATTTTTGGGGTCCGGACCAACAGGGTTTTACCTGCTCTCCAACTAGTTAGTCTGAAACGCTATTGTGACAAAGCGCAGCCCGAGTACAAAGTTAGACTGGTGAATAGTTTTTCTTCGTGAGGAGCTCAGAAGGCAACTTTAAGAATTTATTAAAAAAAAAACTATTCGACAAAAAACAATTTTATTTAATTAGAGGTCATTTTTATGTCATAATCTGTAAGTAAAAAAAATTATAGTGGGTTGTAATTAGAAAGAAATTTTTGCTAAGCTTAAAAGATAAAATAAATTTCGAAAAACTTTATTGTTGAAAAACGATCACATTTTAATAGTGTATACTTTCCACTTCACTAGTGATTTTTTTTGTACAGTAATTAGTTTAAGCAGAAAACGTTTGGTTCCATACTTGTTATTCACCCGGTACGTGTACATACGTACAGTCGACTGTACATACGTACAGTCGAACAAAATGAAAATGACGCCTCAATAAACCAGCCCCTAGCCGAGCCTTCTAATCGCAAACAGGCAGGGTGGGAAATTATCGGATGCAAACTTGACGTAGTTTCAAGATAAATTTCTTTATGAGCCGGTTTACATGAAAATTGAAATTTAATTGAAAATTTAATTCAGAATTAAACTAATTCGAATTAAGTTGCTATTTATTTTGCATTAAAGATTAAGTTAAATGAAAATGGAATTTTTTTAATCCAAAATTTAACAAAACATTTCTTGAAGAAAATTATGCATTAATTAAACATTGACGAACAAACAAATCATTATTTCATATTTTCAAAATAAAATTATTTTATAAATCAATTAAAATACAAAGTGATCCACAATGACTGAATATGTTGGCAATCTTGACAAAAAAAATGTATTAATAATAATTTGTTTTTTTTTTGTAAATTGTAAATTTCATCTTATTAATGCATAATTTTTTTTATGAAATGATTTTTGTTAAATTGTGTATTTATAAAACTAAACATTTTTATTAATTTAAAAATATTACAATTATCAAAAAATAAATTTTAAACTTTCTTCGCAAATAAATAACGGTTTGATTCATTTGTTGTTTTACATAAAATCAAGTTTAAAATAGAGAAAGCCTATTTCGTTCAAAAATTATGTTAATTAATTTTATGTTGAAAAAACAGTTAAAGAAAATATTAAGTGATAATGATTTGTTTTTTTTTTGTCAATGTCATTATTAATGCATAATTTTCTTTAAGAAATGGTTTGTTAAATTTTTTATTAAAAAATTTTAATATTTCCATTTAATTAATTTGACGTGTGTAAATGCAAAATGAATGGCAACTTAATTCGAATTAATTTAATTCTGAATTAAATTTTCATTTCGCTTTCTGTAAACCGGCTTCTAAGGGAATTTAGCTTGAAACTACGTCAAGTTTGCAATCCGATAATTTACAACCCCGCCTGCTTGCGGTTATAAGGGTCGGCATCCAGCAGGAGCTGGTTTATTGAGGCGTCATTTTCATTTTGTTCGACTGTACATACGTATATGTGTACATACATACATATAAAAAGCTATGCCCTAAAATTTTCTTTCTATTAATTATAATCAAAATTATTTAGTGTCGACTGTCGAATGTCGATGCTCATATTTTACACGGTGCTAATAAATAAAACAAAGCCGGGTAAATGCGCCAAATGGACCAATTTTACACAAATGAGGCCACTAGGGTAGTAAATAACCTATAGGTAAAAACTTGTCTTGCATCACTGTTCACTGTCAAAGCCGCATCAAAAAATAAATAGTGTAAGACGGTTAAAGAACATTATATTTGCGAGAATTATTTCATGATATAGTTTTCATGCGTAATTTGCTATATTACGTTGAGCGATAATTGAAGCTTATTCTCGCTCTTTATTAAGCTGGGAATAAAATGACCAGCACGTGATAGTATTGCGTGTCATAATCACTTTAATAATCATTGTAGTTTAATTTTTTCTATTGGTTTGATTTCGAAATGGTGAAGATATCCATATTTCGAATAAAGGTGCCTATCCCAACGCCCCATAATAATTTCATTACCATGTAAACCTCCGTATTGTTTGCGTCTTAAAAATGGCCATAATAAAGTTAGCCGCATGTAGGAAGATGTATGTAAATGTTGTACCCTGTTATTTACGCAACTCAATGGATAATGCATTCAAAAAGATGAATCGTGGGTGTATGACCCTATTGTTGGTGGTTAAGTCGCGACCACGCTTGCGCGTTTCACCGCCGCGACATGCAATACCAAGATTCAGTTTCAAATGTTTATTTCGGTCGCGACTGTCTCTGGAGCGAGAACGTGCCACCCACGCACCACCATCCGCACCTGCTCTTTTTTTCCACCGATATTCTAACAAAATGTAGGGATTTTCGAAATCCCTGCTCTGATCCCGTCGGGAAATCGAATAAATTGTGGGATTTTCGAAAATCTTACAGGAAACTCTTTGTGTGCACTTCCGGAAACTTTGGTGTCGTGATTTTTGTGCCACCAGCGGTAACCGGAAAGAGGAAGCATGTTTTGCATAGTACTCGGTTATGGTGTGAAGCTACATAATTAAAGGTCAGTTTTCATACTTTTTCATTCAGCGTAACCAAATGAAAAATCTGAATAATGACCGAAAAGCACGTCCGCTAATTTCATACAAGAACGACCAAAAATTGCTTTGGGACCACCTCCAATTTCCGATGGAAAGCAAATTACAGAAAATAAAGTTTTAAAAGTTTGTTGACTTGGAATCAAAGTTTCGAACACCTACAGAAAGGTTTAAGTCAACTTTCCTTAATGAAAATGTATTTGAATTTTATACCCTACTTTTTTTAATTACATACATCAGAGAAAATTATTCCTGTGGGACTACTACTGCACTTAATTATCTCATTGTTTTTGGGGTTTCTTCTTCTAGATTGCTACTTAAAAAGTGAAACTAGTTAAATCTTATAGAATTACAAATTACATCCATGAGGTTAACCCCTTTGAGCGAAAACTTTAAAAAGTCGATAGTATCTAAGAGGATGCAATGTAATTTTCACGATGTGCGTTTTTTTTTTGTAAACACATAGTAGGTATGTATGTACATACATACAATAGTTGCAATTGAAATTAACATCTGTATTGTAAATTTAGTTAAAAAATTTTAAGCAATAGGAGTAGTAAGTACCTCTAATGTAGGAAAGAAATCTATTACCTTTACTAAAAATATTTATATTTTCCCTGTGGAGGACCTAAGTGTTAAAAGTGTATCTTGAAAGTAAATAAAAATTTAAGTAAGATGAAAGCTTAAACGAAATAATATCTTTATGTACTTTTATTACGGAAATGTCAATAAAACCTTCTCAGACAATATTGACTTTTTCTTTTTAATAAAAAAAATAACACGTATCGAGGTGTTTCACGTGATGACCGAGTTCTTTTATCTTTTCCTCAAATCGAATAACGAAAGATCCCGAAAGTATTAAGTCTCCCCAGAATAAGAAATTTGTTCAAGCTGCAATAAATTGATTTGAGTTATACGTGAAATACATAACATCTAAAAATTCGACTTAGCAAACCGATTTAACTTATAATTTGACGCTAAGCTCGATATATCAATCATATAAGTGCACTTTAGGGTTGACAATTCTAAATTATCTCTACAACTTTGTTGTCAGGGGAGTTGATAAATTACATTTGCAATTACTGAAGAATAAATTACAAAGGCTTTTGTCACGTTTGAACAAAACCCATTTGGGATTTATCTGTAATAGAGACTCTTGCGATCAATTATGTTTTGATGTTTTGCAACAAGAAGATTCAGTTGGCGAGCGGAAATTAATAGTTTTTATTTATTTTCAAACTTGAAAGAAATACAAATATGTCGATTGCAACCACTGACATTGATTCAAACTAGTTTGTAATTATCTTCACTGTAGAATTTCGAAATCTGCGTTTGTGCTTTATATTGTATCTAAAACAGGTGCAGTATGTTACATAAATAATGACAGCCTGTCTCGTATTGCCCATATTAAATACGGATCTGAGTTATGTTTTCGTGTGTGATACAAGAGTTGGAACTATCTGGTAGTGATAAGAGCAAACCCATACGGGTTGGTAGTCATTAAATAGTGCATATACAGAAGGAAATAGTCGCATGTGAGCAGTGCAGTTAATCAAGCACTTAATAAGTTATGTGGTGATTTATAGACCTTCTTGGAAAATAATTACGCGTTCCAATTAGAAGAATGGGGATTGTGGAAGTTATAAATAATATACCAACTATACCATTAAGGTACAGTGAAGATCAATACATCGAATCCTGTCGGAATTAATGGAGGTGAACTGATTTTGCCATTAGGATCAAACTTGAATAGTGGGGCTTCATATTCTGCCAATTATCACATTATTAGAAAACGATCGAAAATCAATAACACTCATGATTAAGAACACGCAAGAAGACTCTTTACTTTAGTAGAATAAGATAATGCAGAGTTGTTAAAAATAAATTTCATGTAGTGAAAATTCATATAAAGTCTGTTCTTTTTTTAAATGGAAATGCCAAACAGTCTTAGCGTTGGCACCACTAGTAAATTCATTTATAATTTTAATAAAGGAAGTTGGCAGTTCCGGCTTTTTAAATTAATTTGAAAACAATGTCATTAAACGTCAGCACAAAAAATCGTCTTTTTATAAGAAAAGTTAGAGATGAAACACCAAAAAAGAAACAAATTTGGTACCGCTAACAGTTTTTAGAAATTTGGAAACGAATAGTTTGCAAGCAGGAAGTTAGAAAAAGGGCTCCGATAAAATGTAGACGCAATTTGTAATGCAGGTTTGCTAATCATTCTTAATTTTTAGCAAGAAACTGACAAGAATACAAAATAAACATCAATGAGAAAAAGCCTCGGAAAGAACGCAATTAAATTAGTGACTTGTGCATCGTTTTTGAGGAACGAGTTGAAAAAGTAACAATTTTGAAACTAAAGCTGAAGAAGAATTTATAAAACGCATCAACTTTGAGCTCATTTCAATAAATTACACAAAACTTATTGGCGATCTTCATAAACCTTGCTTGTCTTGTCTTTGTAGCAAGAACCTCATTTTTGTCCACAACACTGTATGTACTTACTTGTGGTGTGTTTCTATCAAAATTATTAACACTGAATTCTGTCTTTACACCTTAATGATGTCTGTCCTTAGGTATTTAATTACAGCGCTTTCAAGCTTTCAAGGAGCAAACAGGCACACAAGATTCATAAAAGTCAAAATTTTGACAACAATTTGAACACATAACCATATTTTTTTTACCAAAATTTCTAGGGACAAAAACAAAGAGCAAACAAAATTTGTGGCTATGGAGACTGCTACCAATTTTTTCACCAAAATTTTGACTTGGTAATTTCCATTAAAAAAAAAAACAAACTGTAGGTACTCGTATTTAATAATTCGTTACCAAGGCTTTAAAAATTCCAGCTTCTCTGCAAAATATAAATGTGCTGTCTGAATAATCTAATTCATAACTAAATTAATATTTCAGTTAATTATTGTATGCAATTATAAGAAAAAATAGAACTCGTATCTTACATTAAGCATAAAATTTCATTTTGTAATGAAAACCACGTTTATCTTTTTTAATTCTAATTCTAATAAAAATATTAAATGTTATTTTAAAAGATATAACAAACAGTTGGAAGCAATATTTTGCTTAAAAAAACAAATCAAAAACGATGAGTTAATTAGAATTGTATTTCACTGAAATATGTTTTTTGACCACGTTTCAAAAGCAACTTCATTTATTGTTCTATATTTTTTTTAAGTTGTTACATTAACAAATAAAATTTTTATGCATTAGTGCAAATTTTATATTTTAAATGGATTTAATAAAATTCCAGATTATTATTGTTTAGTAAATTAATCATCATAGTACCTACATACAATTACATTTTCTTTTGAATAATAATAATAGTGGTTAAAATTCTAATTTTTAGCACAGTTTGAATTATGACACAGTTTGGGTGGTAAAGTGTAAACTTGGATCGCTTGTAAATCCACGTTGCCGAGCCTCAGGGCTTAGAAATGCATTTTGCGCCATTATTTTAATTTTAGTAGTAACCTAAAAGATATACGATCATAATTTATTGTTTCTCTAGGAAAGTTTTATCTATTTTTGTCGGAAACCTTTGAATGGTGAAAGAAAAAAAAACAATTTATTATAAGTAGTTTAATGAAGTTTTGCGCAATGTAAAGAATAGTGAGTGACTCTTGATCGTGAGTACGATTTCTTCTCACGTACTTAAAGTTTTCATCGTAAAAGATTCAGCTGATTGTAAAGTTCATGATTTCTTTCGAGTTAACAGCAAGGAATAGTTGGTTTTTCTAATTGTTATTGCCATCACGCTGTTTCCAACTTCTGCTGCAGTGAAGATTAATTGGTGCAGTTTGTGTCTAAATGCAGCTAATGAAATAATTTATTGGAGAGGCTTTTAAATGAATGGAATTTAAGCAAGATGTGTTAACTAAATTTTCATTAGTTTGGGTGTGAATTTAAAGATCCAAGTGGAATGCAGTCTTAAATGTAGGGACTGATGGTAGATGCCGATTAGTAAGTAATAGTTCCGTACTACTTGCCATAAAGATAAAGGAAAAATGTCTAAACTGGACCAATTATTACCTGTTTTAAAAGTGACAAGATCACACATCCTCTAAGCATTGTCTTATAAATTTCTCTTATGTTCAGAATGTAGCGTTATTTATTTGTATGTAGGTAAAGAACTATTGGATGTTTTTTTCACGAAATATAACAGTCTGTTCTATATTTCTCGGTCAACTATATCGAAAACATTGTTGTTTTGCCTTTGGGAATTTTATATGCATGCGTTGTGGCCAAGGGTATTTGGCAATAAGAGAAAATATGTTGAGTGGGTTGTACCTTCAATAAAAATTTACAAGGAAAAAGAAATAAATGTCGATATGTTTAAAAATATTTTGCTTTTCATATGAGTATAAGCTTATACAAATTTTTGTTTATTTTTATTGCTAATTAAAAAGTTTTGGTTTTGCAAATTAAGTAACCTTTTGTAACATGTGCTTTGTTTGATGTAGCCAATGTTGCAGTTTAGTTAATTAGATTTTCATATCTGTGTATCTATGTAGTTCATGCATATAGTTACAACTGTTGCTTTTTTGTTTCAGCAATGAAATTAAAACGAAATTATAATAAGCGCAAATTACCTAAAACTTCTATCATGTAAATTAAGTTTGAAAACAGTTTTTTAAATCAAACTTTAACATTGATATGATTTTACGGTTTCACTGTCTTATTTTTTAGTTTGCCCAAACGGCTTATATAACTTCGTAGGTGTTATCAGCTCTGTATGCACAAGACTCGGAAATCTCTTTGACTCCACCACTAAATTACGATCTATCTTGTTCAGTGATCTAAAATTAAAATGACCCGGAATGAATTTTCCCTAGTAAAGGACCCCCTGGGGTGATTTTAGAACCGGTCTAATATTCGGACTGTCTTCAGGACTGGCATAATATTGTGGGGTTAAAGGCAGCACTCCTGACTCCATCATTCCGATTTA